AGAAGGCAAGGAAGCGCACGTATATAGCTAGAAAGGGTATTCTATCAGGTGAAGAAGCAGCCGATCGTGCACAACCTGTACAGGAAGGGGCAGCAGAGGAGGCAGCAGAGCCACCGGCCGAGCGGCCACAGCGAGCAAAACCTAGGTGCAGCATGTGCGAATCAACAGAACAAAATGCACGTACGTACCCTAGGCGGCAGGCAGCTAGCTAGTATATAGCTGCATAAAATATATTTGTTCGTGGTGGAGTAATTCGGAATATTTGGCCTCGGTAGCGTGGTTGGGTGGGCCACTAGCTTGTGCGGGCCACTAACTTGTGGATTACGTTAACTAAGTTAACAGCGTAGGAATTCACTCCTTTTTTATAACTACTTCTTCCGCTCTGCCTGTAGCTCCTCCTACATATGCCTAGCTTGTAGTGTTAAACTGCCCTTGTTTAAATCGTCCTATTTGTGTTAATATTGTTGTCAATGTGGACATAGCAGCTAGCAGGTTCTTTATCTGTAAGCAAAACACGTGGGCGTAGTAAATAGCATTCGAAGATTTAAAATAGCTGCTGCACTGCCTAGTCGTAGTTCTAGTTCTTTTCTACTGGCAGGAAATAGTACGCAATTTTAAAGTTGTTTATGGTGCACATCACTCCCGTTATATGTAGAGACGTTGGAACCTATCAGCTGACAGCCAGCAGTACACTAGTCTACCGACCTCACAAGTGCGAACTAAGACACGTTAGTATACTCTTTATTTCTTGCTGCTGCATCGTCATGCTCCTTTTGCGCTCCTTTGCGCTCTTTTACCCCTTCTTTACTCTTGCGCCCTTTTGCGCTCTTTTACGCTCTTTTCCCCTTTTGTCCTTAGCTGGATTGACTCCGGTCTTCTATATAGCTCCTCGATAGCACTTCAATACAACTCATGTCTCCCTCGCAGATTGCCTCCCTCCTACGCCAGCTGCCATCAGCCACTTGTGGCTCTACCCTTGTACGGATGATAAAGTGGCGCAGATTAGCCTTGAGTTGTTTTCTATCGAGGGGTAGTTTACTCGAGAATTAAAGCCCTGAAACTGGAACCTAGCAGGCCTACGGGCCCGGAAATGGCCTTCCGAGGCAGGGTGAGGACCCCAGTCTCAACACTCCCTGTCGAATACAGGGCCCAAAACTGGACTCCAACGAGCTGCTCAGTCTCGGCTCAGGATGTGCTCACCCAGCACAGCCACAGCTCAGGCTGGAGCATGAGCAGCTCAGTTCCCTGAATGGGAAAGGAAATTGCTTGGGTGCACATTGGGATATCGTACTACGTGTTATACGAAACCTAGACGACAAGTAAAACTGTTCCGAGTGTAAGCCACGAAGGTCAGGAGCCTCCACAAATTGGCAATCAATTTCAAAGCCTTCATTAGTGCATCATTGGTGATCCATCCAAATAGCAAGGGACCCGAGCGGATGAAACTTGATGGCGCTGAATCATCATCTTAAGCTCTATACAAATATTTGCTCGTGTTGTACAATGCCGCCCAATGCACCAATTTCGGAACTCCAAAGCACGCTTGAACTCATGCACCCAACATGAGTCATCAAAGGGCATTTCGGGCCTGCTTCTTGGCGTTGACAGCACCCCGATTCAGCTTTCGAATGAAATCGTTCTTGATACCCTTTTTGTTGAAATCCTTGTTTCTGCTCTTGTTATACTCAATGTAAGCCATGTCTTGGCCACCACTAAGTTCGCTCAATGTGCCCGCCATTCGCCGAGCGCCAGGCTTCTTCTTGTGTCCACCAGCCTTGTACTTCCCGAACATGTCCCCGTCAATATGCTCGGCTTCGCCATCGACATCCTTAGCCATCAAAACGTCTACGAGAAGCTCACGTCGGTCCTGGGGCGTGTAGAACGAAAGATCGGAGCGCTCCTGGAGGCCTTCGAGGCGCGTGATGACTTTGAAGGCGTACCCTTGATCGACCAAGAAAGCTTGACGTTTTGAAGAGTAGTACATCTCAACCGTGTCTTTAGACACGAGGGAATAGAAAAAGGCGTTGAAACCTTCGTCGTTACGGCGCTTGGCTCTTAGAATACGTCCCAGCCGTTGTGCTTCTTGACGACGAGAACCATAGTGGGACGAAATCTGGATGAGACAGGTCGCTTCGGGCAGATCCAAACTCGTGTCTCCGATCTTGGACAGGAAGATCGTGTTCACCTCAGGGTTGTGCTGGAAGTTCTCCAGAATTGTAAGTCGCTCCGCTTGTGGTGTATCGCCAAAGATGTAAGCCTTGTGAAGCTTCTGGGCGTATTTCTGGAGGGCATAGACATTGTCCGAGAAGACGATGATCTTGTCGCCCCGCTTCTCATGATAGTCGATTAAGTATTGGCAGTTCTGGAATTTCTTTGGATTCATGATCGAAAGAAGCCCTTTCTTCTGCACGGATGATGCTTTCAGGTATTCCGTGTAGAACTCAGGGGTCATCTGACACCAGACTTCGGCACACTGGACTTTGGCAATGTGTCCCTGCTCAGCGAGCTCCTGCCAGTTGGCCTCGTACAGCTTGGGTCCGATAAGGAAATTGAGATCGTCGATTTTGTCGTCCTCACGGAGGAGCGTGGCCGTCAAACCTAGCTTCGAGTGAGATGCGATCGAGTACGTGACCTTCTTGAAGATGTTCGCTGGCACGACGTGCACTTCGTCGGCAATGAGCAAGCCCCATTCTCGTGATCGAATAAATTCCATGACTTTTTCGGCATCGTAGGATCTGTTTCGGGAAGAACTAATCATGGTATATGTGCTAATAATCACACCGGCATTTCTGGGAAATTTGTTCTTGCTCTCTGAGGTGAAGACAGCAATGTCGTCCGGGTTTATGTTGGACCACTTGATAAATTCCGCCCTCCATTGCACTACAGACATGGCACTCGTGCAAAGAACCATAATGGATTTCTGAACCGTACAAGCCGCGGTAATACCCACCAACGTCTTACCAGCACCGCATGGAAGAACGATGATTCCAGATCGGGCTCGTCCATTTCCAAACATTTTGTTCAGCGCCCGCTCTTGATAGTCTCGGATCTGGGTTCCGGGTTTCAAATTGATTTCCAAAGAAGGGTTCATATTATCCTGGCTGAAGTCATATTCCTCAGTAAGAGGCGTTCCTATTTCACGGCATTTTTTCACCACTCGTTCCCTGTCCTCGCCCTTGATCTGGAAGGAGTGCACCCGATCAATATCTTCCTCGTCATCGTCCTCCCTCAGGGTTGCAAGCATATCCTCGGCTTGTCGCTGAACACCTGGCTGTGCGACCTGATTGGCACCTGCAGCCAGTTTTGTTCCTGGGATAGCCAAGTTTCCCATTTTTGGTGCAGCCTCCTGCACGAAGCCTTCTGCGCCGCTTGTCCTACATTCGGCAATGACGGGATCTTGCAGAAGTTCCTGTAGAATGGCGGGATCCGTGCTCTCTATGAAGTATTTCGTGTTCTTCAGCACGATCCGTGCCTTTCCAAAAGAGGACGTAGACTCTTGTATGAATGTCCGCACGCCATCGGGCAAGGATGTCTTTGAGTAGTAATCCAACTGTTTAATGATATCCTCTGTCGTAAGGCCCACAGACATGGCGGCAAACAAGCTATGAGCGGTCAACGAGTATTCATGGATTCGGGAGACTCGCGACTGTGGTTCAGCGATGATGATTAGGAAGGCTTGGGCATCCTGGAACGCAGGACTGAACGACTCCATTATGATATGGCCAGCGTCATCGACCTGATCTATTAGCATCACGACAAAGAACCAAAGCGAGTGTCATACCCAGATAGGCCGACTGGCATGATCGGGCTTCAGGTCAGCGTCCCACTGGTCGCACTTCTTAAAGAGATGTGAGGCCGCATCGACTACGTGCGTTGCCCGCTCCTTCTGCACTCTCGCCACCACATCGTATTTTGTCTTGAGACGCTCGAAGTCTTCCTGATCGCTCAGTGGCGGTTCATCGGACTCGTACTCATCGCTGCTGGGTGCCTGCGCCTGCGCCTTTCGCTTCGGAGGCATGTAGAGCGCGCGTTCGGACGTGCGAAGCGGTATGTGATGGCACAGCGGGAGATGTAGCTATGTCGAAGAGCAGACGCAGCGACGAGGGCGGATGCGGATGGGTGGGAGGTGAGCAGTGGAGAAGTGAAAGAAAGAAAGCCTAAATGGAGGCGAATGCTAATGCCAAGCAATCGAGGCTTAGCGTGATCTGGAGCGCATGGTATTCCGCAGAGCCTCACTTGGGTAGGGCTGAGGTGAATCGTATCACCACTGTTCAGTTCACGGATGATCTGCCCTTTGAATACAAAGGAGCATCATCATAGTGCTATTTGGGTGTCTTTGATCGCTCTTAATCGTTACATATTTAGGATGTCTGGTTGAGATACACCTCCGAACGCAGGTTGAGCTTAATTCTAGTAAATTTATATCTATGAAATACCTTCATATAATCAATTCTCGACGAAGTTTAGTGTATATTGAAGAGAGGTAGTATACTAGACGAAGAAGTGGTTAGAATTTTAAGATTCGAAAGTGAAACCCAAAATGCACCGCCACAGCTCCACGTCTCGTGCCGTTGTGTGAGGCTGCCCGCGCTCACGCCTCCACCAAGTAATTCATGCTCGAACATACCACCACCCAACACCAGAAAGCGATGTGAAATGAATACTGATGGGTGCCTCCGACTCCAAACTCGTCTTCAAGCAAGGCATCTTCCGCCTTTCCGAGCAGAAGGGCATTCGCGCAGATGATCCCTACTGGACAGGTGTAAGTCAACTCTAGCAACAAACGGAATCTTGCTGATCGACCCTTGGGCAGTTCTGGGAGCTACCAGAGTCTGCAGAGGACGTCTTCTCCCTCTTCTCGCCCGCCGACATCCGCCGGACCAGAGACAACCACCTTGAAAACCTCGAAACCCTCATCCTAGCCGTCACATCCAAGTTGATTGCTCTCCGCAATCACCCCTCGTTCCCAGACCCCGAACTTGCGCCAGAGAAGGATGCATTAAACTGCATACGGGTCCTAACGCGACTACTACCCTATGTTTATGAAGCGGATCACCTAGCGGCATGGGAAGACAGATTCTTTTGGGGAGCCAGACGCAAGCGTAGCAGGCGGGGACAGTTGGCTCGGTCAGAGGTCATATTCGATGAGGCAGATCCAGAACAAACCCCGACGCAAGATGAGCCTGAGTTTGAGGATGTCAAACCTTTGGCGGAAGAGCTTCTCGATACGCTCATTGATTTGCTCTTCTTCTCGGAGTTCACGTTGCCCAAGTCTGCACCCGGAAAGGGCAATGCTACCTATGCGATATGGCAAAGCGGAGTAGGCTGTAATACACCGGTTAGCACTACGAAAGAGTTTGAGAACAACAGAACGGAAATCCTGCGGTTATTACTCACTTTCGCAAGCAAATCGATGTATATGTCAGCGAGTAGGTGCATGGCGTTGCATTAACAACAACCAAACTCTAACATATTCTAGATGTGCTGCCAGTCATTGGAGTCAAAGCAATCACCTACCTCACTAAGTGCTCAGACAAGCAAGTCGTCTTGTCCGTGCTTTGCTCGCTTCTCAATACAGTATGCCACACTAAGAAACATTAAAGTGCACTACTAATAGCATATAGACTCTGAAATACAACCCCGCGTCATGGCGCGTCCCATACGACCACGTCGTATTCAAAGATCCTAAGCAAGTGCTTGTTCAGTACTGCCTGCAACTGCTTCTGGTCTTGGTCCTTTACCCTATTCCAGAACCTGGCAATGGCCCCCCGCCGAAGAATTTCTTCCGTCATTTCCTCGGTAGGCTTCACCGACCACAGGATTTTCAATTCTTGGTAGATGGAATGACTAGAATTCTCAATCAGCCAGTGAGTTCGACCCGGTTCTGGCCTGACTACAGTAGCTGATTTGTGTAGCTACAAGCAACAACTTCATACCTACCAGGAAGCCAAAAGTCATTGACTTGGGCACCAGAGATGATTATGCTATTTTGGGAAGCCCTGCAATGTAATAAGCGGTTCCGGTCGTTCATCATCGACACAGATCGCGCTCACGACTTCGTCGTGTTGGTATTGTTTTATGCCATCGACCAGCGGAATGATCCTTCCAAACAAGGTCTCATCAGGATGTGTGTATTCGTTCTTCAGACCTTGAGCGTGGAGCCCAATTTTGGGAGGAGCTTAAACAAGCCATTTGAGGGACAGGAAACGCTCCCAGCTAGTATCAGGGTCCCTAATTTCCACGGCACATATGCCGATTACCTTATCACAGTAAGCAGTGACAACCAAAGGAAATGCGGAGATCCCTTTTAGCTGACCGCTTTAGTCTATCTATACATTACTCACGACCAGCAAAGGAAAGCTGGACGCGATTTACCCAGCTCTCTTGGCGATCATCAACAATATCGCCGCATACATAGAGGATATGGGTAGAGCTACCAGCTCAAAGCTGTTGCAACTTTTTGCATCAATGTCATCCCCAAGTTTCTTGTTGGCCAACGAGGGGAACCATTTATTGCTTCAATCATTGTTGGAGGCGTTGAATGCCATAATTGAGCACCAGTACTCGAGTAAGTGTGGCAGCAAAACATGGTATCTGCAACATCTGATCATCCCTGTGCAGAAAACGCCAACCTGATTTATTCCATATTGCGCTCAAAGAAGCGGTTCCAGGCCCTGCGCGACTTCACGCTGGAAAGTGCCCAAGAGGAGATTGAGCGTCAAAACCAGCTGAAAAAGGAGCAAGGTGAGGGTGGCATTGCCAGACGCGCAGATTCGATGGACAGCTTGAGGAGCCCGGTCAGCGCGAGAGCGCCATCTTTGAGCAACGTGCCAGAAGAGAATAGCGCGTTCGCCATAGGAGATGACGAAGACTCTGACGACGAAGGCCACCATTCAGCTCCTCTGTCGCAATCACCTGAGCAATCCGGCATGGCCTCAAGGACAGCGTCTGTTTCCTCTTCAGTCGATGATGCCGTTCCCCTGCAACTTCGCGGCATGTCAGAGAAAGCTCGGGGCAAGATGCCCGTGGGCCACCCATCCTTCTCCCGGCAGAACAGCACCACAAGTCTTGCTAGCGTCTCGACGCCGGTTCTTGGCTCGAATGAGTTCTTCACCCCCACAGCTCCCTGGGTAAGCCAAACCGCTCGTTTCATCATTCCCTCTCAAATGATCCTTCGGACTCGCCGCTCTAACATAAGCAACCCTAGATCGAATCCTGGCTAGTCGACTTGCCACTCCACACCATCCTGACCCTAATTGCCGAGCTGGGCCCCCAGCTCCCGGCATCGGCAGGCACTGCCGACAGCACCGCCACAGCCCTATCCGCAATCCGCCACGCGCGTGTCCGCGGCATCGACCCCGCGCCCATCCGCGTCCACCTCTTCGAGTGGTCGCCGCTGAGCCTGGGCTGGTACGAGTCGCTGCTGTGGGGCTTCGTGTTTGCGGGCGAGATGCTGGTCGCCAAGGGCACGGCGGGCGTCTGGAACGGGACCGCAATCCGCCTCTTCAAGGTGCAGGAGACCGCTGCGCAGACGCCCACACTTCTGGCCCCGCGCGGTGCAGTCGATGCGGTAGGTAGCAATCTGGTGCAGAGGATTGGAAGCCTCAATTTGAGGGGCGCGGCCACTCAGGGCGCGCCGCGGGGGGCTGGCAGCGGCGCTGTGGGGGGTGGCAATGGGGCAGGCGGTGCTGGTGCGGTGAGAGACGTGTAGAACAAGAGCGGAACTAGTCCCGGGCGTGTGGCCAGAAGGCGGTATGGCGGGAAGCTTAATGGCAGGAAAGCTAGGGCGTGCAATGAGGCAACGCGCCAGGGATGCGACAGGGCCGCTTTCTTGCAACGAAATGGAACGGGGAGTTTATTTTAGAGTGTAGCTCGGCGTTGATTGGTGCGTGTGGTCCTGCAGCTTAAAATCCAACCTGCCCTGTTTTCCAGCCACCCTTGAGCGTTTGCGGTAGATCACGCGTCGGCCCTTCTCTTTTGACGCTCGCTGCCGGGCGTGAAGCGAGGCCGCGCCACAGATTGAGGCTGTGCTGTGGCGATATTTGCACGCTTCGGTATCAAGATCACCGGGCGCTAGCCAACGGCGCGCCCTGGTGTGGCATTGTAGAATAGCTGCCGACTGAGGCCGGCGATGTGGAGACGCGCGGTACCTGGGTGTTCTTGGGAGGTGCTGCATAGGATAGGGGGCGCCGGTCATGGGTGAGCATGGGCTACGTGGTGTCGACATGGTCTTGCGCTGTGGCTTGCTGGGCATTTGTATTATTATGGGGTCCCGGCGCGTTATTGCAATGGTGGTACTGGCTCATGCGTGTGTATTCGGCTTATTGTTATGCGTTGAGTGTTGTTTCCTATGGCCCAGATGGCAGACAATATTGCTGCTGGTGGGGCGATGGGTGAGGATGCTGTTCAGCCTTATGGGATGCATGTGAGTTTCTTCAAACTGGGGTGGATGCTGAGTTGTTTTAATTGACTGGTTGTAGGTATCTTCGCGCTACTTGGATCTTACGAAGCGGAAGCTGGAGTTGACGAGGTTGCCGAGAGAACTGCAGCTGCCAGAGAAGAGGAGGTGGGATTATGGGACGCCGAAGGCTGTTCTGGAGCCGTTGATTGACTTTTGGTGAGTTCGAGGATTCGTTGTTGATCTGTGTACACTTCTCTGTCAATGCTTGCGGGTCTCCAACCCGTCAACAAAAGTACAGAGCGGTAGATCGCACGTGCGGTCTGCGTACGCCTGTCTGAAGTGACCCGGAGGCTTCACCAATGTTCGATACGGTGAGTTCGAGGGTTCTAACAAGGCATGGGGGTCCTTCCAACAATGGCAGACGAATGTACACTAATATAAGACGAAGCAGTGTAGTAGATGGCTGAATGGTAGTGAAAAAAAAGCACGACATGAAAGAAAGGGGTATATGGCTATGAATATATGTTGACTGACGATCGACTAGGCTTGAGCAGTACGACTGGCGCACCCAGGAGTCACTTTTCAACAACGCACTCCCGCAGTTTCGGACGACCGTTCATCTAGCACTAACCGAAGCCGAAGATGTAGTCCATACCTCAGATGCGACGCCTACACAGGCCACTTTCTCCGAGTTGAATTCGCCCCAGCAGATCAACTCTCCAACAACACCATCCCATCCAGCTCTTGCAACACCTACCGCAATCGACTCTTCATCATCATCGACTCATCCACCCCTACGTGTTCACTTCGTCCATAAGCGCAGCACACATAGGAATGCGATTCCGCTCCTGTTCTGCCACAGCTGGCCATCATCTTTCGTGGAGCCCTACAAGATCATCGACGCGTTGACGGATCCAGTCAGCTTGCCTAGCTATGGAACGGGAGCCCAGCAGGCATTTCACGTCGTTGTGCCTAGCATACCGGGTTTTGGCTTTAGCGATGCAAGTCCAGTGGAAGGTTTCGGGCTCCGAGAGACAGCGAACGCATTCCACGAAGTAATGGCGAGACTAGGGTACGCGGAAAGTGGCTATGTCGTTTGCGGCTCTGGATGGTAAGTTCATCGATACAATCACTTTGTCTGAAGCTTTCTGATTTAATAACTCTGACCAAACGATAGGGGCTTCGCCGTCTGCCGTGCGTTAGCGATCTACCACCCACAACATTGTCTCGCGATCCACACCACCAATCCTTCGCTGGTAGCACCGACAGCCAAGAAGAGCCCGATGGCGTGGTTGAAGTACCATGTTGCTCGTGTAACGAAGGCGCGAATATCCTTTTTGAGTTTCGGATACATTCCCTCGGACTTCGCTCGACCTAAAGCTTCGAAAGCCAAGCCACAACAGGACCTGAGAATGCTCGGTGATAGATTCGATTCTTCGGAAGCGACTCTTGCCTCTCAATATAGCCAGCGCCCCCAGACAGTCTCATACTCACTTTGCGACTCGCCAGCTGGACTGCTCTCATGTGTTCTTGACGCAGTACATTCACGCTCTAGTTCAACACCTCAGTCGTCACAACAACGCTCGCCTTTCCTGTCCCCGGCGGAACTTGTAAGGAACGACGATGTCGAGATGCAAATTCAGGAAATGCCTCGACCGGAGATCCCCATGAGCCCGCGCGAGAGCGAGACGAATGGAAGTGACTACACTTGGACACCAACAGAGATTCTCTCGTGGACAATGATGCAATGGCTACCGGGTCCAGAAGCCGGTCTGAGATGGCTCAAGCAAGCAACTCTGGACTCTGCACTGGACCATCCGAGCTTCTGGCAGTACTGTCCTGTTCCCCTTGGCATCAGCCACTTCCGGCGCAGAGGTGGTACGGACGAGGATAGCCCTCTCATGTGGGCTACATCCTCTCATAAACTTGAGTGGGTAAAGAGGCACCGACGCAGTGCGCGATGGCCTGCGTGGGAGACGCCAGATCTATTGGTACTAGATCTCAGAGAATGCTTTGGGGGCATGGCCGAAAGAGGACTAGTGCGGCTACGGAAAGAGGAAGGAGAATGATTCCTGTACAGCTGAGAGGACGAACGAAAGCGGTGTCCGAACTAAGAACAAAGGCATGTGGGACGTGGGGTTGCTATGCATTTGGACGCGAAGGACAGGGAGCTGCGGGTGGATACGGCGTCGCGGGTGAAGTAATTAATCTGGGGCTGGGCTTTGGACCAGGAAGCAAATGCTGACCGAGGAATACGGCTGAGTGTATACATATGGGTCTTTTGGCGTATCTGGAGTTCGGAAGAGGATACTTGAAGGAAGATATACGAGGGCCTCAGGGGGCTTACGAATGCCACGAAGGATAAATGCTTAATACGTAATGGCAAATCATAGATACCTTTAACTATCCATGCGAACTCACCGCTAGAAATGCTCTTCCATAAACAGATCATCGAGCATGGCGTTTCCGGGGCCGCAGAGATCGCGGTAGTGGCGGGGATCGAGTGAAAAGCTTTGCTCGTGTATAGTGTGCCGTACGGAGGGGCCGCAGCTGGGCGCGTGCCACCAACGACGTCGCCAGGCGGGCCTAAATATTCCCTCACAAAAAGCCCAATATCTGCCTCCTGAGGTCTACCGCGACTCTGCACACGATCCGCCTGCATCCTCCGTTCCACGGCTTGGACGTCCAATTCGCTCGACTACCTCTTCATCAACACTGCCAGCAGCAACTTCTGCCTGCCCTTGCCCGCAACCTTCGTTGCCGCCCTCTCAGCCGGCATTTCGCACACATTGAACCACGCTTGCCCAAAGTCGCCTTCTGACATCGCAAATCGAAGAGCTCGCGAGCACTTCTGCTACCTCCCTCAAGCTGGCAGAATCAACGAGTCCTCGCAATAATCCCACTGCATAGGCCTAACAGCCCGCAGACCTCGACTTCTCGTGCTCCCTGCGTTCGTCCATGCGTCAAGAAGACCTAGTACGATTTCTATCCAAGCCTGGGAAGTGAGTATCCGGTGCTTCTCCTCCACCTCTACTCTTGCGTCTTCACCTGTCCAAAGTTGCCAGCATAGGCAAACCTCTTCCTCAATTCGCCAGCTGATTCGCCGTCACAGGCCCAGATAACACCCCCTACTCCCACCTCCCTCAATCTACCATCGATACCCCAATAAGCAGATCTCCTCGTCTGCTGGACCCGATACTTTTCCAGGGTATCGGAATCTAGTCGCTCGAGGACTACAACGATAGTCACCATTTCTCGGCGCAAGGCGTCTTTTATTCCCCTCTCCGCTCGACCTCCATAACGCCCTTTGGGACGTTCAACCACACACACATTGCTGCTGGCAAAAGCCAGCCTCTAGGATACCCCCCCGCTCGTCGTGGGCCTTCTCTTCTCAGGCGGACACCGCATTGTTCGTCTGGGTGGCAGATTGTGCTTCACAGCCTCACAGCCACAGCCCTCTCGATTCCAGCAAACACACTAGTCAAGTTCAGGTGACCGCTCGGTGCTCGCATCCGAAACTACGGAGATGGTCGTTACTGAGATCCCCAAACATTACACTGCTTCACCGTCCTCTCATGTCGGGACACCTCATTTGACTATCAATCGAGAGGCTACTGTCGATCTCGATTCCAGCAATGCCTTTGAAGGTCCGTCTCATTGTATGATTGCATGGGCTTCGTTACTGACATATTGGCAGGACCCGAAAAGCTGCTAGAGGTATGGTTCAGCTCCTCTCCCACCGACCTCCCAGGTGCTGCGGGACCTTTAGGTCTGAAAGGGGTTCCCGCAGACACCTGGAAACAGATGCTGGACTTGGTCAACTGCAAAGTCCTGTCTATCGTTGAGTCTGAACATGTTGATGCCTATTTGCTCTCCGAATCCAGCATGTTCGTCTGGCCACATAAACTCGTCCTTAAGACTTGTGGCACCACCACCCTCCTCTGGGGCCTTCCACGTATGCTGGAGATTGCTGCGCTTGATGCGGGATTCCCTCATGTCACTGCTCAACCTACTAGAGGAATCGCGGCTGCGGCTACTCCGTACCGTGTCTTCTACAGCCGGAAGAACTTCCTTTACCCAGACCAGCAGCGTGGACCCCACCGAAGCTGGCGCGACGAGGTTAGATTCTTGGACCAGAGGTTCCAGGGTGGTAGTGCATACATGATTGGCAAGATGAACGGAGAACATTGGTACCTATATATCACCGGTCCGGACACCAAACTCACGCCACCTTCTACTCCGGATCGAGAATATATGGACATCCCAGGAACAGAGACCAAGATTATCGACCATCCTCAGCGGTTGTTATCTGCGAAAGGAGATGAGACGCAAGACGAGACTCTGGAAGTTCTCATGACCGATCTCGATGAGCAGAATGCACGTCAATTCTATCTCGAGGACGCGAGTGCGGTCGCGGAAGGTCGGTTCTTCCAGAAGGCTCGTGATGCGCGTAAGAATGCAATCAACAGTCTGGGTGTAATCCCTGAAGAGAAAGGTTCAACTGGAAGTCTTGGAGGCAGCACTCTACCCAACACTCGCGCCCACTCCGAGGACAGCTTTGATGTATTTGAGCAAACATCTTCGGATCACTCTGGATTTAGCTCGGATGATGACGACCTGACTTTTCCCGAGGAGCTTACGACTGAAGGTCATACGCTCGGCACCGTTGTCTCCGAAACCTGCGGTCTAGCTGACGTCTACCCGACTGCCAAGTATCCGGATGCTCGCATCGACGCATACCTTTTCACTCCCTGTGGATTCTCTGCCAACGGTGTTATTCCTGCTCCCGGTGGGACTGTCAACACCAATGGCAAAGGCTCTGATGGATCCAACGCCACTCACTATTTCACCGTCCACGTCACTCCTGAACCACAGTGCAGCTATGCCAGCTTCGAAACCAACGTCCCAGCGCGGCAGAGCGGCCGTGAGACGGCAGAAGTTGTCGAGCATGTTGTCGATATCTTCAAGCCTGGTCGCTTCAGCGTCACCATCTTCGAAACCAAGCCAGCTGATGAGGCTCACTACCAGGACACTGTAAAGAGGACGAGCAGGATGGATTGCATCAAGGGATATCGTCGTGTCGATCGCATCGTCCATGACTTGGATGGCTATGATCTGGTTTTTAGGTATTATGAGAGGGATGACTGGAAGGGTGGCAAGCCACGGCTTGGCGAGATGGATTATTAGAGGGACATCTTGCAGCAAAGGGGTTGAAGTGGTCTAAATTGCGGGTACACACGGGCTAATTTCCTGGTTCAATATTGCTTTCCCTTTTCCTTGTCCAACTCATACACTCCTTACTGTTGTTTATTATTCATATCACGGCCTTCACAATGACTCTAGCCTGTTGCGCATACAGCGAATAAGCTTCATTTCTCATATCAACTGCAGTCTTTGACATTTTTGAAGCGCCCCCAGAGCACCCTATGCGAGGCAGCCATACCCTGGAAGCCCTTGGTGGGTGGATAGTGTCCTTTGTGAGTATTGTGAAGGACAATGTTGCTGCAGTGAGGAGCCAGCCCACAACGCCCAGGTATCCATCAAGATTACCAGCATTGTACACGCAACATTATACTAAACATCCTATATATAACAGATCCCAGTTACGAGCACTACCCCAAACTCAAAAAAAAACCCCAACCCCAAAAACCTCATCTTCAAAGCTCTGCACAGCATACCGCAACCGACTCTCATACAGATTTAAAAAGCAGGTTCCACCGATATGCCTCCTCTTAAGAAGGAAAAAGCCGAGAAAAAGGCTGCAAAGCAGCAACATCCGGCTACAAGCCAGCAGACTACCACTGCAATCCAGCATGGTCCGGCTCCAAGCCAGCAGAATACCACAGCACCGCCAGACCCACGCAGACGCATAAGAGGCAGAGACACAGCGGCAGCCGATGCCCCCGACAACAGCTTCCTCGACCTCGACAACCTCGACTGGATCACAGAAGGCTTCTGGGGTCTCCCGCCCGATTATCGCGGCGAGACAACGGAAACAGATTCCAATGCGCGTCGTCGGCAAGAGCGTCCCATCCGCCCGGTTCGCGACGCGTTCAATTGGCATCATGGGCCGGGCAAGAGTGAACATCCTAATAATGAGGATTATGTGAGGGATGCGGCGATGCATGTCCTCAGGGAGAAGAATAAGAAAGATCTCACGGCGAAGGCGTGGTATGAGAAGCAGATGGCGGAATTGAGTCATAGTAAGTTTGTTGGGAGTGGCGCTGGGACGAGGGATCCGTATGGCAGTGGGAGGGCTAACTGAGTCGGTGCTGTAGTCTGTGGGCGTTGGGAGAATAGTCTCCCTTCCTCGACCCCTCCTTAACGGGCTGATCGCGATCGGCCTTGGATCTTGCCGATGATTGGCTTCGTCTCGGCTGCAATCATGAGAGCACTCTAAGGCACGCTAGACATTCGCTAGTAAGTGTTTACCAGGTCGATGATCTGGCACTGTACTTGAGTGGAGATCACTTGTTGCTCCTATCTAATATCGAAATAAAATTAACGTTTAGAACGCATTCAAACATGTTCAAAAGCTGTAAGTTAATGTAAGTGAAGTCTAACAGAAATAAAAGCGATGATAAAGTAACATGCAATCGCAGGATACTAGTTTATTGATAATACTGAATAACGTCCCCCCTCCCCCCCCTCCCCTCCCAACCTAGGTGGCGGAAAGCCCATGTGCCGTAATAAATCTCTTGTTTACGCATCTAAACTCTCTCCCCTGCAGGTTCATCAAGTTGTATTTGATTTAGTATTATTCTTTGCACATCTCTTTCCCAAAAATTAGTGTGCAGCTGAAAAATTACAACACTCTTGCTTATGCTGTCAATAACTCGTTTTAGGGCATCCAGAATTGCATTACCCGTACACCCCTACTATAACACGCATGTCTTCGAGATTTTAAACCTCGGATGGTTACATTGATAGCTCTATAACGAGAGAAGATAATTACAAGCTCTTAAAACACTCAGCCCCCTAGAGTATACAGTCCGGATTCATCCGTGCGAAGAAGCCTATAATTGACGTAGAGCATGGCGCTCTTCTAGAAGTATCTCTGATAGATCATGCATGTGTTGGCTGTCTTTGCTATTCTAGCCGAGCGTGCGTGTTCATCATGCCCCGCGCATCATTGCGGCACAGCGGCCTCCCTTGAGCTGTGTATCTACGAGCCTCAACACCCTCTCTGTGCTCTTGCTAGGCTCCTCGCAGTTGCCCTCAGTTTTACTCGTACGGACAGAACCTCGCAAGAAAATAGTTGCGGAGGCATGGTGCCCTTACCAATTACAGAGGATTATTACACGATCCTTGAAGTGGAGCAAACCGCTCCCCCTCACCTAATCGTTAGTTCCTACAGACGGCTGGCGTTGAAGCTCCATCCGGACCGGAATGCTAGGCACGACGCTACTGAAGCCTTTCAGCTAGTATGTTGAATTTTCTAGGGCTAAGCCAAATCCTAATCCGCTTTGTCGATCATGATATTGTCTGTGCTGAAATTACTCTAAACATAAAAGCTCGGCCTCGCGTACGAGACATTGAAGGACGAGAGCAAACGCCGAGACTACGACCTCATCTACCCTTCGATAACACGAAGACGGCCCCCTCCTCAAAACACACAAACCCCACGTCCGCCTCCTGGTGCGACACCGCAGCCAGAAACGCTCAACGAAGCGGCGCAAATCGTCGCCCTTCAAAAGTCGAAGCAAGAACGTGGTGCACGGTGGCGGGCTAAGAAGTATGCCTTTGATTCGACGATCTTCGATCTGCAGAGAGGCGTCCGGCTGTTAGAGCAAGAGATCAGGAATCTAGATAGTATTCTGGCTGCTGAGGCGGCGGCAGAGGCACGGAAGAATAGTTGGGGATCATGGCTGTTGTCACCAATATACAAGAAGGCAGAAGATAGTGAGGAGGAGAAGGCACGCAAGGATAGGGGGAGGCAGGAGAGAAGGATTGAGAAAGACTTGAAGGAGCGGCGACTGGATTTAAAGAAGGCGGACTTGAAGAAAGAGGAAAACCTATTAAAAAAGGCAAAGGAGGAGGTTGATGCTGCGGATCTGTGCGATGACGGGAAGATACGAGTGATTCAGGCTAGGATATGGGCTAGAACTCAGGTTGCAGCACTACAACCTAGGATCAACAACTCATATGCCAGAAAGCTACTCTCCGAACATCAGCTGTAGAGAACCCAGCTGAAATCTCAGCTGTAGAGAACCGAGCTGAAGCCTCAGCTGTGCAGGGCTCATCTGAACTTACTAGCGCGCCACCCTGGGGGTGGCCCCCTTCCTTCCCCTAGTATATATACAACTAGCTAGACGTCTATAGAAATCAGAGTTCACATCAATTTAACCTGAGTCTAGAGAAACTCAGGAGAGGCAAGAGAGGGAGAGGGTGGAGAGAGAGAGACTGGCGGAGATTCGGAAACAGCAGCAGGAGCAGTGGGAGAAAAAGCTGCGGGAAGAAGCAGAGGCGATGAGAAAACAACAGGCGGAGAGGCGAGCAGCGGAACAGAAACGACAGGAGGAGTGGCGAGCAGCAGAACAGAAACGACAAGAAGAGATCAGAAAACTGGCAAAGATTTACGATGAGGAAACCAGAAGACACCGGGAACAATACACACATCTCAATCCACCCAAGGGAAGCACTCGCCAGGCTTACACATCGACCTGCGACCACGACGGCTGGTGGCCAAAAGTACAAGGTCGTACAGCATGCCCGGAGTGCTATGAGCTTTGGACTTATCTGCTGCAGTGCCCAGGCTGTGAGATGATGGCGTGTCCGAGATGTCAAGCTGCGATACGGCCGAGGAAACCGCGTAATTCGACGAGGACGAATCGGAGAGCCCCTCCACGGGTGAGGACTCCGAGCCCTGATGTTAACTACGGCTACGACTACGACTGGTAATAGGCTTGTGACGGGAAATCTGAGAAGGAGCGGTTTGGCCTGGGCTTCGGCGCTGATTTAGCGAATATGTACTGCAGATGTTTTGTTCCATAATTACTTAGTTCGGCTGCCATGGCAAAGGTCCCGAGTTGTTCTCGAGATGTCTCGAAGCCGCATTGGACCTTCATGTTCCCGATAGCCACAAGCTTGAAAGGGCCTTGGTCGGAAGCATGGCGACCTTGCATGAATTTGCGCGCCACAGTACACGCAAGGTTGATAATGACTTCCTCACATTGTAGTATGTCTCTAGGGCTCAGATAAACTCGTTTATATATATTGTGGAGTAGTAAGAGCTTAACGGTGATGCTATCCCTTGACACGCTGATTTGCGTCCACAGTTTATCGATATTCTAAGGAGACGCCAAATCAGGACTAGGCGTTTGGCTTAGTTCTAGCGATTGGCTACAGACTTGCTTAGGTAATCACGGTAGACGCCAGCGTGGTGAAGGGATAGGGAAGGGACATCATTACGCTGTAAAAGGAGGTTTTCTGCAAATCAGGTGCGAAGGTAATGGTGCGGACGTAGTTTATAGGTTGGAAGTGTCATAAATGGTTAAAAGTAGCCATAGCACACGACTTATATAGAATTATAGTAAGTGCGCGGAGTCGCAGTCGCTTAAAGCATATTTTGCGGTGCGGTGGGTTTTCCGCGACCCAAGGATAGACATCAGTCCACCATAGATGATAAGAGACAGGAAATCGATAGTTTCATTCCTAAGAGCTCACTCTAAGCCGGACATATCTAGTTAGCCCTCCTTCGTTCTCTCCATCCATCAGCCTCTCAAATGCTCCACTGAAAGTCCTCAGGCTTAAGATCCTTCGCGCATTCCAAGAGCGCTTGTCGCCCAAGCCTAAGCTCCCAGAGCTCTTTCAAAGGACCCTGACTGCGCGCCTTGTGAACCCCATTCTTCCAATCATCCACAAGCTCCATGGTCATGCCCACACCCAGGACTCCTGTGCAACAATCGCCGTAGCAAGCCGGATCACCATCCTCGTGGCACTCTTGCCACAACTGCATGTACCTATCCAATATTTTTACACAGAGGAGGTAAACAGCGAACCAGTTCGTGCGGACGAGCGGAAATTGACCGAAATAGAACTCGGCTTCTGCAATGCCGCGGAGCTTTTCTAGAGCAAGTGGCACAGCTAATAGTGAAAAATAAGTCGGCTGACGCTTATAAAATGGGTGAATATTCCCAACCGGATGTTACTTACTCGTCAAGCGTGAGGGCCACGGGACATCCGGTGATTCCGTCTCCCTATCCCATCAATACTTTGCTTTGTTATGACCTTTCGTTGACTCTCCTTCATCGTATATCTGACACACAATCGAGCTATTTGTGCGATAGCTCATTCTGCGTAGATAATAGAACGTTGAATGTTTCTTTTTCATGTCGAAATGTCTATTGTGCTCGCTGGCGCATGGAAGGTGAACTGGCAGCTGCCTGCGGCTAGGCTTCTTTGAGTCGCTTGCGCTGCGTCCAACAGCCGCTACCAGATTCTCTGAGAAACTGGATTCGGGACGCTTGCCGCGGAAGCAGATTTCGTCGAGAGAGCCGCAGAGGAGCTCGAGTAGTTGGAGATCTGTCGGGTTGATCATGTCGAGCCGAATGAGGACGTTGTAGAGATGTAGGACTGCGGTGATAATGCCGTAGTGCTTAATTAAGGGCATGCTATCGCCGTATACATCTGCAAGGAGCTCAGACATATGCGTACCGGCTACCCACGGCGATCGGTAGTACAGATCGAATCGTCTGTCGGAAAGATAGACGTTCAGACTATGCGAGAGGTCTCTCAGCGATTTCAGGTGCTGCGTCGAGAAGTGGCTGATCAGGGGTCGCACAGCATTCTGAATGCTCTTCGCGAATCTCAGAACCATGATTCGGCAATCGACCGCTGGTGATCCTTGGGTTGTGGCAAGGTAGGTGCTGAAGGTGGAGATCCAAAGTTGCATACCGAGAACGACATTGGTTCCTCCTATGGCCGGATTGGCAACGTATTTATGGAAGGGCGCCTGCACGGGGTTGCCCGTCCCGCCTTCATAGCTAGCCATGGTTTCGAGCATGGAGAGCATACAACGAGTGTTGCGCTCGTCATTCGGTATGTGTTTGAATGGTAAAGTCCCGATTGGAACCAAGTCTTTAGGGTTCTCGACCTTGATGCTTTGGGAATTTGGGCTCTGAGGCACTCGGCGTTTTCGAGTTTGGAATTTCTGCAGTGCGTTGAAGGCCTCTGCACAACCAAAAAAGTCGGAACCCCTATCAGTGGTAGTGCCGTCGTATTTGATGAGTGTTCCAACATTCTCCTCCATGGTCGATATCAGTTCGCTGCGTCGATGGAGGAACTCTTCATGGTTAGGAATCCCAAATCGCTCGGGAAACGTCGAAGTCATTGTCGATAGTTCCTGTACCGAGGCGAAGGCTACATTTGTGAGCCACGCCTTGATGAGCAGGTCCCAGGGGCTTGAGTCGGCCCTCTCCCAGACTTCATTCGCTTTGTCAAAGATCTCTTGAAGCTCCTATTATGTATGGTTAGTAAAGGCTAACACATTATACGCTTTCTAGAACGGTGCTGGAATGCTATACTTACCGACTGATAGTCATAGTAGAACTTGCATCGGAGGTGCCTCTCCAGAAAATCTTCAGTAATGGCTGCTCCGTCCTCTTCTTCGCCAATGAAGCCCTGTCTTCTGAGATCCTCTTCGATTAAGAGTTTGACTGGTTTTTCTCCGTACAAGTGCTGCTCCTCTTCCTCGTCGATCAAGTCTTCGAGATCAAGAACCTCGTACAGATTGGCTACAGTATTTTTTTCGCCGAAAATATTCCGATCTGAGACTGCGGTGGATCGTTTGACTTTGGGAAACAAAATATCAAAGATTTCCTTTAGCCTGATGTGTCTCGTAAGTGATTTGGTCTAGAACAAAGGTGGATGAGGATCAAATTATCTTACAATTTCGTAAAGTGCTCATGCGAGGCGTTACTAGCATCATCCGATTCCGAACCGTCGCTTTTGTGGAGCTCCGTAAGCAGCGTTCTATTAGATATAGCATCCCGGAATGCCCAATATATGGCAGAGGGGATCTCAGTCTTCGACGCGCGAACTTTCTGAGCCGCAGCTTTCATATCTTTGAGTGACATGGATGACACTTCTGGGGAGGCTCCAGAGCAGGATATGAGCCATTTGACAACAGAGGAGGTGCTTTTCTTGTAAGAGCGGTACAAATTATCTGGGGCAAAAGACGGTGATGATGCCATATTGGCTACAAAAGAGAAAAATATGGTGGTTTACAGTGGCCTAGGGCGGTGGTGGAGGTGTGTGGTTGGTGTATGTGTTTTGCAACTGTGAAAAGGAGGGAAGGTGTCCATTATGACAGCGTTTTATATCAGCGCGGAGATCTCGTAGAGATTGGTGAATGTTGGCAAGATTAAAGGTGAATTGATTGAGTAAGTGGAATGAATAGTGCACCACCTAGTCATGGCTAATCCATTACACTTTCCAGATTCTGAACAAGATGGAAGCTCATACTTTTGTACCTACCGTACTAGGTCACAAGTTTGGGCATGCCGTCTCTCTCATCTCGTTCCGATTTGTGATCAGGTTTTGAAGCACCCCAAAGCGGCAAGTAGGCGGACTATCGAGGCGTGAATGACCTCTGATTCAAGCTCTTAAGGACTTCACATCTTTTCAATTTTTGCGGATGCCCCGAAACACCTCCAACGGCGTTGCGAAAATGTGCCTAGACTTTTAGCAAAGCGCTGTACGGTGATTTCAGTAAACCACTTCAGATAGTATCAATTAGCAAGCTGGATAGACTCACATCGAGGTACGTTAAGTCTACGCACAATCTTTTACCACCACCTGTGGTACTTCAACGCATTTTCAGAGAACCGCATGAGATGAAAAGTCGACTCTTGACTGGCCTCTACATTCGCTGGAGTCAGCCTTAGATTTTGCCAATTGATTTTGTCTCGGCTGCATTCATGGTGCATTCATGGAAGCACACCAGACTTTGCTGAGCAAGTGCTTACCCGATCGATGATATGGCACTGCAATGAGTGGATATCAATCGTTGCTCTAGCATTATAGCCTTGTGAGAATGTAGTTAAGACCTCGAAGAATCGCAAGTGAATAATCTGAAGAACCCAAGCGCCTATCAATAGAACAACACCCTAGTAGTGTATGAGGCCGCCCAAGTGTCTAAGATCTGATTATAGCATCTCATGAAGTAGAGAAAATGAGAAAATTACTCAGGTTGCCACTACTAGCGTGTCAGTGGCGTTACATTCTTCCATATCCGTAACAAGGGGGAACAGGGGAGTACCCCCCCTTTCAGGGGCTATATATACGGGCCTTATGCCTCTTCAAATCAACACAGAACTGCTTCTTCACAACTTGACAAAATCAGTACTTGCCAACATCATTATCATTCGCGAGTAAGCACCAACTCCATAGCTCTTCGGAGTTTCTCCAGAGCTCCTTCAAAGATCCCACTGGAAATCAGAAGGGTTCAGGTCCTTTGCGCACTCCATCAGGGCTTGCTATGCAACTTGTATCCGATCAATATCCTTCAATTGTCGTAAGGGGCGTGTGCCTCCGCCAAAGCCCTCTTTAGAAATATCCACAAGCTCCGCAAGAAAGGCGACTAGATGCACTCCCAGCCTCGCACCGTCAGGGCAAGCAAGCCCATGCATGTCACAGCCTCTCCAGAATCCAATTGGAATCCCCAGCTCGCATATCCGCTTTAGAGTCTTCGCACACATAAGGTAGACTGCGTACCAGTTCGTGCGAAGCATTGGGAAATCGCCAAAGAAGAACTCGGTTTCGACAAGGCCATGGAGGTACTCCAGGGTTCGCGAAGGACTGTCCGTTAGATGGACGTCAGGCGCGTCCGACATCTCCGCTTTCCATCGTCCCTGTGCTCGTTTCTCGCATCTCGACGATGTGCCTTCCCCGTATAACTGGCATGAGGCTCGTGGGGTTACGCGGTACTTCGATCTGAGAATGTGCAAGAAGCTTGAGAACTGTGTTGAGATGCTGTGAACCGCGTGGTCGCCGTGAGATGGAATTTGGCCCGGCAAGAGCCAGCGTTCTCCGCGGCCAGGCTTTTTCGTAACCGCTCCACGAGTGACGCAAGTTCTGAGATGATCCATGAAATTTCCATGAGGGCGTTTGCCCAGAGACGCAATATCGTCGAGGGACGAACATAACAGTTCGAGGAGCTGGAAATCTTTGGCATCAACCAAGTTGAGCTGGATAAACATATTGTAGAGGTGCAAGACCGCACAGACGGTGCCGTCGTGGATGACCATTGGCAGACCATTGCTGAATGCGTCTCCGAGTATCTCAGAGATGTGCGTTCCAGCGACCCAAGGCGAGCGGTAGTAGAGATCAAACCTATTGTCGGAGGTGTAGGCATTAAGGGCTTCCGCGAACGCCCCAACTGCAGGTTGTTTTTCCTTGAAACCTTGATTTATCAGCTTCTACCGATTTCAAGACGTCTTTGGCAAATCTCAGCGCCGAAACTCGACAGTCAACGACTGACGGTCCGATACGTTCATTACTAAGGTAGGTGCTGAAGGTTTTAAGCCAGAGCTGGATAACAAATACAATGTCGGTTCCGTCCGAGCTTGGATCAGCAAGGTAATCTCGAATGTCGGTTTGTAGGGGGTTGAAACCAGTAGGGAACAATTTGTAGATCCAGTCGTCGAAACCTTTTGGAAGCAGATCGAGCTCAATTTGCCCACTTGTCCATTCCTCCCAACTCTTCATCATGTGCTGATTTGGCTTGTGAACTTTCGCAAGTTCATGTATGCTCCGAATCAAGGAGAACATGCAATCAGAAGCAGCCTCAGGTTCATTTTGTGAGCCCGGAAGTGGAACCATGACTCGAGGGCTCTCAAATTTGGGGGTTCTTGAGTCTCGAGGAGCAAGACGCTTGGTGTGCAGAAATGTCTGTAGCACGCCCCACGCGTCAATGAATCCAGATCCGTCGCGGAATGTCTCTCTGCTTGCGCCTTCGTGATCGACCAAGCCGAGCTTTGATCGATCATTGGAGGATAACCAATCAGCGCGCCGACGAAGGAACTGTTCGTGGTTGTGAATAGTAAAGTAACCGTGGCCCCCGTAGCATATGGTCTTGACCATTTTGTAGGCGATGTTCGTGAGCCACGCTGTGATGACTAGTTGCAAAGGACCTGAGTCACATAGTTTCCAATAGTGGTGTATCGCAGAGAAGGTGTCGTCGAACTCCTGTTCAGTAGAATTATGGTAAGCGGATACTGATACTAGTGTCCATCTCAAGAAGTGCAGGCATTACTTACCAGCATGTAGTCATAGAATTCGATCACGTCGAAGTATTTCTTCAAAACATCCCCCGAAATACAGCGACCCTGGCCGTCTTCGTCAAGAAGGCCAAGGTTTCTGAAGCAGTCCTCAAGGTGTGGCCCCATCGGCCGTGGTCCATACCGCCGCTCCTCATTTTCATTGGTCGAGTCTTCTAAATCCTCGATATCAAGAACGCCGTACACGTTGACTACAGGAAGTTCCTAAGGGAGTATCTCGTTCTAGAGCTGTCGGTGATTTGGGATTAGAGAATAGAATGCTAGAAATTTTCCTCAATATAATGCCTTAGTCAATAGGATGGTCGTGAAATGCGAGACGCTTGACTTACGTGTTGGTGAAGTACTCGTGAGATGTGTTACTAGCGTCATCCACCGGCCGCTCAGATCACCACCCTTGTAGAACTCGGTAAGTACGGATCGATTCTGAATTGCATCTCGAAACGCCCAATAGATAGCAGGAGGGATCTCAGTGTGAGCTGCGCGGATGGTCTGAGCTGAAATGATCATGTCTTTGAGAGACAAGGAGGGTACTTCGGGGGAAGCTCCGGTGCAAGATATGAGCCATATAACGATAGCAGAGGTGCTTTTCTTGTACGAACGGTACATATTTCGAACAGAAGGTGGCATGGACGCCATGGCGGCCGACTGTGAAGTAGAAATTGTCAGCGAGAAAGTATATAGCTTAAGGTGTCGGCGAAATTTATCTCTGATAGTGTAGCTTTGAAAAGCGGCGAGAGCAGGGTGGCTTTAAGTAGCGGCACGGAGGTCTCGTAAAAGTTAGTGAATGCTGGCAAGCCGGTCATCATAGATGTACGTAGACGTACTAGGCAGGCGACCCGTCGCTATGAATATGTTACAATACGTTGAAGCACCACAAGCGATGGAATTCAAAAAGTGCACGAGCTCACGACAAGGTGTCTTAGATCTGTCCACACCCCTCTGCCACTACAGTGTTTCACTGATCGTTCACAACTTGGCTAGAGACTGTTAAACCAGATAAGTGAGTGATAGAAATAATGAGTCGAAAGGTCTATCTACAAACTTTTGACGCACCTGATATAAGTGAGGCGTACAAAGAGAGGTTTGTTTAACATATCTAGCAAACCTACAAACGCTGAACAGGCTCACATTGTCTGGCATGCGGATTATATAATCCTCGACGAGATTAGGGCTGGACTGTACCGCAAGATCAGCCAGGCCTTCGCCGCTTTACTCCCAGTCAAAGCTATGGGTGTTATGGGCGACAAGAGAGTGCACAATCAAGTCATTGCGCTCAGAGTTGTACAGGCTTACGACGACTCACTTTCGTATAGTTTGTAGGTTTCCATTGATCTACTACCTACTTCTACCTGAAAAGGATGTAGCGGAGGGTTATGCTCGTGGCAATGCAACTCCGAAAGCCTTTCTCAAAAGTCTTGCAGGAATACCAATCAGATATCCCAGAGAAACTCAGCTAGATTTTTGAGTTGGTCAGAATAGGCAAGGATGACCTCTTTTGCAATCTTCAAATGAGGTATCTCCCTCAGAGGTCCCAGATTACGGGCTGTGACCCTGCCATCTTTCCAATCATCCACGACGCCCGCTATTAGAAAAGCCACCTGCACTCTAGTGTTACAGTCCCTAGTAGTGTTTCCTATGACTAAGCCATACTTGATCGCCAATTGAGTGAGCGTGTCTAGGATTTCCATGCAGATAACAAGGACTGCGAACCAGTTGGTGCGGAGAACAGGCAGGGGACCGAGGTAGAGCTCGTTCTCCACAAGGCCGTGGAATTTCTCCAGGTAGCGTGGGATTTTGTGGCCTTGGTGGATCTGTGGTCCTTCATCCATCTCCTTTTCATGCCTGGTCGCCACCCACTTGATAGTCTTTGGATCGAGTTGCTCCCCATACATGGCGTTCAAGATTACAGAGTACGGCTCATATCGGGCCGCGTGCGCCAGGAAGAAGCTTGACATTTGTTGGGGAAGTTCTTTGTGGTAATTATCGCAACAGTTTGGAAGGTCTTCCAGAACCCTCCGCCCCTCACGCCCTTGATACTTCTTGGGCCCTCTCTCGGTGTTACAGCTAGCCGATCGAGAGAACTGGTTTCTAAAGTTGCTTCGAGGTCTTTTACCGAGGAAAGAAACATTCTCGAGAGTAGAACAAAGTGATTCAAGGAGCTTGAAATCTTTGGGTTCAACCAATTCGAGCTGAACGAGAAGATTGTACATGTGCAAAACAGCACAAATGTATCCCTTGTGCCTGATCATTGGTATGCCAAAGCTATAAGCGTATCCCAGGATTTCGCCCATATGGGTCCCTGCAACCCAAGGCGATCGATAGTAGAGGTCGAATCGCTTGTCAGATATATAAGAGTTCAAAGCCCGCGAAAGATAGACCCAGCTGGAATATAGAAGGGGCTTGTTGGCTCCTTCGCCTTCTGGATAGTTCATTGATTTGTGGTTGAGCATAGCAGCTAAGGACTTGTGGACCTCCTTTGCAAATTTAAGAGCTGTAATCCGGCAGTCCATACCCGCTGGCGCCGTCCGGTCATTACCAAGATAAGTGCTGAAGCTCGTCAACCAGAGTTGGATTCCAACGACAGCTTCGGTCCCTCCAGCAGATAGTTCGTTCGTAAGAAAGCCGTGGATGCTTGCTTGCAGAGGATTAAACCCCGGGGAAAAGAATCCATAAGAGACATTGGGTTCCGAGGTGTCCCAACCTAGTTCAGATCCCATGATTGGCATGCCTTTGTGAAATTCCATCAACTGCACTATGCTCTCCAACATGGACATCATACAGCGATGACCTTCGGGCTTGAACTTGACGTCCAAGAGCGAGCCCGTACGTGGGATCATATCCAGCGGCTTCTCGAATTTGACCTTACTGGAGCTCTGGGGTACCTGAGCCATTCCATCTTGAAATTCTTGTAGGGCAACCCAAGCATCGATGAATCCAGGACCATCGCGAAAAAGGCCTCTAGGCGCTCCCTCGTAATCCATGGCCTTGACATTCGACCGAGAGAAGTAAGAGAACCAAGCAATGCGCCGCTGAAGGAACTGCTCATGGTTGAAGTACTTGAAGGTATGCGGGCCTTGGATAGTGCTGATATATCTGATATTTTCGAATGCCACATTGGTCAGAAAAGCTGCGACGAGAATGTTTGAGGATCCAGACCGGCACATTTCCCAGTAGCGCATGAGTGCCGCGCAAGTTTCGTCAAATTCCTATTCGCCATGGTCAGCAAAATTCCAGATGCGGGGATCTGACTTTAGATGTGCCAGAGACACAGCGCCACTTACTACCATGTAGCCGTAGAAGTCTAGCAGCTGGTACAGGATACTGTTGATGCCCCCTTCAATGCATGTGCCTTTCTTATCTTCTCCAAGGAGACCAATGGCGGTCAGCCAAGTCTCGAGTTCATCTTGGATAGGCCTTAGTCCGTAGATAAGCTCCTCGTCCTCGGAAATCAACTGTTCCATGTCCAGATCTACTGTCGTGCTGCTGTAGTCTTCGGTATCATCATCTTGCGCCGTTGAGCTGAGAACGCTATATGAGTTGTCGCTAGTAGGGTCTTCCTTGGGAGTGTCGCAATGTGGCTCCGGTGAGCGATTCTTCTTCGGGAAAAGTATGCGAAAGATATGCTTCAATCTACAAGTCTGAATCAGTAAACTGCTCAAAGAATAACAACCTGCGGTCCCACATTTTGATGAAGTGCTCATGTGAAGAAGTGCTGGCCTCGTCCGACTCAAATAGACCACTCTTGTACAAGTGGGAAAGCCTTGTCCTATTTTCGATCGCATCTCTGAGCGCCCAATATATGGCACGAGGTATATTCGTCTTCGCTCCAACTATCCGCTTAGCAGCCGAGACCAGGTCCTTCAGCGATGCCGAGTCTTCTGGGGTGCGTTTGATGTCTGAGCCAGCCATGAGCCAGTTCACGATTGCGGCGGTGCTTTTCTTGTAGGATCGGACCGCGTCATGAATGTCCGGCGGACGAGAAGCCATGGCGTTTTGAGCTGCTATCACCGTTAGAGTCCGTGACTTTAGAAAATGCATAGAACAAGGAGAGAGCCATTACATACGAGGAAGGATTATGGGTGTCGAGAAGAGAGAGCAACGGTCGAGGTTTGCGAAAGACGAAGAGTGCCGAGTGAAGTAAGTGAAGCCGTCGAGGCTTAGATCATGCTGATAACGATAACAGCCCGTATCAGTAATGTAAGTGAAGGTGAATGCAGTCAGTCTCGCTTAGGATCAGATGGTATAGCCCGGTGGGAATATGGAACGCTTGGAAGGATTTGGCTCAGATCTTTGAACGTGAGATGGAGCACGCTTGACCGTGACAAAGAAGGGTATGCAGATTGCATTTGCATCACGCGGCTGCGACAAATTGTGACAGGTATAGAAACTGGAGAGGAAAAGAAGACGGAATGGCGGTGTGAGCTTCAAGTGAAATGGCTAGCGATCAGTCCATCCAATCGTACCAGAGGTCAAATCAAAGTTTCAGTGAATGAGGCACATGGTGACGACGTCGTCTGAGGTGGCCGACTATGTTCACAGATAGTTCAAAAGGCCAGTCTCTCGTCTCCCCTGGATCTACCAAAGGACGTAAAGACGCGACCACGTCCACTGACTACACTCACTCGCAAAAAGAGAGCAAAGCCCAAAAAATACATCTCTGCAACAAAAGTTCGCCAGGCCTAAGCCCAGACTCCATCTTTGTCGTGTCGAATATCGCTCTACACCAAGGGGTTGATTCAAACCCAGCCTCCAAGGCGACTTACTTGGTATCCCCGGACGGACACCGACTGCGCTAAGATAATGGGGAATTCCCAACTCTGCTTTGTTAGTTGAAAAAGCCAACGAAAATGTGGATATGTATGACTTGACAAACGAAATTTCACCTAGAAGTAATTCATAAACATCCGGTATCTTCGCACATGACCGTGTGGACCCTTTCACCATCGTCTATGGCCACTTCACCACATTGTCGAGCTCTCCATCGGCTTCACCCCCACCCTTGTGCGTAGCATCCGGCGTCGTCCTCGGGCCGTGTCCGCGTTCCCCCCTCCCTCCGTCAACGGAACAACCCCAGCGCCGACGTCCCCTATCCAGCAACTCTTGGCGGCCGCCAAGCTGTTGAGTCTCGAGGGAGAAGATTTTCCCAAGTTTCGACGCCAACATCACCTTTTCGCAAATAACTCAACAACCATGCATGCTAGCGCATAAATGAAACCATGACGGGATACATCTAGTCGCAGAGCATACCTAGCGAGAATTTTGGAGATCAATCTTGCTGCGCCGTCGAGATAGTGGTGGGGTCCGCGAGTGCGACGAGAAAAAGAACCCAACTCTCCTCCCTCCCAACGTGCAAACAGTCTAGAAACATGCACTAAGCGTCTGCATCTACGAGGCCCATGTCATCTCACCCTCAGTGCTTACCATCTGAGCGGTTGAGCGTTAGAAACTCCCTACAGGCGGTTTCTCCTATTCAACGGCCGCCGCGACCGACTTCGTACCTCGGGGCTATATGCTTCCGCCTCCGAAAAGAAACCAACCTATTCGGCAACTCTTGGCCGCCGCCACGCTGTTGAGCCCAGAGTGATCGAATTTCCGGCCGTTCGTCGCTCCACGCACCTTTTCACACGCAACTCCACAACCACAAGTCCTATCCAAAAATTGAAAGCAGGACGTGATGCACCCAATCAAGGAGAATATTTCACGAGGTTCTGGAGGGACAACATTGAAAAGCCGTTGTGATAGGGGTGGGGTCTTGGGGCCGCACCGGCAAAAACAGGCGGATTTTGGGGTGCGGGACGCCAACAACACGGAAAATAGGTTTGTTTCTGATGATAGAAGAATATGCTATCGCTTTTATGCCTACCTACAGTACTTACTGTGATGGAATACTAGACCTCGCGACCGCTAATGCTTTGATTCAACCCGACCTGCGTCCAGTAGACGCCACATCTCATATTATTTTCTACTAATCTTCTACCAGTCCGCAAAAACCACTCTCTACATAGAGCCTACCCGACAGCCGTCATTACAGCAACTCAATATTACCCCACTTCTTAGCAAACATACCCATCGCCTTGATTGTGAACGTGAACTTGTAGTTCGGATACGAAATCATGCTGTAGCTAGTTAGCACTCTCCCAGCCTCACTCCCGATAACACCCAAGCTAACATACCAAGATTTATTAAACACCCCCTCGATTGCTTCTTGCTTCCACTCCCCATTCGCACACTGCCTCCCCATAATCATCTTCAGCGCCTTCTTCAGCGGCTCCGGATCCGGATACCCTGCCTCGAGCAGCGCAATGCACACCCACGCAGTCTGCACGACCTGGCTCTGCTCATGCTGGCAGTACGTCCCGCTCTCGCAGCTCTTGTACGTCTCGCCCCACCCGCCATCCTCCATCTGGCGGTCTAAGAAGAATTGACAGGCGAGGCGCACCCGCTCCGAGTTCTCGTAGGTTTCCCCGACCGATGCAAGGGCTTCGAGCGCGAACATGCCGGCGTACGTAAAGCAGATGCCCCAGGAGCCGTACCAGGAGCCGTCGGCGCGCTGTTCAGTGCGGATATACTCGACGGCACGCGCCTTGAAGTCTGCGATGTGGGACGAGCGGTAGTCCGGGAAGCGGTCCGTGAACATAGACAGGGCCCCGACGACGGCGGTCGTGCATTCCGGGTAGTCGTATTCGATCATGATGCGGCCGAAGACTTCAGCGGCGTTGAGCCACTCGAGGTAGACGGGGCCGCGAGTCGGCTCGTAGGAGGCGCAGCCCCCAGAGGCATTCTGCATCGTGAGGAGGACGTCGATGGCTTGTTGCTGGCGGTCTGCGGAGATGAGCTGTGGATAGCCGGGGATGTTTTGGAGCATCATGACGGCTTTGAGGGCTTCGGAGGTGCAGTCGGAGACGGTATACCCTTGCTTTTTAGTGCTGAAGCCCCAGGCGCCCTTGCGGCTCTGGCGGTACGATCTCTTCTGCTCGCGCACCTCCTCGCGCATTTGCTGGGCCTCGAGGAATTCGAGCGCTTTGAGAAGCATGGGCTTCCACTTCTGGTCTTGCGCGAAGCCGGCGGTGACGCAAGCTTGGATGAGGAAAGCGGTATCCCAGACTTGGACTCCATTGGTACCGTTCATCAGCATGCCTTCGCCTTTTACCCAGAGAAACTCGGGGAGTGTTTTCCGGTGTTCCTGGACTGAGTAGGAATCCGGCCCTTCTTTAATATAGCAGACCAGTGTATTCATGGGCCCATTGACAGGTCCAAGATTGGTATACTCTGTGTTGTGATCTTCCTCTTGGACCAACCACCATACCCAGTCTTCTGCTTTCTTGACCAGGAAATTTGGTCGAAGATACGGGTTCCAGACATTGACCAGTGCCCAGTTCACGGAGTTTAGGAGCCAGCTCTTGGGATGGTAGTTGTCTTTTACGTGAATGCTGTTCCGGTGAGACAGGAAGTTGATCTGCTCAACTGGCTCCGTGAACAACTCCTGTTGTAGTGATCGCGTAAGGTCGTTCAGGGGATACTGCCACCGCTTGGAATACACATAGCTCATGGGCAGGAATACCATCCGCATGTGTATCCACCACCTCCACGGCGCTAATGGCACCCAGTCCGGAAGAAGCCTACATCAAGCACATCAGCATCGTCATTTGTCGCCCTCAAGTTCATTCGCCTTACCAAAACTCTGGCGGGACTGGGTTGACCAAATCCCAACCCGCAATTCCCAGTACTGCAAGCCAGAACTTGGCCCAATGCGGCCCATACACCGCACCACCCATCTTATGTAACAAACCCCTCGCCTTGATAATCCTAGGGTCCTCCGCACTCGCTCCAAGCAGCCGCAGCACCACATAGTTCATGCTGGTCCCGAATACAGAGCTCTCGCCTTCAATATGTAGTCCCCATCCCCCATCCTTGGGATTTTGGCGTGCATATAAGTAATTTTTGATTTCGATCTTCCACGCCTCGGGGACTGGTGTCTCGGTGACATACCAGGTGATGACAGCGCAGGGTAGCAGGAACATAGGTCCGCCATATTCACAAGCCCAGTTTCCAGGCGGGAGTTGAAGGTGTGAGAAGAAGGAGAGGCCATTAGCGGCGGATTCGAGGGGGGTTTTCGCGGCAGGAAGCTTGGGAAGGCCCTGTAGAATGTTAGCACTTTACTCCTATAGAGAAGCAGAACTAAGATAGATAGAAGCCAAGGGGAGAATTCCTATTACCGTTTCTAGACCCAAGTGATATTTATCCGCGGTGCTCTGCGGCCACGCCTTGAGCTCCTCGTCCGTCTCTAGGTAATGCCATGTCTGGCAGCCGTCTTCATCCTTCAGCCGCCATTGTGAGTAGTCCGTCTTCTGCTCACCGACCGCATTGGCGGTGATGTGCCCATTGGTATGCTTCTCTGCCACCTCTTCCTTCGCTTGGCGATTTACGAAGTTCTTGGAGTGTGCCATTATGTTTTGAAACAGAGAGGAAGTAGCAGTTAGGACGTGTCCGGGTGATACTGCTATAGTCGAAGTCGCATTGTGCCTCTGTCCAGTATCGCGGGGGCGCAGCAATGTATTGAGGCAGGCCTGAGGTCCCTGCAAGGGCATGGGCATGCGCGTCGCCATCGACACCATCTCAGACTCTTGGCGTTCAGGAACAGAGAGCTCTGATTGGGTGTGGCTTGCGGGACTCCGCTAACATCCCAACCACCTGGGCAGGCATTACTGGTGCCATTGCGCTTGTCTTAGATGCCAACCCACGTCAGCTGCAATGCGTAGCGGCTCAACCAATTCGACGTCCGCGGAGGATCGTTTAGCAGTTCATTCTTCACTTTCGATTTATCAATCTCTAAAGTTGATGTGGACATGCCACCACGTCACGGCGGTATAGTGGGGCGCCCCTGGAGGCTCCCAGGAGGTCATTCGAGTGCACAATTGGCATGATTCTATGGTTCAATCGTTGTCAGATTACGTCCCACGACGAGTTCCATCGTCGTAGATTCGACCCAGTACATATACATCCAAGAGGCAGCCTGGCCCCCATATTCATCCCTCGAGTACAACAGAACACAAAATGCACCTGTCCCTAGCATGTGAAGCCTAGAAGCTATGTGATGCCGAGATGCCGATCCCAAAACCAAAACAAGCCCACTTGGTACGCCGTGAATCCGTATGATGAAGATGCTGCAAAAGAATTCCCTCAATCGCTTAGGTCAGGGTTCGCAATAAACAACCGCCCTGCTCCGCTCATTGTCATCGTCCTGTCGTCGACACTGCCTCTTCTTCGTAGGTCGTCCGATCCCTTCTTCTCCTCTTCAGCGTGCCGTGGGGGAAGCTGCTGCATCTGGCCAAGGTTTCCGAAGCTGTTTTCCCGCTCCCCGGAGCTGCCACTGCCTCCAGAGAGGCCTGTCCGGGTAGACTGAGCGAAATAGTCTGCTTGCTTTGGAGCGTAGTTGCCCGGAACTGGTGTCTCTTCTTCGAGGGTGTCCGCCGGCGAGTTGTTGCTAGGCGGGGTACTGCTCGTGCTCATCCGTCCTTGGGCATTCAGATACTGTATCCTCCTTCCAGATCCTAGAGAGCTTCTCCCACTGCCGGTCCGTTGATGGTAGGGTTGGCCTGCCTTCTGGCTGTCTGCGTCCTCGCTGTCATTTTCGTCCACCTCGCTAGCACTTAACCGCATGGGCACTCCGCTGCCAGCCATATTTCCAGGTGCATATAGGGATGCTTTGGGAGCACCGTGATGCCGTATCTTTGACCTCACTCCAGCCGCTACGCCAGACGAGGAGGTAGAGGTTCGCCCTGTAGTGTTCCCGCCCACCACCTCCATAGTCGCCCTCATCTTGGCTGCCCGCTGTGCTGCCTGTATCCGCGGGTCCTCCGACTGTGCGCGATCACACCATACAGTAGCCTTTTGTTTTCGCATAAGTGAGACATAGCTGGTCGGAGAGTTGTTGCCGGATCGCGAAGAGGAAGAACGTCGGAGCCCTGAGTTTGTTCGAATCATGCCCTGTCCGCCGCTAGCATTGGTAGAGGTCGTCGAGGCAGTGGCATTTGAAAGAGTGCGTCGTGAGCCTTGCTGGAATTGCTGTTGGTATTGCTGTGGTTGTTGTTGTTGCTGGACGTATGTGTTGTTGGTGGATGTAGGAGTGACCTGCGGGAAGACGGACGAGGACGAGGTTCGTGTGCGACTGTGCATGCTCTGCTGGTGGTCAGGGACGAGGTGGCCTGCAGAGTCGTGCGAGGCGCCCGCGGTGCCCGGCTGGGGGAGAGGCTTTCGGTGAGGGAGCTGCATGTACTGCGGCGGGCGGTAGTTGTCCACCATGGTGGTCATCTTTGAGCGGATTGGCGACGGGGTGTTTGTTTTCTGGAAAGCGCGAGGCTCTGCGACCTCTTTGTACAGAAAGGAGAGGCAGCTGCAAGTGGTGTTGCTGGCCGGGGGGTGAGGGCTGCAAGGTGGAGGTATTGGTGGGGCGCCGAAGGCTGGAGGAGTCGTGGCGGCCGTTTTCGATCACTCAGCTCGGAACACACGAGGTTGCCACGGCTGGTTGCGGACGCTCAGCTGTCAGCGTGCGATGAGTGGGCGTGAGTAATTGACGCGTGTGGAGTTCGAGAAAGTCGCAGAAGAGAGTTGCAGCGCAGTTCCGACGGTGCACGCAGATAGCTGGGGCGCGGGCGGTACTTGGTACTTGGGCGGTCTCTCTATCATGCCATACAACGGTAGAACAGTCGATAGCGGCTCTCCCGACGACGCCGAAATACAACCAGCGGCGGCAGCGAGGGGTGCTGTTTTGAGACAAGCCTCCGCTCTTGATGCGACGGGCGGCCTTGGAGGGCGCAACGTGGGTGTGGGGAGGCTCGCAAGCGGATGGGATTTGCTGAGGCTGACGGGGCGTATCACGGCGATGCTGCGGCGGCAAGAGGGCGTACTTAGGCAGTGCACTACGAATGAGACGCCGGGCTGGCCGGCAGACAAGACTCTCCTGGCAAGCAGATATCGAAAGCGCCAGCGTGGAGGGCCGTTGGGGCCTCAAATACAGCAGCCATCGCGGCTAGGGTCCGCTTTAATGACGACAAATCTGGACATCGAAAGAGCTCACGAACACACGAATCCCGAGCATCGTATCCACCGGCGAATCACCGTCCGCCCCCGCCTGGCTTCATCGCGACTCTCAATATGCCCGATATACGTCCTTGAAATGCTCGCTTCCAAGGCCCCAAGGCCTGCTGCGTCGGCCGCACACCCGGCGGATGGCTGGCAATTCCCTCATGAATCAAGTATCGTCGCCTGTCGTATTCTAGTGCGCACCTAGCCCTGGCAACAGCAGTGGGAAGTTGGAACTTCATCACAATCCCATGCCTCTCCCACGCTCAACCCAGACCGGCCCCGTTCGCGCGCAGCCGGGCGAATGAGACGGCTGCATGTCGCGCCTAGACCTGGCTGGCCATCTGGCCTTGATAGCCGCTTTAGGATCGGCTGGACTCCGACTCCAGCAACAAGTGGCCGCTTGACCAGCTTTCCCAGGGCGCTGCGAGACGGTGTGAAGGCGGCTGCATCTGCGCGAGATGCTTCATGGATCCCCTGCAAGCCTGGACAGATAAGGCGCAATGCCTCGTCAAGAACTGCAGTTCGAGTGGACATCACTCCGCTCACCACTCACCACTCACAGCCGGCCCTGCGTCTGCCTCGCATCTGCATCAGCATCAGGCCATGCACGCTGGGGATCGGTTCCCCGGGTTCTCTCCGCGAAACCCTTTCCTGCATCGGATAGACGGCGACGCTGCCTCTCACAAGAATCGTCTCTTCTGGCCTTCGTGGCGCGGCAGCTCAACACCACACTTCGGCATCGCAGGATGCCCCAAAGGACGCCCTAGCCGCCGGCGGCGGCCTTTATGGCAGCTTTAGCGGCTGAACTCTATCTTTCTAGCGCCGCGCTGCGTCTGCATGTCTCGCTTTGGGCGACCACGACGGGCAACGCACCACACAGCATCCACAGCAGCCGCCACACGTCCGCATCCGATCAACCGGGTCGCGATGGTGCAACGTTGACTCCGGGCGCCACAGTTCCCGGCAGCCTGTTCTGCTGCCACGCGCTGTGTCTCTCCATCCAGACCGCTTCTCTCGCAACTCCGCGACGGTCTTGTTTGGCGCCTTGTCCTGTCAGCGGCGAGAAGCGACCGTTGCCTCGCAGAGTTTCCCAACGTCTGACCTGCGGCACTTACCGACAATCACTCCAGCTGAACAGTAGCGCTGGTGGAGACTTCGTACTTGAGCACGAGTTCCGTTCTTTCTCGCAACTCTCCACCAACCACGCCAGCTGTCATCCACACCCCGCACCATCATTCCGTACCCCTCCACACCACCAGCAATCCGCCAACACACCATCGCGGTACTTCGTGGGGAACCGAGCGAGAACTGCCACGCGGATCGTTCCTACGCTTATCCCAGTGCAAAGGTAGCCGGTCCCTCAGGGAGCAACCACTCACGTCACGGGATACATGCACGACACGCCACTCGTTCTGCAACCGGCAATTTTATCTTGCGAGGCTATATGTAGGGAACTACATATCTCAGGAGTGGTTGTACGAGTAGCGTCCTGATCCGCAAATTATTAGTGCTCACAGTGGAGATGTGGACGCCGAATTATCGAACCCACCTGGACATGACGCAAGCGCCGCCGTACCTCTTGAAGCAATCATGGTGGCTCTCTAAAGAGAATCAGTAGGGTTTGAACCGCTCCTTCTTCTTCTCCTTATGTTTCCTCCTCTCCTCTTTATCTCTATTTTTCTCTTTTTTGGCCTTCTTCGACTGCAGTCCATCACCCTCAGAGACATCCATTTCATCTGCATCCGCAAGCTTCCAGGCTCGGACGGAGCCGTCCTCGCCGCCTGTGTAAGTTGTTCGGCTCTGTAGGAAGTTAGACTCAGATTTCGACAAGCGATAGAGGGGAGAGTTAAGACCACTAACCGGTGCATCGCTGTACACATCTCGCACAATCTCTTCGCCGTGTCCACCAGGCAACCTGACCCGCTCTCCGACATCGTACGCCCAGTTTAGTGGGAGATCTCCTGTCGGTCGGCGTAGGGGGATCAGATCCAGATACTGTGAGCTAGACGCGCATCAGCATCTGTATATATTTAGATCGAAGGAGTACATACCTATGGCTCCCTCCAACGACGCATGCCTCTCCACCTACCTCCATCACCTTTACCACATACTCCAACCCCATCCCCTCCCTCACATCTCCTAACGCCTTCGGCGCTGGCTCAACCACGCTGTCGTCTTCGCTCTGCAGCTGGTAGAAACTCAACGTCTCGTCCGTGCCGAGCGCGTAGATGTCTGTTTCATTCAGGAAGCCTGCGTGGTGGATGGCGGACGAGTGGTTGATGACTTGGTACAGTGCTTCTTCCTCGTCGGGCTTGCGGGTGTCAAACACGTTGACGAGACTATCGGTGCTGCCACTTAGGAGGATGTGGGGGTGAGATGGGTGAAAGGAGAGGGTAGTGATAGTGTCAGTGTGGGAGTCTGGGAGCAGAAGGACTGGGACATTGGGGTTTCGGGTATCCCTAGGATTGTATTAGAAGGTGTGATTAAATGATAGAAATTTAGAATAGTGCAGTAGAGGCAGATATAGAAGAGTCATATGAGCAGATGTAGAAATAGAAAACCAGAAACGGATACATATGCAATACATGACCAACATAATTGCACGTGAAGAACACTCCAAAAAGACCTACCACACAAATACCGGCGCATCGCCAGGCCCATCCTTTTCCAATTCCGTCCCCGCAACTACAGCCCGCCCGTCCGGACTACACGCGAGCGCAGAAAGTGGTGTGTTATTCGCTAAATTAAAGATCTCAATTAGCACTCTTCCATCAATCTAGCATCATCAAAAACAACGAGGTTTTCGTAGAAAAGAAATCACCACTCACGACTCTCAATCCCCATCCCACTCTTCCCCGTCCGCCTATCCCAAAATTTCACCAACCCATCTCTTCCCGCCGTGGCATACGTCTCTGCCGACGCGGAAATAGGCTCTAGACACGTGACGCTCCTGTGTGCGTTCTGGATCAGGCCGTCCGGGAGGAGCGAGAGGGTGGTGGCGTCGAGGTGGCGGATGCAGTCGTCGGAGGAAATGGTGGTGATGCTCGTTGGGGTGTGGAGGAGGCCGTAGATGTAGGTTCCTGGGGTGAGTGCGGAGGAAACGGATGTCGGGAGGAGGGTCGACATTTTGTAGTATATTCTGCTTTCTCTGAGTAAGAGACTTGAAGAGCAGCTTAGTGTGAGGGCATGATGGAGTTGTTAGTGAAAAGTTGAGATGTTAGTGGAGATGAGGTTGGTGATGACAAGTTTTGGTGTCACTGGATTTTCGACCGTGGTTGCAATGGGAGGGGCTACATCTCGATTGGTGAGAGAGTGTTCAGTAGGATGAATTTCTATTGATGTTATGGACTACATGCATCTCGAGTATACGAGAGCTTTGAAGGAAGAGATGCTGCTGATGGCTGCCACATGCTTATGGGTGAATTTGTACCCGATCCGTGGTGGTGGCCTGTATGTCACGCCAACAAGGTAGGGTTCGCACAGGGCGACAGTCGCACTTCAAAGAGGCCTCCAAATGATATAAGGCTCTCCAGCAATCGTCTTGAGACACACAAGAGCACTCAAGCCGCTTTTTCCATCCTGCTATTGTCCTCGGATAGATCAAGAATCTCGATACCTCAAAATTCAACTCCAGATGTCAACTCCTCCTAGCTATGCTACGGCCTCCTCTCCAAAGCAGACTCCCCAGAGTCGCGCTTCCTCTCGCCCCGTCTCATCAAGCACCTTCCCAACAGCTTGCTGATAGTTCAAGGTCGATATGTCACCCTGAATATGAAACGCACCGAATCATTGGATAAGACGTAATGCGCGATTAACGACGGGTTGTCTCCTCTAGGAACCTCATTCTCGTCCTCATCGACAGAATGCCGCTGAGGAAAGCGAGAATCGCCGCCTCCTCATTCCTTGCGGTGGAAGGCGGCGAGTTTGAAATTCCCTTGTAAATTGGAGAAGAGAAGACGAAGCTGCGACGAAAAACTTTCTCGGGAAGAGGTCCAATGCCAAGCGATCACGGGCCTGACATCGGCGCAGCGGTGATTGGTCCTCGGCTACGCTCGACGGGAGAGCGATCTCAGAGAGAGCATCACATCACCGGCCATTCCGACATCTCCACCGCTCTCTCCACGCCGCCGGCCGCATTGAACACGCAATTGCAGCCATCATGTCCGCTCCTCGCGCCCTCAACCTCGCGCTGCGGCGCATTGCGTCGCCCGCCGGCCTCACGAAGTTCTCTCCCGCGGGGCGCCTCATGCAGCAAAGGTACATACAATCATACGATTTCTCAACCCTCAATTATCCATTTGACCCCCCTACATTCCTTTCATGTACCAATTCCTTCCAGAGCGACCCAACTAATGCCTCTTCCAGATTCGCCGCCACCACAACCATCTCTGAGAAAGAAGCCGTCAACTCGATCCTCGCAAAGCAGCGCCTCAACCGCCCCGTCTCGCCCCACCTGACTATCTACAAACCGCAAATGACATGGCTCATGTCCGGCCTCACCCGTATCACCGGCTTGATCGTCGCTACCAGCTTCTACGTCTACGGCCTCAGCTATCTCGCCGCACCGACCCTCGGATGGCACCTCGAGACGCCCTCGTTGGTTGCGGCGGTAGCGGCGTGGCCGGTCGTTGTCAAGGTGACGGCGAAGCTGGCGATCGCGGTGCCGTTCTTCTACCACAGCTTCAATGGCGTAAGGCACTTGGTGTGGGATTTCGGGAAGGGGATGACGAACCAGGCGGTTGTGAGGGGTGGGTGGGTCGTTATTGCGTTGACTGCGGCTAGCTCGTTGTGGGCTACGTTTTTGGCGTAGAGCGTTGTTCGAATTGGGCATATTGAGGAGGGGAGGGGATATGGTGGGTGGGTGAGCGGGTGAGCGGGTGGGTGGATGAGTGGATGAGTGGATGGATAGGGTTGATGTTTGATTGGGGGTGTTTGGGGGTGACAAGAGGGCTTACACTGTACAATTTGAGACCAATTGCGAATCGAACGCGTTATACGATCAAAATAATGGATTTTGGCACGTTTATATAATATCGAATGGTCTAGCCGAGGCACCTTCCAAGGCAACAAAGTTGTTTCAAGATTCAGCTTGATTCAACGTGTGTCGCCAAAATAAGTTCACACAGACCATGAATCAGACCTTAGGCTGTTGTATTTTGCTATCTTAGTCAAGGAGTTAAGGATGTCCCGCAAGTACCTCACACTAGCAAGAAGTTCGAACAAAAGCTCCTGTTTGACCTCCCAGGCAGACATGAGAGCTCCAAAGCACACTGTGTATAAGATCGTACACAAATAGCCCCAATATTAGATGTTCACACACTGATTGGTCCCCATTTCGTACACGTTTACTCCACTACTAAAGACCAATATCGAATGTTGCTACATATGAACGGGTATTCACCACCTCAGCCTATGCATCACCTAACTATTACAACTAAATCTTCTACTATATACATACAGCTACAGCTTCAATTCTAACCCCACACCCTCCCACCCCGTTCTCCTCCTCATCCTCACCCTCACCTCCTCCAACGGCTTCACAACCCCAAGAGGCATCCTCTCCACATCCATCGGCGGATCGAACTGGATCGCCTCCTTCCCCTTCGGCGGATCCATATCAAACGCACACACCACCCCCGCAACCATTGACATAATCTCCACATGCGCAAAATGGCGACCGGGACAGTACACACTGCCACCTCCAAACGCACGAAACGCCGCAGGATGCACCTGCTTCTCTCCCTCTCCCTCACTGCGCACGCCGTGTACCGACCCAACGAACCGCCGCGCGTTGAACGACGCGGCGTCAGAGCCCCAGATGCTCTCGTCGTAGTGCATCACTCCGCCCGCGATCTGCACTACGTTCCCTGCACGAAGGAGGTACTGGTCGCCAACTATAGTATCCGCGACGACGAGGCGGGAGCCGGACATGGGTGCCGCGAGGCGGAGGGACTCGCGGTAGACGGAGTTGAGCAGGGGACAGGATGCCTTCAACTGCGAATAAGTGATCGCGCGTGTGTGGTCCCCATCCAGGCCACTTGAAGTGGTGAGCGCGTTGGCGTCAATCTCAGCGCGCAGCTCAGCGAGCAAGTCTGGCCGCGAAAAGATATTATTCAGGATCCAAAACGTAGTAACCCCCGCGTTGACCAGGCCGCCGAAAAGCATGCCTACCTCCGAGCGCGCGTACTCGGGGATCGAGAGCCCGTTCTCAAGATGGAACCGCGCGCGCCCTTGGATCAGTTTCGAGGCCTGCTTGTACCGCTCTTGCTGCACGTATTCGATCAGTGCCTCGACCATGCGCTCGCGGCCGACGTACGCTTTGCGTGCTGTTATGCTCGGGAAGATGCCGACGATTAGGCTTATTATCCCGGCTTCGAATTCCCAAAACGGGACCTCGAGTGAGGGATCGAGCGCGAGGGGGTTCTCGGGCCCGTAAAGCGCGTGGGTCGTCGCAACCGTGAATTGCTTCCGTACCCATAGGAACAAGTCCCCCTCTTCACCGTCTGTGACTTTGTTTAGCCGCTGGGTCAGCTGCGCGAGCACGTCGAGGCTCATGTCTTTGATCTCGGCGGGTGTGAGGGCGGCGTATATGATTTCGTGGACGCCTTGCATGAAGGGGGATTCGGATTGGGTGCGGTCGCTGCCGCGGAGGATGGACATGGAGGCGGAATTGAAGCTGACCATGCGTCCGGTTATCTCTACGATTAGTTTGTTGAAGGAGAGGGCTTTGGAGCCGCGTTGGACCTGGCTGGCGAGCGCGGGGGAGGTAACGACGTAGGTTTGGGAGGGTCCCATAGGGAGGGAGAAGATGGGGTGGGGACAACGCTTGCTGGAAATATGTTAGTGAAATGGCTCTCTTCTCCATGATTGATTGATCGGATGTTGATGGCATTGTGGTTGCTTATGTAGGAAGATCCAGAAGAACGAACCTAACAGTCGAGAAGTAACTGGCCCCATGGTATGCCAGACCAAACATATGCCCAATGATGGGGACTCTGGGTCGTAGAACTGGCGGTTCGCGGGAGTCATGGCTGCTTTTGCTCAGGAGTCGCTGAAGAATAGCGAAGATGATAGCAGCGGAGGTTATGAGGAGGATGAGCCTCGTCGCCTGAGGGGCCGCTCGGACCTCGTTGGCAGACTCCATCCGGGCGTAGAACAGTTACAATAATGATAGGAATAGTTGAGATCTATACGAGAGTATATCTATACCAATTGGTGAATCATGTCGGCTGCTTACTCTCCTGGAGCCTTGGAATTCCGCTACGATTCCCCATAGGGATGCTACAACACCCTGGGCTGAAGTGGCTTACTTTCGCTTCGCTGATAGGGCCCTTGGGCCTGGTTTAGTGACGCCTGCGGGAACTAATACCAGTCTTTGCCCATCAATCCGTATCATTGAGTAAAGAGACTGTAGCTTTTGATAAGGATTAACCGTGGGAACTCTCTACGAAAGAATTAGAAAGTGGTAGTCATTTCTCGTTTTGCTTGATTTGCTCTCTCCATGATTGGCTCGATGGCATCGGAATAATCTTCTAATAGTATCTTTGTGTGGGGGAACATGAAGGTGTAGGTCCATAAATGGGATTAGATTTGAATATGTGATGATCGAATGTATACAATTGCAATAACTCATCAAGACATTTCGAGCCAATGAGGCCATTCCGCTCTCGAAGCAGTAGGAGCTCATTTCAACCCAAAGGCGTTGCGACGGTAAGGTAAGTGTATTCGACAAATATTTCGTGATTGGGGACCTTGCGGTGTCGTCGCTTGCTACACGAGACGGCCATACTAAATCTCCGACCTTTGGTGCAACAATAAGATGCATTACTGCTCCCACCACCTTCCGCTCTCGTGCACGGCTCCGCTGTGATGGGGGAGGAATCAAGCCTCGCGGCAAGAGGGCGTGCTGCAGATGATTGGATCGGAAAAGTCCCGAGCTCTGCGGTCTTCCCTCACGACATGTCCGCTATCCTACCCATCACCCATCACCGTCATCTGCACATCCAAGGAAATATATAAACCTTGAGTCCGTCTTTAGTTATTGTTCTCCGAGCTCGCTGCATCAATTCGTTCATCGTCGCGCGTGCTTTAGTCACTCCGCCCTCCTTCCCGTCATCCCGCGCTCTTCCGCCTTTCGTTGCATCATGAAGTTGTTTACCCTCTTCTCGTATTTACTCGCTTTGCGGGCTACCACGTTTGCGACTCCTATCCCAGATGTGTCGAAGTCGTTGCAGAACATCTTAAAGAATACGGACGGCTCCAAATTGTACACATACCCGACAGACCTTACCAGGGGTATTATTCCCGTATGTTGTCGTGCAAATATTACCGGAAGTTCAATTTACAAATGAAAATAAAGAAACCCTTCCATTCGCACAACGACTACTGGAGAGATGTGCCCTTCTATTCCGCGTTGTCGTATGGTGGTATTTCGACTGAGGGGGATGTTTGGCTGATCAACGGCACCCTGTTTGTATGTTTATTTCCTCACTCAACCTCATCTTGCTTCAGAACGCCTCTAGATTGCATGCTTTCAATCTGATTTCGCACCATATAACAAAGGAATTTCAATAATCATCCTTGAGACTCATTGATTTACCCCTACGTCGATGTTAAATCATGTATCATGTATCATTTCATTCTCTCGTTGCTTTCATCACATGATGTTCTCGACATACGCTATATCAACTATCGGCAACCTTCACAAGCTTAAGCACTCACACTCCCCTAGGTCGGCCACGAAGAGAGCGCCCTAACTGACGCCCGCACCCTCGACTCCCTCTACATCCAACCCATCCTCGACACCCTGCACCGCCAAAACCCGGTGACAAAATTCTCCCCCTCCCCAACCAAGAAGTAACCCCCCCATCCCCTCTCCCCTCACCTCCCCCCCACTGACCCCCTTTCCAGCGGCGTCTTCGACACCTCCAGCGGCCAAACCCTCTACCTCTTCATCGACCTCAAAACCGCCGGCCCCTCGACCTGGCCCGCCGTCCTCTCCGCCCTCTCCCCGCTGCGCGACGCCGGCTACCTAACCACCTACGACGGCACCCCCACCACCACAGGCCCCGTCACCGTCATCGGCACCGGCAACACGCCCCTCGACCTCATCCAGGCCGCGCACCCGACCCCGCAAAACCCGCGCTTCGCCTTCTACGACGCCCCGCTGCCGCTCCTCGCCACCACGTTCAGCAACATCACGGCCGCGGACAGCCCGATCGCCAGCACAGACTTCGCCGCGCAGTTCGGCAGCGTCAAGGGCGGCACGCTGAACGACACGCAGCTCGCGCTGTTGCGGGCGCAGATCAGCACCGCGCATGCCAAGGGCATCGCGGTGCGGTACTGGGACCAGCCGGGCTTCCCCGTGGGCGACCGGAACGCCGTGTGGCGGCTGTTGTGGGAGGAGGGGGCCGACTTGATCAATGTGGATGATGTGGCGGCGTTTGCGGAGTACTGGGAGACGTATGCGTGAGGCGCAGGCCCGGGGTTGGAATACGGCGGAGGCGGCACACGATATCTACAGCGGGGGATGTCGCTGAAAAGTTCTGATCTTTGGGCTGCTATGTGTTGGACTGCTGCTGGGCTTGGCCTGGTCGGTTCCGGGTAGGGATTATGTATATGGTAGTTAATTGATGATGGGGCGCTGCGTGAGCCCACCGCTTGCAAGCTGGCATTGAATCTAGGGACTCGTCATCATTTCACGCATGAGTCTTAGAGCCGTATCACAAGGAAGACGCTCGAATCTCGTCTTTTGTCTGAAGACATCTATTACAGTTCATACATCGGACCATCTAGTCCGCCTCCTAGTACGCCTCCTAGTACGCCTCCTAGTACGCCTCCACCGAGCAAGGACGGCATATTGGCCATTAAGTCCCCCACAAAAGTGCCACGCCCAGTGACCCCAAATTCACAAAAGGGTATCCGCTCACTGACTCCGCGTTGAAAAGAAAAGAGGTAAAGAAAAAAAGAAGAAGAAAAAGAAGAAGAAAAGAGAAGAGAAATTTAATTAGTATACATAAGAGATTAAACACATAAGAAAAGGGGGGGATTAAAGTCGGCGGGAATCAGGATAAAGTCCGGGAATCAGGGAGCTCGTGATATAGCGTGAAGGTCTTGAGAACAAGGTCGTATAATGGACCGTGTCGAATGTCTCTCCTGTCCGTTTCCGCAAATGCTTCATAAGTTCCGTACAAACGTCCGCAGGATTAAAAGAGGCGTAGAGGTATAATGCAATGATCGAAGAAAGGCTAGTGCGAGCCACGCTTGTCGGCGTTCTTGCCACCGGCCTGCACCACAGCGGTCCAGTCTTCCCACTCTTTCGCGACTTCAGTGAGAACATTGCCCATAACAACAGCACTGGCCATGAGACCATGCTGCTCGCCATCGATGATGCGGACCTCGCATCTGCGCATGAGACGGCTGAGCCAGCGCACGTTGTCGACAGGCACGCGCGAGTCCTTGCTGCCGTGGTGGATGACGACGCCGCGGGTTATATCTTCGTATCTAAACCCAATCGTCTGCCGCGTCTCGAGGCATACCATCAGATCGGTAGCTGGGTTGGCATTAGAGGTGGCACGGTCCCAGATAGCGAAGGTGAGACGCTCGTCGAAGGCGTTGCGTCGTTCCCGTTCCGCAATACTCAAGACTTTTTTCATGTGCACAGCAGTCTCGTGGTGGGGATCTGTTGGGTTGTTGGCAGCCAGAGACAGGGCACTGCCAGTGGGCAAGACCTGGTCCATGAGCATTATGGACTCTCTACGGGTGTCTTTGACGGGGGCTTGTTGCACCGGGGCGTGCGTAGACTTGCGCGTTTTCTTGTTAGGGGTTTTTGGTACGTTGCGCGTAATGCTGGCACTGGTTGTGCTTAGGAAGGATGAATTCGCAATCTTCAAAAGCGATGGCGGTAGGGTCCTGAGGAAGCGCTGGGATTTAGGAAGCTGGCCGCCGGGTGGTGCGTCTTGATGAACTCCAATTGGAGCCATTTGGGATGGTGGAATCCAGGGAGCCAACAGATGTACTCTACCGCGGATTTGCTGAGGCATCCGGAGCGCAGCGGCAAGGGCATACACCGCGCCAGCCGAATGAGCAAGAAGAGAAAACTTGGTAATGCCCAGCGCTTGGCAAATGACTAGGACATCATCTTTCTATATGTTAGCGTGGTATATCGACAACTTTGTGGGGTATATCTTACCTGGCCAGCTCAACGGTGTCCCATTCGAGTCAGACTGACTCTCACCGACCCCGGGCCGATCTGCTGTTATCAACCTCAACTTCAACGTTAGTGCCAGCTCGTCGTAGAACGACATAACATATCTCGTCAAACCCATGCCAACACAACAGAAGACAGCAAATCCACGGGGGTCACCAACTTCGGAAAAGCAAATTACCCGGCCAGTCTGGGGATGGCGAACCTTTTGCGACAGACGTGGGGAGTCGAGGTAGGCTTCTACGGCAAGGTCGACCGAGTCTACACTTGACGGTCTCTCTTCGATAACAGGACGCGGAGGGGGTTTCACAGCGCCGCGTTCTACTTCCGCGTTGTGCATCTGTTCTGCTTTCAGAGGTATATCGGGATGAGACCAGCGCTTCTTCTTTGACCCATTAGTTGGCGCGGACGAAGGTGACAGATTTAAGGATAGGTGGCGACTTCCGACGGTGGAAAAGTAGTCCTCGCTGGTGCTCTGGCTCGATGTAGTGCTTAATGGTGGGAACTCAGAAGAGGTAACTCTAGGCTGCGTAGCTGCGCCCATGATCATTGAGTGGGTTTTCTTTCTTGATGCCGCAGAGCGCCCACCCACGGCAACCGATTTGGACCGAACTGGGGTGCCGACACTGTTGGGTTTGCTGCCTTTGCTCGATGAGGTAGCGCTTGCTGGGGGTGAAGACGGCCGCTCCAGGGCCTGCAAAGCCAATTGGTAGTTTATTGGGAGGGGTGTATTCTCCTCTGCATCGCTCTGTTCTCCCAATTGCTTGAGCAGTTCGCGCTGCTCAGCCAAGTTGGGAATCCTTGACGTCCTCCTGGGAGGGGGGATTGGTGACGAGGAAATGCCCAACACTTTATGCGCTTTGGCGGCTTTTTGGTCCTGTGCACGTATTTCTGACACGCTTGACACAGTTGAGGCTGGGGACAGCGGTGGGCTCGTAATTGGTGAAACTCGCGAGACGCTTCGAGAGTCCCCTGCAGCCATGCCCACGGGCATTTTGCCGGCAGACTTTTCCCGCATCTGCTTTCGCTCCTTCAACTCCTTGATCCTTCGGGCCACTTCATTTTCTTCAGCTTCAAGCTCCTTAAGGATCTTGTCCTCGGGGTTCATTTCGACTTCGTCCTCCTCTAACACAGTCTTGGTCTTAGACGAGTCGTGGCTCTTGCCGCGACGGGTATGGCCCCGCTTGCCTTTGCGCGATGGGCTTTCGTGGTGTCGCAGCGACGATTGGCGCTCTGGGATCAGTCCACGTCTAGTAGGGCTATCGTGTTCATCGCTGCTCCTAGATGCAACTCCATGGCGCAGTGGGCTGGCTCCTCTCTGGTTGTACCGTTCTGCGGATCTGGACGACTCTGCGACCACTGGCTCTTCATCAATCGGCTCTTCAGTCGGAATGTGTTTTGGACTCGGTGGCATGATGCCTGCCTTCGGCGCAGACAGCAGATCAGATCCGTACGAGCCGCTAGCGTTAATACTAAGAGGGGCTGACTGTCGCTTTCGATCGGTGTCCTTCCCCTTCAGCTTCTCCCTAGAACTCATATACATCAAGCCTCTAGTCCCCCGAGCGCTCCGCTTGCTATCAGACGAAGTTCGACTAGCAGTAGAGTGGCGCGGTATCCCAGCTTCAATGCTTATATTCCCAATACTACTGACAGATCTAATTGACTTCACGGATTGCAGAGACGTCGTGCTCTCGCAACCTGCACGCATGTAGTTCTTCAGCGAGTGTTCCTTCTCTTTCTTTGCAGGCTTCGGGGCGGTCAATGGTGATAGGCCCGAGGGAGGTTTCGAGGTTCGTACTACAGGAGGTTCGGCAGCATCGTCAGGGTAGAGGAGGTCATTATCTCTCGGATGGCGATTAGCCGCAGGGTCGATTCCCGTGGCTCCATTGTAGGCCAGTGGGTCGCCGTTGAAGTGTGTCTGGAAGGGACTTGCGGGAGTCGAGACGCTACCGCCATGGACGGAGGGGAAGTTCTCGAAGTGGGTGTGGGCCGGAAGGGAGATGGCAGACAGGGAGTCGATGAGGGAGGATATGACCTCGGGCGAGGCAGGCTGGGGCCGCACATGGTTCGGAGAGCGCTTTTTGGACGGGCCATCGGTGGCAGAGGGCAAGGAGCGGCGGCGGCGTGCACGAGGCGACGCGGTCAAGGCATCTGCAGGCACAACTGGAACCGGCGGCTCAACCTCCATGGTGGCCAGGCCGGTGGGATGCTCGAAAAGGATGGTGGCTATCGACGTGCAGACACGACGAGCGTAGGCTAAAGCAGGAGGTCGCGGGGTGGCTGCTGGGGCGTGGACTGAAGATCAGTGCATGGTGGGTATGCACGCGGTGTGTCGAGACTCGAGAGTGCAGGACAGCTGCAGCTTTCAGGAGACGCCGAGGCAGCAGCGGTCAGGACGAGGTCGGCGGCGCGCAGACGGGCACATGGAGGTGGTGAAGAGGAGAGGGCGGAGACAGAGGGTGCGAGACTCTTGCGACAGGGACGTTCCCCAGGCAGGGCGGCCAGTTCTATCAGGAGGCCCTTGAGGTTGCGCTTTCGGCACCACACGAGCGGGCCAGGGGCTTGCTCCAGCGCTGCCAAGGCGCCGTCCCAATCACCGCACAGGGAGCTATTTGATATCCAGACACAGTCCCTGTGTGAGCAAGTCCCATTGCACACGCCGCACCGCTTCTCTTCTTGCGGTGCGCCCAACTCGAATACCGTCCTGCAGTCGCCCGCTATCTTAATGCACTTGATCTCCACGGCACCACTCCGACCGTCAGCTCACGACGCACCCCTGAGTAGCGAGTGATGACCCAAGGACCGTTCCGCGACGCGAACCTAGCGGGTGGAGCTTGAGTCCCTACACTGCCAGGGGCCTACAGCTGCCACGGCTTTAGTGTTGAATGTTGAATGCCGTTGTTGCGTTGCGAAATGTGCCAGACCAGCACTGAACCGCCACAACCTCATGCCAAGTCTTCCAGTCGCGATTGCTTTTGGCAAGAACAGTACACTCAAAGAAACAATCGCTAGAAACAATCGCTAGAAATGCTGCCGGAGATATGACCGTCACGGTGTCGGACCGAGTCCGGTTGGCCCCGAGTCGGGGCGAATCATCAATTTCAATGCGAATCACGTACTTCCTGGGCACCAAACAGCTAAGAGCGCTGCTGGATCCGACGAGAATACATGTAATACCTTACATATGGGCATGCCATACTCAGGGGGAGTGAACCTGGCATGCGAAGCTTCACTGTTGATCGTCGGTCTGAGGTAGCCCGCCAGAGAAGTATCCCGACTCCGCATACTCATCGAATTTGCCCTCAGCAGATGCAGTAACTGTCTCACAAGGTGCCTCACCCCGATTTTTTTTTCCCAATCCTGCCGACGTCTGTAGCACCCTGACATAATTGTTGAAGCCTGTATGAGATGGGGATAAAATACTACGACAGTACGAAGAGTGCAACACTCGACGAAAAGTAGAAAACTGCCTTTAAAGGCTTCTGGTAAACGTCTAGGCATTCACCAGCTTCCGAAAGTTCATCGCCAAAACTGTAGCTCACGTATCACGGCAATTCGGGGTAGTAACGTGAATGGCCGAGCACTCCTGAGAGTATTTAGAGCACAGCAATGGGTGGTCCACGGCCTCGAACGTCTCTTCAAGACACTTCGTACCACCTCGCAAGGCCACCCCAGACAGCGGCAAAGAAGCGTACAATTGACTGAACACATCTGGTTCCCTACCCATGGACTTTGGAAGCACCTAGCCAGTAGTGCTCGTCCCGTCTACCCCACGTCCAGCTCCAGGCTCGCGGTTGGGAGGAATATCCCTGCAACCACCCTAGTACTGGCTATCGACGTCATCGGGTGAGCCCGCTATCACCATAACGCGACCAACTCCCTCAACTTCTCAATCTCATTCTGTAGCTCCTCTTACAGTGGTCTCGAATAGCCAAACTCACCATGGGCGCATTACTATCGACTCTGTCCCTCCCCATCGCGTCAATCTTCGCCATCCCAATGCTTTCGAGCTGGTCGACATCGTTGAATCTGGTTTTCTTCAGCATAACATGGACCACAATTGCCATGACCTATGCGCCTCTGCAGATTGAGTTCTTTGCTCCGCTGGTCATTCGGCTACTTCTATACATACTACCAGCTGCCCTGTTCCTTCTATTCGATCTCTCCGTTCCAAGTCTAGCCGTGGAACTGAAAGCGCAAGGCCAGTACGCGCTTCCTGGACGTGTGGGCCGAAAGAAGCTTTCAAAAGTGGTGGCATGGAGTTGCTTCAACATCTTACTGGGTGTCACGATCCAGGCTGCTATTGAGTTCCTGGTGACAGACGTCCTACGGCTACGCAGCGTACTTGCGATCAAAGGTGGCTCTTGGAGCATGAACCACCTTCCAAGCCCCTGGACGATGGTAAAGAACATTAGCGAGGGATTGGTATTACGAAATGTAAGTTACTAGTGCTCTATCGAGGAAGTGACCTAGAATTGAGAACTTGAGCTAACACTGTCCAGGTCCTCCAATACTACATCCACACGAAGCTCCTCCACTCTCCTTCCAACACTCGTCTGACCTACTGGCACCAGACCTGGTGCCATAGTATTCGGACGCCATTCTCCTTCACTGCCGCCTACGATCATCCCGTTTGCTACCTCCTGCACAAATTCCTTCCCATTTACCTCCCAGCGGTCATATTCCGCTTCCACATCATGGCCTACATACTTCTCCTCTCCATCTTCTCTCTCGAAGAAGTCTTCACACACTCGGGCTATAACGTCCTCCCCTCGACGATCATGTTACGGGGTATGGCACGAAGAACGGATGCGCATATGATGAGCCAAGGGAAAGGCAACTTCGCCCCAGTTGGTGTTCTCGATTGGGCCCACGGCACCTCTCTTGGAGCTGACGTTATGGACGACGTTCAAGAGGAGATGGAGAAACATGACGTACAGCAACGAGCTGGTAAAGCCGCGAACAATGTTGGAGGTACCATCGATGATGGTGTAAGCAAGTTGAAAGGCCGAGCGAAACGAGGCAAAGGAAAAAAATGAGAGACTACAGTGGTCCTGTCCGTTTTCTGGCGGGTCTGAGTGCAAAACACCTTAGCCATTCCTATTTGTTTAGAATGAGTGATACCCCTTTGGTCTGCGTTTGGCGTGCTTGCTGGTTTGATTTTACATCTTCGTGTAGTAGCAATGATTGGAACTTACGGGTATATCTACATACCTTAATGATGGTACCTCTCTGTTCAAGTGTCTTTTGCTGGACCCACGAATCCTAGAACCTCAATTAGTGTTTAGGGAATCAAGACGTTACATCACACACGCAGGCTCCCTTAAACAAAAAGCGTCAATCCACGAATTTGAGATTCTATTTTGAACTTCCCTTAAAATACTTGAGATATGCGCTCGTTCTAGACTTCTACATACTTGCATAGCACCGCTTAGGATTCTCTGATACATTATTAAAGACGGGAAAACGATAGAATTGAGAACTCTGGTAGCTTTCTGCACCGCCTCAGACGTCATTAAAATAGACTGCCACTTTATGTTCAACGGATCCTGACACGTGACCCAGGACAGTGCCAAGACAATTTAGTGCAGCTGCCGCCGTTCACATCGAAGCTCCGCCTAGGAACTCACTTCAACCACCACAACAACAACCATTTCTCGCACTGCAACATGTCGATCCAGCCTCTTATCACGTTCAAGGCCGGGAAGTGTGATCTAACTGTACGACTCGTCATCACGATGTTTCGGAGCCTCTACTAACAACTTGTAGCCTGGCACCCCTCCAAGAATCAAGCCCGACGACACCCCCGGCTTCATATACCTTTACATCGGCGATGGTATGTCAGCTAACACGACGGCTATGACTTCGCTCACGCATTACAGAACTTGTTCACTTCTGCTGGCGGCCGCGGTCAGCGTCTGCTTCTGATCCCGAGCTTGACCTTCTCATGATCCCCGGTGATGGATCGTTCCTACCATACACTGGTCCGGATGGCGGCGCAGATTCGGATAACCTCAAGTCCCCAACAAACGGCCGTATTTTCGTCCTGAAGTTCTCGTCAAGCTCCCAACGACACCTCTTCTGGCTACAATCCAAACCCCAACACCCCAATGGCGATCCGAGCTGGTTCAGCGAGCGTGACCAGAAATTGGGCCAGGTAGTAGATATGCTGCTGAGCGGCGAGGAGGTTGACGTTCAAGAAGAACTGCGAGAACTCCAGAATCGGCAGGGTCCAGGCCGACCGGACGACGATGACGAGACCATGGAGGACGTGGAAGGTACTGATCAAGGCCAATCGCACCACCGACAAGGAAGCGGTGGAGCTGGCCCTGGAGCTACTGGTGGCGATGTCCGAGAAGAAGGCGAAGAGTCTAGAGAAGGTGGTGCTGATGGCGGTCGAGCGTAGGTGCCCATTTCGAATCGTTGCGACGACGTGGCGGTGTCGACTTATCCGCGGGTATACGAATGGCGCTAGATGGAGATAGTAGACATTGGTGAGGCGTTCATAGTGGACTAGCACTACCGACCACCCCCCTGGACATGTCATCCAAAAAGTGTATACATAAATACATCAACGAAGCACCTGCTCTACGGCTTTCTTCGCAGCATCTGATCATTTCTTGCGTTTCTTACATCTGAGGAAAACACTGGCTAATGGATGGCAGTGATTCTTCAGGTGCTGGAGCCAACGATGCCTCTGCCATCGTTCAGAACTTTCTCAATTCGCTGAAAGGCGGAGCTGGCGCGAGTGGCTCCCAGCAGCAGCAAGGAAAGCCATTCACAACGCTGCCCGACCTATTACCATCGACAACAACTATCCCTGTCATAGACCAAGCCGACCCTGCCTTCATCGATCGTCTTTGCTCACACCTACCGCCGATGCTACTCCTACTCGCTCAGGAGATCGACGATCTTGAAGAAGTAGACCCTACGTCCGACACCGCGCAAGCTGCGATCCAGGCTTTGAGCATCGATCAGAAGAAAGGCATTCTTAAGCGTGTTCTACGCTCTCCGCAGCTACATCAAAGCCTAGGTAGTGTGACTGTGGCGCTCCGCGATGGCGGCTTGCCTACCGTAAGCGAAGCCTTGAAGATCAAAGTAGCAAATGGAGGATACATCAAGCACGGAGGTATGCCGCTTGGAGCTGGTGAGGCTGTGGAAGCATTCTTGGAGGGCGTAAAGAGCACGGTTCTGGAAGAAAAAGCGAAAGGTGACGAGGGTAAGATGGATACGGATTAAACCATGGTCAGCACGTAGATATGAAGGACAAAACAGGGTTCGTAACTCAGCACTCAGCATGGCGTGGTGCATACTCAAAGTTCTTGGATAGAGTCTCTGATGTTCGTCTTGCAATCTCTATGGTGTACATCAGTGAGTGATGATCACTCTCCTAGCTCCCGACTATCGTACCCTCGCTCCAGCGTGCACTCATGCATCAGATACCCGGCTCTCCAACGCCCTCCAAATCCAAAAGGCTCGCTACGCTCTGCCTCATTCAGTTGACCACTTTCAACTCTCCGGGTCCTCCTTCCTTGATCTCTTCCTCTTCCCCTCCGTTATCCTCCTCCCTTTCCTCTTCCTCCTCGTCGGACACAACCTCCACTCCCTGAAATTTCATAACCCACTCCAACGGCCTCCTATACGCCCAAGACTGGCTCTCATTGTACGCTTGCCACATTCGCCCCCTCAACTTCTTCCACTGCGGCTGCCCCAGACATTTCTTGCAGGGGTAGCTAGAGATGGGCAGACTGTGCTCGAAAGGGCGCTTGCAGAAGATGCTAGTGATTTGCGCGATGTCGCAAGGGGTCGTGCAAATTTCGCTCGTGCAGCCACAGGCGTAGATTTGGGTGAGGAGTTTGCACATTCTGGTGGTAGTCTGGTAGATAGATAGGTCTGGAAGTGGTGAGTTCTCGATGTGGAGACAAAAGGGGTTGTTCGTTTACTGTAATGGAGCAGTTGATAATGGGGACCGTAGGTAGAGCTTCTTGCGAGGTAGGTTCTACGAGTGGAAGAGTTGGACTGTTCTACTGTTGTTGGGGGAGCTAGACGCACGAAGGGCTCTTTTATCGATGCTATTCGGAAGAACACGTCGGCGTCTAGACGTGGGAATAGACAACGAGGCCCTTTAGCCAGCTCTTTCTCTAGTCATATTGGTCTTGTGAGACATGTCGATAAGGTGAAGAAAGGGAATGGAAAAAAGAAAGGACCGTGCACCATTGTTCTAGCTATACAAACCGCGGTCCAGATGAGCTTTGCGTTTTCTATCACATTTCTCGAAGGCTGTTGTTTACCAGGCCTACTATAACGTCAACAAGCCTTTTGTAGCGGCGGAATAGAGTTCACTGCTTCAGGCCCACTCTGTGATTGGGCCCTGAAGCGCATCAGTCCACTCTTCCCTAGCCACGCGACCAACCGCCTCTCGCCTGGCGACGCCAGCGAACGCTTCTCACTATAAGAAAACAACCACGACACCCACCCGATGGACGACTCACCACCTCCACACCCAACAACCAACAACACTCGCTACCAATAACCTCCACAACCTCGAGCCCTCAAATCCTCACTACACCAAAAGAACCAAGAAACCAAGAACATCACACCCACCACAAACCACACCCCACGTTCGCTCAACCGCGCCCCCCTCCTCAATCTCTTTTCCCCCAAACCGCATCCACAATGTGCCTCGCCCGCCTGCTCCTCTTCACCTGCGGCTGCCGCACCCCGGCCGAGCGGGCCGACGACTGGATCCGCCGCTGCCGCCAAGGCAAGATCTTCCACTACTCCGAGTGCACGGCGCGGAAGACGCGGACGTATGTTTTAAGCTTCCCGTGCTGGTCGTGCTACCACGCGCTGAAGCTGGGGAAGTTGCAGATTGGTGAAGGAGAGGAGATGAAGGAGGAAGACGACGAGGGCGATGAGATGAGTGAGAAGATGGAGGAGGTGTGGGTGGAGGAGGGTAGAGGGGAGGGCGATAGGTAGGGGAGGGTGGGGGCTTTTGAATGAAACGGGGTGTTCTAAATTGTTCTTATGGGTGGGGGACGGGGGGATGGGCAATTGGTATATGGAATTCTTGGAGTGAGGCCGTGAAGGGGGGCCAGAAGAGGGTAGGAGGTCTTTGTCTTTCGGCTGCAATCGAGGTCTGGGCTTCTGCTCTTGGGTACACCCTTCAACACTGCTTGAGGGATCCTACCTTACTCGTGTCTCCCTGAGGGAGGACCACAGGAGGGATCGTAAAGCAATCATCACGATGAGCTATACATCGAAGCCCCTCCGCCAGTCGTAAGAGTCTGGTGCAGACTTACAGCTTGGCGCTGGTTGCTTACCCAAATCATACAGCATCCTTAATGATTCTTTCTTGTTTTCCTTAAGATAACATGTCTTTGAGACCTTTCGTACTGATAGTCTCATCAACTCCTCTCTATGCTCCGCTCCAGCATTCACGGATTCATGCCGTGTCATAACAGTGCAGAACCCCGCACGTCCCTCTTACCCTGCACGCGCGAGACTGACCTTGTACTCGACAATGACCTCCTTGCTGTTCGGCTCTTTGACGAAATGGCCCGCGGCGACGAAAGTGCCGTTCGCCAGCGCTTTGTAGGCTGGGTTGCCGGTCTATGAAACTGTCAGCATTGCGAACATTAGTGCTCCGGAGCCGGACGAACCTCGAAGGTGAAGGTGGTGACTGGGTACAGTTAGTAGGTTCTCGAGGGCTGGATAAAAGACATTCACGCACATGAGTCTCCGAAGCCTGTGGTCTTTGCATCGGGAGAGCCTGACAGAATGGCTTTGACGCCGTCTGTGAGAGCGACGGTGCCCTTGTAGTACATTGCGAGGATCTAGAAGGGTTATGAGACGGTTTGAAAGCACTTAATCAAGATCGTGCATACAGTGCCATCGTTGTTCCTGCTGAATGTTAGCAGGGTTGATCCGGTGTTGTGTATTGTCGCACATACTTGACTTGAGAACGTACGTCCAGCCTCATGGCCTCGCCGCTGGCATCATTATGGATATAGTCATATCCGACACCGTGGCTATCTCTGGTTAGTCGGTCGTATGTGAACCTGCGGATGGATGTACGTACAGCTCAGCGTCGAGTTTCGGCTCGAAACCGGGTTCGCTCTTGACGGTTCCGCTTGTCATAGGCTATTGAGGTAGTTGGTAAGTACAGTATGTCTCTCAATCAGGGGCTGATAGAATTTAAGTGAAGGAATTCTCAGAGCAGGGAAGGCTCGGAATGTCGCGTTGACCTTCTCCTGTTCACTCATTCCAAGTAGAACTTCATAATAAAGAAAAGAGAAGCTCGATAAGGCATGAGAGATACGAAAAGCTAGCTAACGCATACCACAATAGCCAAAGGGCTTCCCTTCGCATCACCTAAATGAAACCAGTCAACTCAGTTCTCGTGAGAAGCACGCAGCCGTTCAATTTGAGTCAAGAAACTATTGCAATAGTCTCAGCCACTCGAATACTTACCGACTGACAAAGGAGCATCAATCACGACCTATAACATATAGCATCAGCAAATCAATTTCCCAGCACCGCACCAATCTCTCTTCTTAGGACTACTCACCCGAACGGTAAAGGCCGGCTGAAGGGAAGGGAAGTCGGACATGGTGGCGTGATATATTTCGTCGTAAGTTCTTTGTGGAAGATTCAATGCTCAGCATACGATGTGACAAGCAGAAGTCTCTTTGAAGAAAGTGGGAGGGTTGGTGACGAGGTATAAATGCCTTTCGTTGTTGGAAGGCCTGAGGGTCACAGCATATGCCGGTCTGACATTAGCTTCAACCCCGCAAATCCCCACTTAACGGATGTAGCGCCCTATTCATCACTAGATGGTGGCACGGTCGGATGGATGGCGACTATCTGATGAATACATCACCGCATGGCTTCACTGGTTCTACTATAAACTGATTTGTGAAGAGTACTAACATTTAGTCAGATGCTAGGCGTGGATCTATCAACGTCAATTGCTCTTGCGATTACTGATATATCACCAATCACCAAATGAGACAGTTAAGCACCCGCAAGACATAGTATTCCATGTAGCTCTTATTAATTAGACTGCGCTAAAGTCAATTATTGCACTTCTTCCTCCCCTGCTTCTTCTCATTCTCTCATCGCTCCCCATACCCATCCCTCGCGTGGATATTATAATGAATTCCGACATCATCTAAACCCAGGAAGTTTCCCGCCTTTGTTCTTCTTCTTGGCTTTCTTAGCCTCAGGCCTGCCACCAAAGACACCTCGCTCGACCTGACTTGCTAATGCAGGTTGCGAGTTCGCCTGTGTAGATTGGCTATGATCCTGCCTGAACGGACCAGGCGAACTTCGCAGCGGCACCGACTCAGACGTCGCAAAAGGTTGTGACTCCGAAGTTGAGAAAGGAGGCATAGAGGATGCGGCATCCGCTACTGCCGTTTCTCGACGCTGCCTCTTGAGATGACGTTCTGCCTTTCGTCGTATCCTAGCACGTTGTGGTTCAGACATGCCTTCGTCCTCGTTGATTGACATAGTCTCTCTGATTGCTTTGGTGGTAGCTTCCCAGTCGTAGTTGGCGGGGTCTTGGCCAAAATGGTTTCTCCAGTGCAACAGGACCTGGCTGCCGGCACTATGCTCAGATTGCGTAAGCCTTTGTGGTTTGGTGATTTGTACATGTTGCCTGAGACGTGTGATTGGATTGTCGCCAGAGCCTTGGGAGCTCGAGGTGAAAGTAGAACCAGAGGCGACCGATGGAGTTGTCTCTGGAGTGGGAAGCGATGATATCGGGTTGCTAGAGCTAGGACGCGTATTCCAGCTTGGTGGTTCAGACTCTTTCTCCTTCCCTTTACCTGAAGGCCTCACAGGTAACGCAAATCCGGCCGTTTCTTGTGATTTAGGCTGTGAGTCTTCCGGTTTCGATGGCGGCGAGTCCACGATACGGAGCCTAGAACTTGCAAGCAACACCTCTGTAGATATGAGACGAGCAACCCTCTCCTTCACTTGTCGAATCCGAATGGGGATGTTTCGGGGTAGGGGTGCGATGTAGGTACGAAGTAGTTCATCATAGACTGACGCTATGGAAAGACCAGCATTCGAATCAGGTGCCATGTTCTTCAATAGCCAGGGTGCAGTGCGTATCTCTAACTGCGGTTGATCGGGTTCGTTTTTGCGAAGCGTTGCTTGGAACAACTCGTCAAACTTAGATGAGATTGCGTCAATGTCGGCGACTTGAATTGGGGATTGAATAAGATCGAACCTGCAGCTTCATTAAAACGAGGCATCAAAGCGTAGAACGTAACGGAACTTACAACGTGCCAAATGGTTCAGCTCGAACAGTATCGTCTTCATCTAGTTGATTTCTAATCCGCTCCAGGAGGCTTACGATGTCGACTCCTGGAATGCCCTCACGGTCTGGATACATGCCAAGTTCTCGCAATTCATTATACATAAACTCGTTACTAACGGACCAAGGATCATTATCGGTCCATTTCAGCGATCGTGAGAGAGCTGCCCTTGTCCTCGAACGATCGGTGATTGAGCCACTGATTTTACTTCCACTGATATCAGGATTATAGAGTATTCCATCGGGCACAATGAAATCGTCCTTCTCGTTTTCAGTGACGTAGTTAACACTCTTCTTGAGTTGAGCAAGACTGTGGCCCTTTTTACGCCAGGAAGGATGCTTGACGACAATGCCTGTTTCACCCTGGTCTTCTGCCCTTTGTGAATGGATGAGGATCTGGTGAACACTAAGATCGTTCAAAATGACAGTGATGCTGTAGAAGAAGACATCGTCGTTTCTGATGTAGGTGCGTCCGGGGCCGTCACCCTGCTTTTCACTCTGACCAAATAGACAGTACTCTACATCTAGCGAAGAAATGCGTTTCCCTGATTCTAAATCCCGGACCAAAAAGCTAGGGAGTCTCAATTGGGTTGGTGCCAACGATGAACTGGGTAGCGAAGAAGATGCGTCTGCCGATTCGGAGCATTGTAGAACTGAGATAAGACTGTTTAATCGCGAAAAGATGAAGATTCTCGTTTCTGAACACATACACTTAGCCCAGGTCTTGTTTTATGCTTAGGGTAATAACCATACCTTCTAGCTCGCTATTGGACAAGCGGATCTGTAAAGTTAAATCCTCGGCCCCCCGAAAATGTCTCCAAGATAGAATTACGGCGGCTTCAGACTCTTGTAGACCATAGTCAGTGTCCTCAGCTGCCGACCTGACCTCCACGAGATATAACATCGTCGACGTTAGAACGAAGAATCTCTTCTGATTTTGTTGGCTCCTTTGGACATCTAGAATCCAAGACGAGGTGCGTGCGAGCCCAAAGTCCGGGCAACTCAAACGCTTCGCTTCTTTGGTTTCGCCACTGATATCGAATACACCCATCTGCCTCCTGTTACAGACAACAATGGTATTGACATTGCCTATCCATAGTATCCTTGCCCACCCGTCCTCCGATGCCTGAGTAGCTCCAGGCACGTCTGAGATGGGATCTTCCGGGGTTGGAGGTATAATCGTACCCGTGTAAGAGCATGATATATCGTAATCTACCCTTCTGCGATCCTGACCTACTAACTCCCACACACTCCAGTTTCCCTTTTCATCAACAAAGGCGAGTTGTCGACGATACCATGGATTAAAAGACACATCGGCATGAGGAGAGCCACCAGTACGTGCGAACGGGATATCTAAGATTGGATGTGGATCAAGCCTCGAGGGAGGCAAACGATGGGTCTCTGAAAGTCTCGTCTCTATCGGCGACCAGCGGAGAAAAGGGCGAAAAAGGACAGTCTTTGCTGGCATACGTGCTGCCATGAATGAGCCACTTTGGCTTGAGTCTCCAAAACAGATTTGTCGGATAGAGGCGCCCTCTCCCGGCCACCAGCCGCTCCAGCCGTCCTCCTTGTGAAGACTAGACACATTCAACCACACGCCTTGATCCTCCCCCCATCCTTGCCGGTCTTCACGGACCCGTACTATACGGAGCATATGTCCTGTTTCCCCGCAAGGCATGGCTGCAATCCGAAATTTCCCTGTGTCTTGTACGTCGATGTCCGTGATGTGGCCGAAAGCGAGGATGTCTCCAACAGCGGGGTCATAGTTGGATATAACAGAGACTATAGATGCTGAGACTTTCGAGAGTTCGGGGAGGGGCTCGAGAGCAGGGACTAGATCTGGATTATGCAGGGCCAATGTTTTGATGCTGTGGTACAATGGTTTTTCCTTGATAGTTTCCAGGATTTCAGACTCGGCATCGTGAGTGTCTGTTGAGCTAAATATGGTTGATGAGGTTAAAGACTTTAGTATTTGGTGTTTTTTAGGCAGTCTCGGAAAAAGCCATTGCTTCTTCTCTTGATCGTAGAATGGTGTACCGAAATGACCATAGCTGAGGTCAATCGCCGGGACTTCAGCCATTTGGTCTGAGTTTGAGAGTTTGCTCGAAGAAAGCGGTGCAGCAAAAAAGCATAGTTGGACGTATGGGTTGAGAAGCTCACGATGCGGACGTGAAGTGAAGTCGTATAACGCGCAGATAAAAGTTCGGAGGGGAGCTCAATTCCGCGCTAATATCTTCACGTGATCGTCGGCGTTTATAGCCGCCGACATTTTACCCTAGCAACGAACTCAAAGCAACAACAAACCGTCACTCTTCAAACATCAACCTCCATCCTCAAAAACTACTTCTTCTGCGATCAACCCACACCTTCGCAATCCACAACACTATGGCCACCATGTTCGAGCCCACGCTCTCCGGCAGCACCATGCGCCTTGCCTCCGCGGAAACCCCCTCAATGGCCGACCAGCTCCCCAGCATCAACTTTGGCTTTGAGGAGCTCCGACTGCGCATGGCCCAGTTCACGGCGCGTTTCGACGACTTCATCGACAAGGGGCGCAAGCGCGTCTTGGAGGAGCGCAATAACTTCCGCATGAATGTCGCCGAGCTCCAAGGTACGACACCTGCTAGGTATACCCAATGCGCACAACTAATGTTTATGTCTGCAGAGGACCAGAAAATGAAGAAGCGCGATATCGAGATCCTGACGCTCAAATCTGCCACGCACGCCCAAACCCTCGCGAAAGAGTCGGCCGAAACAGCAGAAATGCACGCGGCTATCACGACACTCACAGAGCAGCGCGACGAGCGCCTTGCTAACCGCGATACCCTGAAAGCTCAGATCGTGGAGGTTCAGAAGGCTGTCTCGGCTAGGCGGGAGGCGCAGCTGAAGCACCGACGCTACCTTGACGGCCAGGCGAGACACAATGAACCGGAATTGGATTTCTGGGAGAACTACCTGAGCATGAAGATAGACGGGGCGGGCCTCCAAGACCGGATCAAATTCACTTTCAACAACATCAACGAGAGGGAATGGGAGCGGGAGGCTTGGTTTGAGATTGATACCTCGGAAAGAGAAGTCAGGGTCATCCACTACCGGCCAAAGATCGAGAAGGAGGAGGTGGACAGGGTACAGGAACGGTACAACGAGTGCAGAGAATTCAGCGTTCTCTTGAAGGGGATGCGCGAGCTATTTATCGAGGCGCTCAAATGAGTCTGTTGAGTTGATGGTGTCTTGGGAGTTTTTGATGAGTACAGTCTGTGTATAAAGGCTTCAAGAAACTGCCTTGGCCTCAATAAGGCGTTTCTCCTTTACCTCTTTGCTATGCGATAATACTCCGGCGCGTATTCTAGCAGCCATCCTTTCTCAATCTTGGTGATATCCCGTATGAACGTCTTGTTTCCCGTTTCCATGACCTCGTGGAAAATGACCCAGTCCGCTTTCCGGTTCTGAATGCCTGTTAGTCCTGCTCTACAGATTTTAAATGCTGACAAGCTTACAAACATCAGCGAGGTTGGATGTGCGTGTAGCACTGTCCCTCCATCAACCGTCCTGAAGGATCCATCTGGCTGCATTCTCGCCACATGAGCAAAGAATCCAGATGTCAAGCATCTGCGGATCTTCTCTGCCATATCAAGCCCCCCAGCTCTTAGGACCATTGAGTCCCTGCCCAGACTTTCGTCCACGTTGATCCCAAACCTCTCCAAGTACCTTTTAAGCTGGTTTCTTATACTCACTGCCCGAGTCATTGATTTGAAGTTCAGGTAGTTGTCGCGACACCATTTCGCCTCCTTCTTCCCCTTGGTCACGAATGCTTGATAGACATTCAACAAAGTCAGATGGTCGCCTTCCTCTGCGGCAAACTTCCTGCGCGCAGTCTCTTGAGACTTCTTCTCGCCTTCATGATGGAACCACACGGCGCCTTGGAGACTCGTCATCGCTGCTATCGATAGAGCTTCGCTGAGGCAGTCGAAGTTTGAGGCTGAGAGAAGCACTTTACCCATCATGGGCTCGACGGAAAGCTCTGCCATGCGGGTTCCAAGTGGCTTAGTGAGTCTAGCGTAGTCATCTAGAGCGCCGAGAGAGAAGAGAAGTTCAAGAGCTCGCACCATGAGCTCGGACGGAGGAGGAGTCAGGTAGTCGAATCGGGCGATGTTGTCAATGCCCAGCGCTTTTAGTTGGAGCACTACTGGAGCGAGATTGGAGCGCTGGATCTCGGGTACAGTCGACTCAGCGAGACCTTCGAAGCTTTGCTCTGTAAAGAGGCGGTAGCATTTCCCAGCTTTGGTGCGACCTGCTCTTCCTGCACGCTGGGTTGCCGAAGCCTTGGAGACGGGGACCGCAGTCAATGTCTCGATGCCGGTCACTGGGTTGTACGCACGGAGCTTGACATATCCGCAGTCAATAACGTAGACTATTCCATCTATTGTCACAGATGCTTCGGCGATGTTCGTGGCGATAATGACCTTGCGAGTGTTGTCTGGTGCTGGCTCAAATACGTACATTTGTTGATCCGTCGTAAGGCCAGCATAGAGAGGGAGAGGTTGTAGTGACGGAGCGTTGGGATTGAGAGTGCCCATTCTGTCAGCAATCATGTCCATAGCGGTCTCGATTTCTTCGCGACCGGTGAGGAATACAAGAATATCGCCATCTGGCTCAGAGGAATGGATATCGAAGACTGTCTTTACTGCCCTTTCGACGTAGTCTTCCGCTGGTTCTTCGAGGTAATGGATATCCACCGGATACATTCTGCCTTCCAGACTGATGATGCGCCCGATGGTACCGCCTGGCTCGGAATCCCCATTGCTATTTTCAGCTTGGGAATCACTGGCGAAGAATTGCAGGAAATTTTCCGCGTCCAGCGTGGCACTGCTGACTACGATTCTAAGGTCGGAGCGCTTCTTCCTAATTTTCTTCAGAAGGCCCAAGAGAATGTCGGAGCTTAATGAGCGTTCGTGGGCTTCGTCTACCATGATGACAGAGTAACGAGAGAGAAGGGGGTCGACCAAAGCTTCCCTGAGCAGCAGGCCATCGGTCAGAAACTTGATGCGAGTAGCAGCAGATGTGACATCCTCAAAGCGGATAGAATAGCCAACCTGTAGTTCATGAGCAGTCGTTCTGGAGACGATGGCTGGGTTTACGAACCTCTTGACCTAACTTGCATCTCATCTCCTCTGCGACTCTTGCTGCTACTGTTGTTGCGGCTACCCGGCGCGGCTTTCACACAAAGTCAGCTTGCTGGAGTTTCATACGGAGATGATATATCGCGCCAACTGACCTACCTGCGTAACAGCAATGCATTTTTCTTTCGACGACCATCCTGCCTGGTCAAGGTACTGTGGGATCTGCGTCGTCTTGCCACTGCCGGTCTGCCCTACGACGATAGTGACGGGGAAGGTCTCGATGAGATAGAGTAGAGCATCTCGATGGCGAGCAATTGGGAGCAAGGCGGGTGGTTTGTAGAGTGAAGCAATGTATGAAGAGCCTATCTCTTGCTCCGCCATTGTATGAGTTGGGTGCACTCAAGCAAATGCACATGGAATTCAGGTCAAGGATGAAGCAACACGTAGACCCAGCATCATGAAGAACATATATTGATGCTTGGCATGGTGTTGAACAGCTTCACCACGCCGATTCACCTGGGATCTTAGACGCTAGGACGAAGACGGTAAGACCGACAGGGATCAGAGCATCTCACTTCTGTCATCGAATGGCACAGCTAGACAACCACAGTGCAACCACATGCAACATGTAAGACAACCTCACAGAGGCCCTGGAATCTTCTTTTAATCATTTCTAATGCAGCGTATCTGCTTTGGGCCGTGGAATGCTTCAACGGACGAGTGCGCGGCCGCAATCGGCGAAAGATGCCAGAAATGCCGATGGTTCGCCCTTCGCGCTTTACCATCGCCGACCCGATTTGACGAGACGCCGAATGACCTTTTCCGCGACCGTTACCAATTACTGCTCTGTCCCAGCGGCGCCCGTGCCATTGCAAGTCTACCATAGAGCCTGGAGATGTCGGCGTTAGAATCGTACGAATCTTGGAGGAAGTCCCGTCGCCATGTTTCCGGGACGTGCCCGAGACGACTCCTTGGCCGGTATTTCGGCAGGAACAACATGTACTGTACAAACCATCTGCCCCCATCCTCGCCAATTCACTGTAGTCGGCGTGTCTTGCGCCCGACCGTTCTGGGCTTCATTTCCATATAACAGGCGTGACCCGCCTTCACGCCACGCTTGACACCACCCCCCACAGCTGTAACGCTTGACACCTCAGACTCTCCGTTCGCATCTTGTTTGGCTGCACTTCAAGTGTTGCAAGTGCTACATCAACTCGACCTGCGCCCGTCAACTCTCGCGCTCGTGTTCTCCTTATCTCGCTACTAAAAGTGTAGCTGAGATCGCCGTGGCTCCCAAAGCACACGATCGTACGAAGTAATAAACAGCAAAGCAATTTGGTACCTAACGATTTGAGCGCAATTATGGCTTCCAAGATGCCCCCTAGTCAGGTAGGTTGTGTTCTAGCGCCCGAGTGCCACAGTCAACTAAACAGATTACCTTTCCAGGCCAGTTCAGGCCCCCCTTGGCTGCCCACGGTATGGGCTTTGGGCGGAAAATCCGAGTTACATATCGACGTACCCATAACGGCCGTCTTGCTTCTCTTCTACGTCTGCGGAGCAGCGACTCATATGACCATTTTCCAATTGAATAGAAGACGCGGCCATAAATTTCTTTTCTCTGCGGTACTCTTTGGTAAGGCCTTTGATCCAAAAGGATTCTATGTGAAGCAGTCTGACGAGATCCCTAGGTTTCTGCATGGCCCGGACCGTAACTTGCATCCTCCGCATCTCCTCTATCTGCAAGCCGCACAACATCCGACTTGCTATCGCCGCCTCGATCTTCGTAGCGGCCGGTGTACTGCTAATCTTTGTCATCAATCTGGTATTCACACAGCGCCTCTTACGTGCTGCGCATCCTCATTTTGGCTGGCATCGTGCCTTATCGCTGGCACTGAAGGCTATTTATGTCCTGATCGTTCTCACCCTTGCCATAGTCATCACTGGAACGGTAGAATCCTTCTACACTCTTCGGCCTAGGACGCGTAAAATCGATCGCAGTCTCCAGCTCTACGGCTCTACCTTCTTGGCCATAATCTCGTTTCTACCCATCCCAATGGTCATTTTCGGTCTTCTGGTACCCCGCAAGACGCGGGTCGAAAAGTTTGGCCAGGGTCGCTTTAGAACAAAGGTCATCGTCCTTCTTCTCGCAGCGTTTTCTGTCACTCTTGGTGCTTGGTACCGCTGCGGAACGTCATGGAAGACACCGGTACCTCGAACGGAGCCCCTTCCAGGCTATTTCTCACGGGCCTGCTTCTACGTCTTCAACTTTGTTGTTGAGATTCTTGTAGTATATCTCTACGCCATCCTAAGAATTGATCTGAGATTCCACATCCCCGACGGCGCGAAGGGTCCGGGGTCATATGCTGCGGGCCAGAAGCAGGACGGGGACAAGGAAGAGCAAGGCCGGCGAATCAGCAGGGTCTATACCGAGGAAGAGACGTTTGATGATGTGGAAGACGAGGAGGTGCCAAGATCTGGCGATGCAGAGAAGAAGTCTGCGTCCACTCCGGAGCAACCGCCTTTAGATGAGGAGAAGTCGATTGGTGGCGATAACAAGCAAACGACAGCGTGAGGTACTGAAGCATCCGGGCCACTTTTCTAAGAAATGAGCGATTTCATGGACTCACGATACCCTGCCTTCAAGGCGTAGTAGCACTATTAGCATTTGGGACGGCGGCGCATTGCATTTAAAGCCAGCCGACCGTTTTGCCTTGCAACACATTTCCTTTGTATACAGCATAGCATAGCCTAGTACTTTTAATCCGAAGACTTGCAGCCGTATCACATGCGATGACTCAGCATATCACGTGCTCTTGGGGTCAGGAACACAGCGAGACCCATGATGCCGTCACCAGCCTCTGCAGGAACCGAATCGATTGCAACGATCGCAGCCGTCCTGACGGCGGACCTGCCTCGGCCGGGTGGCAGGAGGAGGCACACGGGCAGTCACACGACGAGCAAATGCGAAGCGTCTCGGCGCCTGGCATCCCGTGATTGGCCTTCGGGCTTCGTTCGCGAAGTCCTGAGAGTCACCCGCACACGTCACTCCTTCACTCCCCAAAGCTGGCCCGCTCCGACTGGCCTCCGCCACCACCAAGGTCTCGCGAGTGCGTCCAACATCGTCAGCGCAACGATGCCGGGTGCGGCCTGCCATGCCCGGGCTGGCATGTGCCGAATCCACCTGGTGTCTCATTCCTTCAAAATCACCGCCGGCCCTAGTGCCACGTTACCGTCCGCTTCCATTCTGTGTATATACCCTTCGTATTAGACGTTTCAATATCTCGTACCTTATATTCCTATTCTAGACGTGATAGACCTCACCGTCGGTCTTCTGGCACCTTCACCATGACTCTTTTAGTGCCGTTACTCTTCGCAGCTTACCTCGTTCTCTACGCCTTTGCCCTCGCCCTCCCGCCGTTCCCGCACGCTGCCGCCATCGAGCAGAACCCACTGCAGCAGAAGCCCCAGTACTCGCTGGACGAGTGGCTACAAAGGGAAGAGGACATTGCTCTAGACAACCTTCTGGCCAATGTTGCCCCATTTGGGCGGAATGTGCAGGACGCTGCCCCCGGCTCCGTTATAGCAAGCCCGTCAAAGGAGCACCCTAATTACTACTACCAATGTCAGTGCTCTTATTCTTTTCCAAACGACTAGACTGACAGGCTATTTTCTAGGGGTTCGAGATGCAGCAATCACCACCTCCACGCTCGTCGACCTATACGCAGACGACCCATTCGATCCTCTCTCGTCCAAACTGGACATCATCCTTAATGCCTATGCGTCCCTACAAGACGAACTTCAACACACCAAAAATCCCTCTGGCACATTTGCAGACCTCTCAGGGCTAGGCGAGCCCAAGTTCGAAGCAGATGGCACCCCCTTCATTGGTTCCTGGGGACGCCCCCAGCGCGACGGACCCGCCCTGCGCGCCATAACCCTCATGGCCTACCTCCGCGCCTACAACGCCTCCAATCCCTCCCTGTGGACCAGCGACGAGGGCCCAGACTGGTTCAAGCCCCTCTACGACCCCCGCATGCCCGCCAACAGCATCATAAAAGCCGACCTCGAGTACGTCTCGCACTACTGGAACGCCTCGGGCTTCGACCTGTGGGAAGAAGTCCAAGGCCTCCACTTCTTCACCGCGATGGTGCAACTCCGCGCCCTCCGCGAAGGCGCCGCTCTCGCCCTCGCCTTCGACGACTCCGGCGCCGCAGCATGGTACACGCAGCAAGCCGGCCTCCTCGAGAAATTCCTTCCCTCCTTTTGGGACGCCTCCAAGGGACACCTCATCGAAACCCTCTCCAGCGCCCGCTCCGGCCTCGACTGCGGCCTCCTCCTCGGCTCCCTGCACGGCTCCCCCGCCGCCAACAACACCGTGCCCGGCACGCCCCCGTACGCCCCTTACTCCGACGAGATCCTCGTCTCCCTCCTCGCCCTCGTCTACGACCAACGCAACCGCTTCCCCATCAACTCCGCGCCCCCAGCGTCGCCTGAAGGCACCTCCCCGCTTGAGGGCGTGGGGCTCGGCCGCTACCCTGAGGACGTCTACGACGGGTACGGCACCACGCCCTTTGGCGGGAATCCGTGGTTCCTATGCACATCCTCCGCGTCCGAGATTCTGTACCGCGTCGCTGCGCATCTGCAAGAGACCGACGAGCTCGAGATTACGGAGCTGGGGATGCCGTTCTGGGAAGCCCTATTGGCCGACGCGCCGTCATTTGCGGATCTAAAACCAGGAAGTTATGGTTCTAAAGATGGGTTGTTTGTGGATGTGCTGGAGCGGTTGAGGAGCGTCGGGGATGGGTTTTTGGAAGTGGTGAAGAAGCATACAGATGCCGAGGGCTCGCTTAGCGAGCAGTTTGATCGCGTGACTGGGTTCGAGCGGGGCGCGAGGGATTTGACATGGAGCTATGGGGCATTTCTGCAAGCGGTGAGAGCGAGGGGGAGGGTATGAGTATGGCTAAAGTCACGTGATGGGGGTAAAGTTGCATATTGCGAGTGAAGCCTTTGTAGCATTTTAGCGGGTCTCATTTTTCCCTTATCCCGTCATCACAGCACGAGTTCACGAGGTTACGAAAAATGTATTCGAATAGCAAGTGTTAGATATTGAAGAAAGTTTCTTTGAATTACAATCTAGTACAACAAACTGTGCAAGCTATCAAAATACAAAGGGAAAAGAAAAAAAAAAGAATTTGTGTGATCTGAGCTGGTTGCGCTAGGATATGCTTTTTTGAACATATCACGAGCGCCCCCGGGTATAATCTGTTCTTCCTCTCTTCCTCTCCGTTGCTTCTCCCTCGCTCTCTCGGCCAAAGAACCAATACTCCTGTAACTCCCCATGCTCAAGGAAGCCTGGCCCAATGCAATCCCAGTCACGCCTCCCACCATCCGTGAGCCAGTAATGGATATAGAACAGAAACAGAAAGAGGGTGCTAAAACCTCTCTGAACCAGCAAAAGCAAACAAAAGAAAATAAGGTCAAATTTGAGCCCCCAAGCCGCTGTGGACTCAAGCCTCCGCCTCTGCCATCAACTGCTCCCCTTCATCGAGCATATTCATGATCAACCCCAGATTCCGCACCATCTCGTTCGCCTGCCCCACCAGCAGCAGCTTTTCCGCATTAGCGGGCAGTCCGAGGTACGTAGGCGGCTCGCGCTCTGGCAGGCCCTGCACCCAGCCCATGAAGTCGCGCCAGCCGGTCGTGCTTGGCAGCTCCAAGCCGCGACTGTGCTCGCTGTCCTTGACAATCATGAAGTTCTCCTCGAACGCGGCGGGCGTCATTGTGGCGTCCACTAGCTGGGTAAGAGCGCGGAAGTCGTGCTCGTCGTCGATCTTGCCGCCGTACATTTCCGTGATCAGGGTGCGGAGCATCTCCCATGGGATGTTCTTGGGTGCGACGTTGGTGCGTCCGAGGGCGACGGAGTCGATCCAGGTGTCAATCACGAAGGCGCAGCATTCGTACTGAGATCTTGTTAGTGTGTGAATATTATATGGTGACTGGTTAGACTTACATCGCTGTCGTTGAACTCCCAGAAGCCCTTCCAGCCGAGGCTAGGGGCGTACCGCAGTCGCTCTTGAACAACGGCGTGGAGGAAAGAGAGCAAGAGGTAGATTCTGGCTTTCTCTACTGGTTGCTTCGTGGCCCGTTCTGCCATGGAAGAGAGCGAGTCCTTCATGTTTGCTCTGATTCCTGCTGGTTGCTCGTATGACAAGACTCGGGATGCACGGAGAAGATTGACGGGGATCTTCGGGCTGGACTCCATTGACAAGAACAGTCTGAAGTCCGGGTGAGGCTTGAGCGAATCGAGTCGCTTCTCCAAGCTCTGGAGCCACGTTGGGGCCAGATGAACATTCTTGACGAGGACCCAGGATCCTGTGGCGGCGGCGTTGCTGATGGCCTTGTCCGCACTTGCAACTCCTTCGTTGGAGCCCATGGCGATATTGGTGCAAGTGGCGTGCTCCCTCTCAACGAGGTTGTCGACCTTGTAGCTTGCGTCGAATCCGGGACTAGAGCTGAGTGCAACTGGAGTCCTGGCTGTGACTTGTTTGACGATATCGCTCAGGTCACCGCTCGAGTCCATGAGGCCCTCGCCAAACACCTCTGCAACGAAGCGTTCCACGGCCGGGACAAATCGGTCAACTCGGAAGAGCTTCACAAGTACCAGCGATCGAAGGTGTCGATCGAGCCGTTCTACATCCGCAGACCAAGCCTGGGGTACGAAGTCCTCTGCCAGCTCTTCACTTAGGAAGTGGTCCCAGGCTGTAGCATCTATCGCTTCTATATCGTTTTTGAAGAGAGGCAATTTGCTGGCGCGTGCCAGGACTTCATCCCGGCGGTCCACTTCCGTTGAGACGTCGACTCCCTCCAAGTCCTTGTCGAGGATTAGATCGATGAGACTCTTGTCCAATTTGTATGGAGAGGCTTGAACAAGAAGCATGGCGAGCATGACGCGGTCTTTCTGCAGAAGTGACAAAGATGTGCGACGGTATGCATCAACGAAGAGTTCACTGAGGATGTGATCGATGCGGTTTGTGGGTTTCCCAGCTTGGCCCGGTATCTTGACGCGTTGTAGGACTGCCTCGAAGATATCCGTGAAGTACTTGAGTGAGAACTGGTAGAAGTGGTTGATGTGATGCAGCTGTTCTAGCACAGCGAAGATCGCGGAGCAAGATCGAGCGATAACGGTGTATTGCAGCGTGATGTTCTCCACTTCTGTCATGACGCCCTCAGTCTCGGCTGCCTTTGCGGTGATCTCTCCGGCTTCTTTCTTCAAGGTCTCGAGGGTTTGAATGACGTGGTCATCGTCCAGAATATTTCCGCGGGACTCGTTCAAAGCTTGAAGCAGGCGTTTCTCTAGTTGCCGCAGGTGCACGCTGAATTCTCCTTGCATCTTGATGAGATTGGACCGCCGCTCGTCCACGTCCGGTCGTTCAGACTTCAAGACTTCGTTGAGTGTCTGAGTCTGCAGACTGCTCTGGGTAACCGTAAAGTTGACGAATGTCGTTCGACTACATATGTCGGGGGCGAATGTTGCCGAAGGATCTCTAGTAGAAAGATAGAGCCTGAATGAGGGGGAGAAATCAATTTCCTGCTTTCCGAGCTGGATAAGAACACGACCTCCAGTCTTTTGGTACTCCTTGTTGAGGACATGATTCAAGATAGGATCCAGATGCTCCGCATCCTGGATAAGAATTGGATTACCAAACCGCAACGAACTCTCAAGCTGTTTCGTGAAAGAGTCATCGAGGAAGCTGGTGACAGTGAGCCGGCGGTCTTTGCATTCGTTCTGTAAGAATTCGACTGTTCGGCCAGAAGGATCGATGATTAGAGGATATCGGTTGAATCTCTTGAGAATGATGGCATTCTCTGTGCATAGATCATCTACAGGCAAAGTATTGCGTTGCCATGTCAACCTCTCGTCGGCAGTGGAGAGGTATTCCGTGACCGGATTGTGAGCTTTGAAGCTGATGCCAGAAAGAGATAGGTGATGTAACCAATCGTCCATCATAGACTTCCTATACTGTTGATCATAGTAGCCGCCGTAGGCGATAAAGGCAGCGGCGACAAGAACGTCTCCAACGATAGTGTCAATCTGGGTCTCGAAAGACCTACTGCTCTCTTCCCAGCGAATACGTTCAGATGATAGACTGTCGAGCAGACGGACACTTCGATCGACTTTTGACTGAACTCTCTCCATTTCGGACTTGATGGCTTGGGTTTCACTGATCAGTGCTGCGTACTCCTTCTTGTATCTCAGGATGCTGTCTTCAAGCGCCTTGATTTCCTCCCTCGTATCCTCCGCAGCCTGTCTCTTCTGTTGGGCGTCTTCTTCAAGCTGGCCGACCTCCTCGCGCAAGGGTCCAACTTTGTCCAAGATCTCGGAATACTTGACTTGAGCTGTAACCCACTGTACAAGCGGACCGCATGCTTTACTGGCGTGATTGACCTTTTCAAACGTAAAGCCCGGGTTTGAGATATACTCATTCTGCATCTTTATGCGAGAGTTTCGAGTCATCTGTTTCTCGTTGTCGTAGTTGATGATGTTGTGAATGAACTCATCCTTTCGCACGATCGCGATGATCGCCTTCCAGTCATCCACCTTATGACCCAGGAGAGTGCAGACTGCTTCAAGGGCGAGTCTGACACCAACTGGAGGCTTTTGCATAGACCGAACCTCCGTAAGATGTTGTCGCTTGATGTTCGAAACGCTCTTCTTAGCCTCAATAACGGCTGGTTCGGCATCTGCCAAATCGTTCATTACAACTTCTCTGCGATTCGCAATTTCTATTTCCGCCTTCTCCAAGAGAGCCTGGGTCTCAGAGGCCTCCACCTTTCGTCGCTCAGCGTCTTGTTGATCGGCAAGCATGCGTTGCAGTTTCTCGTTGGCTTCAATATCCTTCCTCTCCAGTTGACTCTTCTTCTCAGCTAGACTCTTGCGCAGATCGCGAACTTTGTCCACAGTTTCGCGTAGCTTTTCCAAACCCACGTTGAGATGTCGCTGTTGCTCCTCGAGGTCCTCTCGCTTCTCGTTGTATAATTTGACGTACTGCGCAACAAAATCGAGGAAGTGTCTCGGCGTAAGATATGTAACTCTGCTCTGTTGAGTCTGCAATTTCTTGTTATAGCCATGGAGGGAATAGTGAATGTACACCATAGCATTAACAACGGCCTCCCTATGTGATGGTGGCAAAGCGAGCCCACGATAAGAAACTGGTATGCTGCTGGGAGCAGAGAAATTCGCGCGGTCCAAATCGACGGCCTGTGTGAGTTCGGAGCCGACTTGGAAGAGAGCTTGATCAGACCAGTCTCCAAACCAGTTAAGAACACATCGATTGAACAGGGCCGGACTCGTGGCGGCTTTGGACGACAATCCCTCCTCTGGCGGGTTCATTGTGAAGACGACGTGGAGGTTCTTCACAATTTGCTGCGTGAACCATTTGTAAAGTTCTTCCTGAGAGTCTAGGAGAAGGCCTTGTCGCTGCGCACCCTCTTTACAAGCCGTCATGAGAGATGCGTACTCATCTCCTTCGAACAGGCCGGGTACCTCAGCATTGGCAAGCAAGGTGTTCATGCGCTCAAGGAATCCAGAGTCAAGGACATTAGATTCGTCCATGATGAAACAGATCTTCTCTCCTTTGCAGCCGCATCTTCGAAGAACATTGCGTAGGTCGTCATCAAAGTCCTCGGCGGAGTATTTACCATGCACTTTGATCTGGTAGACCTTCAGCCCATTCATCCAGGCCACAAAGCGGGATAAGGTTGTCTTCCCACTTCCACTGACACCGATGAGAATTAAATGGCCCTGAGGTTGACGGAATACACGATCAATGCGGAGAACGTGTTCGAGAACGTCGTTGAACAAGATCAGGGGTACGTCAACTTCTTCCTCGCAGAAAGTCTTTAATCGGGCTTTGACAAAATCCCGAAGCTGGTCTCGGTGTACAGGTACATAGTTTTTAGAGAGCCAGTTCGAGAACAAAATCGGACCACCTAGTGCTTGCTGCTCATCGATAGTTGGGAAATGCTCCAACGCAACACGATGGACACATTCATCTGTCCATTGACGCTCTTCTTCTGCAATGAGTCGATCCTGGAAAAGTCGAAGCGCCTCATGCGCCCAGATCCGGACTAAGCCTTCAACCGTCAAGGTCTCCAGGGGTCGAATGGCCTCATAAACACCACGAACCCATCTCGTTAGTTCTCGAGGCGAGTAGACGTAGTGTGGCTGGATCTCAGCAGTAAATCGCTTCTGGGATTCTGCGTATAATTGGACCATGGCTTTCGTTAGAGGCTCTGAATACCCTCGTAGTGACGGAATGATTTTGAGGACGGCACTGTTGAATGTTCCGTAGATCTGAAGTAGCGAAAGTTCCCCAGGGTAGTCGACCATAATTAGAGGAGCATGGCGGAGGAAGCGCAAAGCCATCGGCGTACGACCAGCATCAGTGGGCGGATTGCATGCTCCTACGAATTGGATGCGGTCCAAAGTGACCCATGTCTTGTCGGACGTCCTCCAGAAACCGTTCTGCTCGACAAGCTGTCGGAGGAATGAGATGGCCCGTTGGGTCCCGTATTTGTCTGGAGCTGGCAAGTTGATTTCATCGCAGAAGATAACTAGCCAGCGGCCAATTTGGGTTGGAGTGAGCTGTACGCCGTTCAGAGTCTTCTTGTATTCGCAATATTGCTCAAACGTCTTGATGAGCAAATCAGGAGTAGTCGCACTGGAGAAGTTGAGGCCCACCACCTCCATGTTAGGTAGCTTCCTCAGGGCGCTGAATAAAGTCATGGTCTTTCCAGATCCAGGAGGGCCACAAAGTAGTAGTGGTTTGTGTTCTGCAAGCCAAGAGTATAGCACATCTTCATGGCGGATAGTGTCAAGGGTTGGAATGACCACATCCGTCTGAGTGATGGAGTGCGTATTCACCTCTACGTTTGGAACCTGAGACTGCCACAGCATCCACTCTGCTTGCGGTAGGGAGACGTCATAGTCGATGAGAGAGGTGGCCTCGTTCAAGATTGGAATTTCGACGTTCGTCAAACTCGCAACAATATCGCCAAAGCCTTTTCGCTCAGCCAGGGGACAATCGCCGACCAAGGACCAGACTAGGGCAAGCAACAACTTCTTCGACAGATACGACTCGATTTGGCTATCGTCTAGGCCAAAATCTTGGTGTTGAACATTATACTCTAAGACTGACCTGCAGCTCTTGTTGAGGAGTGAGAAGAGGGTATTCAATGCGCGAATGTCGGTATACTCCATGATGTGCTTGAACTTGCGAGCCGTGCTGAGAGCCTTTTCGATAAATCGATCCTCCGTCAACTTGATTTGGAGGAAGTCAGCGACTTGACCCTGAACTGTGAGAATCTTCTGTGATAGCTGGCCTGGGGCAACAGAGTCGTCTTCCAGATCCTCGAAAACAATTTCTCGTAGGTTCTGGATATAGTTTGAGATCATCATGTCGACGTTCACCGTGTCATCGCTAAACCAGACCATACCGCATCGACTAACGGTTGCTAAAGTAGCATATTTCAGAGTCTCGACCTCGAACATGATGCGCACGTTCGATGGGAGATTGAGACGCTCTCCGTTGGGAAGTGTGAGAAGCTTGTTGTCGTCCAACACGCTGTTCAAGTTCTCCACCCACTCGGGATCGACATCGCCGTCAAAGACAATCCAGTGTCGTTTGGTATCTTCGCCACGAAGGTTGTCGACAATTTTACGCAGGATGCCGGTGAAAAGACCGTCGGTCCACTCTCGCGTTGTGCTGTCCAGCGTGCCATAGAGGTTCTCCTTGGACATAACCTTTGGATCGATAACATGGAAGACGCCTTCAGTTCCTTCGACGCGCTGGAGCGCTGATAAAAGTGTTCTCCATGCTGCCGACTTCCCGGATCCTGATGAACCAACCATCATGACACCGTGATGGAGAGCTTGAATTTGATACAACTGCAGAATCTTCGTCATCCAGGAGTCGCTCACCACAAATTTAGATTCGGCGGCAGAATCGCGAATCGCTTGCTCCAGTTTATCGAGAGGCGCAGGAATGTACTCCACTCCTGCGAAGGATTTTGCTTCAATCTCTTTCATGATTTCGACATCGGAGGCAATAAGCTTCGGAGCCATAGTCTCTCGCAAGCTTTGAACGATAATCTGCGGCTCGATTATATCCTCGTCCGGCAATCCACCTTGGGCGGCGATCCGTGCTCGTTTCAATCCACCGGAGCTGACAAGAACGCTTTTCAGTGCCCGTAAACCAAAGTCATAATGGGCTTGCTTAGACAAGCTGGCAAGACATGTGTCGAAGAATGGAACGACCTGAGTCGACAATTCCTTGGCGCGAGAGAAACCCTGCGAATAAAGCATGACTTCGGCGATAAGCTCCTTGTCTGGCTTGGACATAGCAACACTTCTGAACAGTTTCTTCAAATTGTCCGGAAGGTTGGATCTGCCTGCGTACCCGGGATTCATGGTGATGAAAATTCCGGTGTCAGGGTTTACTCGAAGTTGTCGTCCGATCAGCTCAATCTCAGACTTGTTTTCCAAGGCACCTTTTCTTAGACCCAATTGAATATTCTGAACCTGCTGCGATACAGCCGACAGAATGCGTTCCTCGAGTCGATTGAACTCATCGAAACATCCCCATGCACCAACCTGGCAGATACCGAGGAATATACGGCCCATGGCCTGGAAATCGAAGGTGTCGTCGCAACAGAACACAAGGGTGAATCGACCAAGTTGGACACCCAAGGCTTTGACGGACTCAGTCTTACCTGTTCCTGCCGGTCCATATGGGGATCCTCCGAGTCGCTGGCATAAGGCCTGGGTTAAGGTTAAAAAGCAGCGGTCGGTAAGAGGAGTCCGAACGAGACGTTCTGCTACGCCTAAGTACTCGAAGCCATAATCGAGAGTTGCATTCGCCATCTTGATTTTCAGACGCTGCATCAATTCCTTCTCTGGTTCATAGACATAACGCATCTGGAGAAGCCACAAGTGGTGATTTGGAGATTGGGCGCCAGCGTTTCTAAGCCTACCAATGACGTCTCGCTGGTGGACAAATTCGGTGATGAGGTGCTCACATTTCCTTCGATGGATAATCTCCAAGTCTCCAAGAACGGCGGTGGCAAGGAGCTTGAGTGCGCTCACTTGCTTGTCGTATAGATTCGGCAGCGAGGTACCCTGTTGCTGTAAAGACCTCTCTACTGATGAAGTCCAACATACTTGAGTTGCGAGAACAACGATTTGAGCTGGAAACTTCGCGATATATGTCTCGAAGGCGGCAGCATCCATAGGTTCAGCGGCGAAGAGATCGGTAAATTCGGAAACTGCCTCGTGGAGCAGCTCTGCAAGAGCGATCTTCATATTTGTTTCAAGGGCTGCTAGCCATTCGTTGACACGAGGAGTCTTGGCTAGGGAAATTTCTTTCCGGAGTATCACTTGCTCTCCTTCTTTGGAAGTAAAACCGAGGATAGTGGAATTGTCGTCACTGACGAGACCGTTAATGCCCGCAAACATTTTTCGTAGATGTTTAGCGACCCGAAGTGTGTCGTTGTTGTTACCGATAATTTCCAGGAGATCTTCGTCGCCCACAAAGTAGAAACGTGGGAACGATACTCTCTCCCTCTCGAGGTATTCTCCCAAAGCTTTCTGGATTTTGTTCAGGAGTTCCGCTAGTCGTTCAAGCGATTTTTGTACCCCTGAGATTGCCAAGACATCCAAAACAAAGTTAGACCGGGAGACTTTCTTCATGACTGAAAGGAATTCGGAGTTGATATTTTGAAATCGAGAGGATTCCATGGGTAGAAGATGCTTGATGTCAGCGTTCCCTGTGAAAACGCCTTCCAAGTAAACCCATTGGCGCTGAACATCTATCCAGACATCAAAGAGCACATGAACGCGGTTGAGCTTTTCTTCCCACGCTGAGGCATCCTCTTCGAATTCTTTGTAGTAGGGCGAGTGCCTCATAGCTTGGAGAGAGTTGAGGTTTTCGCTGCATTTGGCAAAGAGGTCATCCCACCCGCGTATGAGACGACATTTGTTTTGATAATTGACAAGCTCCAATGCGTAGTTTTGCCAGGTATCTCGGACTTGCCGAAGGAACTCCTCTAACGCCATTTCTCCTTGGGCTTGAGTAATTACGCCTCGGATGATAGACTCGGTAGCAGAGAGTTTGAGGTCCCACACGTCTCCAAGAGTGAGTTGCAGCTGAGAATATCTCTTGTTGGGTTTCAATTGCTTGAAGATCTTCACCCAGTGCCGCTCCCTCACTGCTTCCGATCGCAGTTCGCTAAGCAGCGGATTTACTTTCAGAAGCTGTCGAAGGACGTTCTGAATATGTTCAAATGCGGCATATTGGCGCATGCGACTGGGCATGTCCTTCGTCAACTTCAGGAGGTTGTCGATTGAAGATCGCAGCTTTCGTGGTTGTACGCTTGTCCATAGCATATCCCGGAGCTCGTTCAGGCTGTTCCAGATCGAGGTCAAGGCAGACCAGACCGACGTGAAGTCCTGGACCTCTTCCAGAAGCGCAGACAACATGTTATCTGCAGACGCGGGAATGTCGAGTGCCTCCTTTGCCTTTGCTATATTGGTGGACTCAGTGAGAAGTTTTGAAAGCTTGGTGTCGAAGTGTTGGAGTGTTGCGGCGGCTTGTTCTGGGGGAATAGTGCCAGATATTGGCTTCTCTTCAGCCCACTGAGATGTGATGTCCGCAATCTTTTGGGTCACAACCTTGTCTTCAGCTATGATTTGGGCGCGGAGAGCATCAGTCTGATCATTAACGATCTTGCTCTTTCGTTCTAGAACGTCGTTGAAGGCTGTCCATTCATGGTCGATCTGCTCCATGTTGAGCCAGTCAGTTGGGAATTGCCACCGCTGACGGCTGAGAGCAGTTTGCCCCTGGCGGAATATTTCCACGTCCGGTCCCCAAGCGTCGGCTTTACGTTTGGATTGTTGCACAATCGTAATGAAGGAAACAGCTTGAGTCGTTGATGATGCCTCGAGTGCCTGGCCCTCCAAAGCTTTCCGTGCCGTCTCGATCTCGGTGAAAACCTGCGCCATATGAGTCCCCAGTCTCGAAGCGAACTTTAGCAGAATCTCGTGCTGCCATTGATCGTATTTGGCATTGACCTTGACTTGTACCTGCTCGTAGTCAATTGTCACATATCCAAAGGAGCGGGAGACTTCGGAGGTGTCGAAAGTTCCTCGAGTTTTGCGAATTTCATGCAGAAGTTGAAGCCACTGGGAGAGGTCATCTCCGAGGACTTCGTATACGTGCTCTGACTGAAGATCCCACAGCGATTGGAACTGGAGCCACTTATCCACGTAATCCGCTATTGCACGTATCTTCTCTTCGACGACGCCGTAGACTAAAGTTAACGACTCTGTGCATCGACTTGGGAGATCAGAGAATTGGGAGGACGTCGCGTCGTTTGTTGCTTGCAACTGCAAATGATAGCGGGAAGCCTTGACCTTCTGCAATGTGCATATTATGCCAAGCCATTGATGTAGCTGATCTAACCAACTAGCTCTGGCGAACTCCAAAGGCGGATCGAGGTATATGAGCTGATTACGCATTGTGATTTCGTGGACAAGGTTTGCCATCTTAGGTAGCTGCTTTCCTGGATCTACCAAGTCGGTAGAATGGACTGTATTTCGGCGTTCGGTGCTCTCTACGTTGCTGAAAACTTCAATCCACTCCACGATAGCCTTATTAAGTCGTGTCAATAGAATAGACTCCAGTCTCGAATTAAGTTGTGCGACCCAGATGTTAAGGTTGGCATAACTCTCTAAGCTCAGGTGATCGACAGCTTTCTGTATGAATTCCAGATTGGTGCGGAAAGACTCTACTCCATAGGGGCAGGTCTCAAGATCCTGGAGCGCTTTTTCCACAGTGGAATTCACCTGTGATAAATTCGCAGTTTTTGATTGAAGCTTCGAAGTGGCATCAGCGAAATCTCGGACAAATTGAACGTGCTTGCTTTCTTTTCTTAACGAACTCCCAGCGCGATCGGAAGGTGCGAATTGGCCTTGTCGGATGTGTAGGTCGTAGGCGTGAACGAATGACTCCCATTTGAGAGGTATTCCCTTGACAATGAGACTCTGAGTGTCGTTTAGATACCCATTAAGCAGCATCGATACTTCTGGCATTTCTTCGATTTGTTTGATGGTCTGCGAGTAAGTCCGAATACTCTCCATCAAGCTGACGGCGTAGGGATATACCCGCTTGGCCTCTTTCGAGATGTTGTTGATCGCGTGGGGGATTTGGTAGCGTTGCCATGTCAAATTCCGAACTTCTTTGAACAAAGCAATGATAGCAGCGTCAAAGTTCACGCTTAGTTCAAGGGAGTTCCCAGCAGCCCTATTCCGAGAGATCAGGAAGAGGCGGCCAGCAATAGACAGTTTTCGCCTCGCAACGTCTTGAAGCCAAGATTCAAATATGGGTCGCGTATCGAGTTTCCTCCTGAACATGGTGCTTTCGGCCTCAAGCTTTTGGCCTTCTGCATGCAAGGTCCAGTCCTTTCCGAGGATGTCTTCCACTTTCTTCATGTAACCGTCTAACTGCCGCTCGATCTGGCGGGCCCAGATGACCGCGCCGGAAACGGGTGCAAAATCTCGTAATTGTGCCATCGCGTGTGCCTCGGAATTGCCATACTGCTGCTTGAAACGCTCGTGCAAAGCCGAGATGTCGTTCTTGACGCTGTCGATGAGCTGGGTTTGGTACTCAGATATGGCTCCTCGAATTTTTGGCCGCACGAATAGGGGGTTGAATTTTGAAAAGACGCGGAACATTTCGTTTGCAGTCTTTGCGGTCCCCAGACGATCCCTAAGCCGAGCAATAATAGAATTTTCAACGCGCGAAGTACGGTCGTTGTAGGTTTGCTCAGCCTGTACCCAGAGTCTCGTACCTTTCGGAGTGACATCTAGAACATCAACGTCTTTGAGAACGGCATAAGCCTGAGCTACTTCTTCGACAGCGTCAACATCGCCAATCTCCTCGAGGATAACCGCTTCTTGACGCTGCGAGCCATCGGTCACGGCTTTCGGTGTAGCACTGGAACCAAGAACGTTGACAATGGTTCGTTGTAACTGTTCATGATTCTTGCGGAAGGTCCCAATATACTTCAGGCGATCCTGGGTGTCGATGTGACGAGCAGCAATCTTGATCGGTATGAACTTCTCATTTCTCCTCCTGGTCACTTCACGGGCAACATTCGTGAACTCTTTGACATTCTCGTCCCAAATACGCCATATGCGGTCGGAATCTTCCATGATCGATTGGAACTCTGGGTAGTCCAAATGCATCAAATATTTGCCCTGGAGGAGAATGTGCAAGCGAATATCTACCTCCGTGGAGATGGCTTCAACTAGTGGAAGCGCTCGACGAACAGGATATGGGCATATGCGGAGCTTCTTGTTCATGTGGCCAAAGATCTGCGCGATTGCATCTTCCACTTGCCGCAATGAAGTTGCCGTGAGTAATTCACCCAGAGGGAAATCCCGCATCAACTGATTGTACTTCTGAACCATATCTGTAGTTTCCTTCAGACCGGTATCTGCACTGAAGCTCACGGTGGCTTGGAATCGTTTCGCATTCTTGAGGACATCGAGAGTTAGCCGTACACCTTCACTTCGCAGTTGTGTTTCAATATCCTCGAGGCGGGATTCCATAGAAATCCAGAAAGTAATCTCCTGAGCTGCGGTGCCGCTACTTGGATCCCGAGTATGCTTCGTTATGCTCTGGATTGATTTGATCCAGCCGTTCACAGTTGATTGAAGACCATTCAGGAACGTGCTGTCTGCGAGGACTGCAGCAGGTATAAGCTCTGGGCTTGGCTTCACGGCTCGCTGTTCAGCAGAGTCTAGGGCGGAAGCTATTATGGGATGTAGTGGCAAGACCAGTTCCGGAATATCGATATCCTGTTGCAACTGCTTAAGGTTCTGCTCCAGCTCTGCCATCTTCCTCTTCGCTCCAGGTATTCCCGTCGCCCGCGCTCCATTGTCCCCCTTTACCCCCCAGACGCCTGGCGGGCCTTGCTGGCTTTTTGTGGATTCATTGAGATAAGGCGTCAGTGCCAAGCGCACGACAGAATAAAGAGCTTCGTAAGGATTGGATACCTGGCCTTGCGAGGAGGGTGCATTACTGAGGCTTCTGATTCCAGGAAGATTGACTATCGTGACCTGGTCACTTATCGGTAGTCCGGGATCGATGGTCTGTACGGATTTGATTATAGCAATGCAGGCGAAGCAAGCGGGTGAGAAAGAGAACTCCGTGGATAGGACGTAAGTGTAATGTAAAAGGGCGCCTGGGATGTTCGTCAGCGAGAGCTTGGATGCGACGTCGATAGGCTTACTTGAAGTTCCGTCTAGACTATCTATATGGGGAGCATCTACGACATCCTTCTGCACGTATATTGCCTCCTGTGACTCGAGAGCGAATCGTGTACACCGCTGCAAAGTATCCTGCAGACGCAGGGGTGATAGCAGACTGCCCAGCGAAGAGAGGTCTTCATCTGAGGCTCCTAATGTGACCTTTAAGAGCCGGGCGAGATGGTTCACTATGACCTGGGGGTCTATCGTCGGAGGGGAGGAACTCGGGGAGGAGTGCACGCCGTTGGTGGCTCCAGGGGCCACCTCCATGTTGAGATTAGGCGCAGTATCCAGAGGGCGACATGTGGTTCGACACTTCCCGGATGGTGAGAGGAGGCCGTATAAGGGTGAGGTTCGAGTATAGCGGCGGAGGAGGGGTGGAGGTGATGGAGGGTGATGTTGTCAAAAATAATGTCAACGCCTTGAAACAACGCGGAGAGACGCGATCGAGGGCCCGCACGTGCCTCATGCGCCAAGCCGTCATCTAACGCTTCCCCTGCATATCCGACGGGCTGCTGCAGGCATTGTTGAGATGTTAAACGGCCGGTACGGTGAGTTTTCTTGCAAAGACACGTAAGAGGCGCAGATAACCATCATCTCTATACTGTTCATTGTTCGTTATGAGGGGAATCTAACTACCGAACATCCACGTGATCTGGACCTCTTCGTCCACGCGGGCGGTCCTCGAGCTCTATCGACGGCCGCTCGTCTTCAGCACTGTGCTGCCCTCTGTCCATCGAGCTAGTCTGACTAATGGGGCTATGAAGCTGAATCCCTGGCCCGCCTCCGATTCCCAGTTTCCGTCTCAACTCATTGATCCTGACGTCAACCCAGACCGCAGCCCGATGCATAACACTCCACAGACGTTCCTGCCCTTCATTCAGTGTGCGGTCGTCCCGCGGGTTCTCCTGAGCCTCCACCTTGAACTGATACTTCAAGCAGTCCTTGACGGTGACAAGGCCGGTCAAACGGCCGCGGTACTCTATGAGAATGACCCGGGGGCCCATCTTTTTGAAAAGCTCCATGACTGTCTCCAGAGGTAGGCGAGGGTGCACCGAGAGCGGGGTAGGGTCCATGAAGCGCGACATGTCGACATTTAGTTGCGCAGAAGTGGCCGCCATCGTGTCAAACGTGACCGACGGCATAGAAGACGACGGTGTTGTTGTAGAGGCAGATGTCGACGTAAAATAGCATTTCGCATGTCCGGGAGCCATTTGGTCCCGCTTCGCTCGGTCGATCGCGTATCTCAGTTCCGTGCGACCGACGTAGCCGATTAGTATCTTTGATGTAACGTCGTCAATGACTGGGTAGCCTTGGAACTTGTTCTCCGCCATGATGCGTTCTATCGCGCGGATTTCAAGACCAGCAGCCGGCAAGGCAACAACATTCGGTGTCATGACTTGAGACACGGGAACTCCGAAAGTGTGTTCTTCCTTGTTGTCAAGGAATGGAAAGCCATTGAACCAGATGGCGCGATCAGCGATCCCGCCCTTACCAAACCGCTCTCCAACAGCTTTCGTAACACCGACGACAATCTACAAGTCCATTAGCCTTTTGCTGAGACCCTAGGAGGCATTACTCACCATAGTTGGCAGGATATAGGTCAGAGCTCCGGTCAACTCGAACATGATCACTACAACAGACACTGTAATGTGCATTATTCCACTCAGTGCCGCAGCGGCGCCAAGGAAAGCATATGTGCCTGGAGTGATGCAAGGAACATCAGGCTGGCAGCCCGCAAAGAAAGCAGAGGTTGGGAACGATTCGTGGAGATACTGCACGAAGATGCCGACCATGCGTCCAAAAGAGGCACCGATCGCCATAGATGGCACGAAGATGCCAGCTGGAACTTTGCAGCCGTACGATATAATGACCAGCAGTGTCCGAATGACAGTAGCTATAGCAAGCGAAAATATCATTCGCCACCGGTTTTTTCGACTGCTCGAAGTCAGTAGAAAGTTGAAGAGATAGGCCAAGAGAGGGTTAACGTACTCGCACAACTCGTCATAGTCATGCCCACCCTCACATTCCAAGAAGAGGATTTCCATGCTCTCCGTCATGTCGATTCGAAGGAACATGTTTGGATAACAGATAATAGCCGTGATCACTGCCAGGACGGTTGCCTCCAAGATTGGATACTTCGTCAAGTATTTCTTGCGGAAAGCCTGAGCTCTCAGGTTCCACTTGATAACGAAGGCGCCATAAAGTCCACCAAACACTCCAATGATGAGGTAGAACAGGATTTCGAAGAAATGCCAGTCGCGATCATACTTCACTTGAAACATAACCAGCTGGCCGGTTCGGAAAGGGTTCATCGCCTGAATGTACTCTTAGTCTTTGAAGAAGCAGGCCAGTCGGCGTGACTTACCGCTAGGACGGCTGTGGCCACGAGGGCACAAAAGTAACTCCTCCACATAGTTTTCAAAGGGAAATAATTGGACATTTCCTAGCGGCACATTAGCTAGTAGCGATGTTACGTCGATGAGGTGCGTACCTCTAACGAAAACAAAACGCCTCCTATCGGACTGCCAAAAGCTACCGCTACACCCGCTGCTGCAGAAGCACTCAAGATCTCACGAGTCTTGGCAGCGTTTCTTCGGTATTTGTTGAAGAATCGCGAAATGACGTTGCCGGTGCAGACGGCATAGTGCACACTTGGCCCTTCTTTGCCTACGGAAAGCCCAGAGGCTATGGCAAGAGGCAAAGCAATAGACTTGATGAGGAGCGTCCAGGCGCCGAGGAAGCCTTTCATGACGAAACCGGCAATAATGCATTTAATCTCTGAAATGCCTGATCCGGCCGCATAGGGTGCAAATGCTTTGACCAGCACGCCAGCCGTGATTGCAAAGATAGCCTGAAATGGTCAGCTTGTTGAACCCAAAGCATCCTATGAGCCATACAGCAAATATAATGTAAAAGATATAGTTGAGAAACCAGAAACTACTCCACCGTTTCCATTCGGGGCATCCTGGTCCTGTCAGTTCTAACCTTATGTGTGAGTCACAGGCTGCATACCGTTTTCTGCTCCCCAACAGCAAAAGTTCTCATTCAGGTAGAACGCTGTGGTACAGTGTCCTAACTTGATATCAGATAGCCATTCCGTGACTATGTTTAAAAAGGCCGCGTTTAGTCCGATTGCAAATCCTATATCCATTCAGTTCCATGAATCTCTTCGGAATGGCAACATGACCCATACCGACTAGCGTAACTACAATCCATGCCTGGCCAGCATCGTAGGACTCCCATAGCTTCCTTCTCCACCCTATGCCTCCCTCTCGCTCGAAGAACCCAGCCGTCTCTTGACGTCGTGCCTTTCGCCGAATTTGTTCACGCGCAGCATCCTGGACCCAGTCTTTCAATTGCTTAGTGTATGTTCGTAAGGATGCTCAGGTGTTAGGATCGGGCTACCTATTGTGGTAAAATCCTAGGTATGGTCAGTTATGATTCTTGAAAGTCGTTGGAACTCCAAGCGTACCTCATATCTTTTGATCTCCTCGATCTCCTCCTTGATCGCATGTTCCGTAGTGGTAGCAGCTTGGTCATCTCCTTGCTCCGCATTCGAGAAAGTAGATATTCGCCGGGTGAGCGAGCGAGCGGACGGAGTATGGGATCCACTGCGCAATGGTTGGCGGCCTGTAGAGTTTGAGCTCGATCGGCGGTTCATCGCATCGTGTGCACTTCGATCTTCGTTGAATCTGCCTGCGTGCCGCTTTTACAGTGCCGTTATCCGAGTGCGAGTGCATAGGTAATCGTCCTCGAGGTTGAAGCTCTTCGGAGGTGCCCTTGCAAGCTGCGCCACTCCGCTTTCTGCCACACAAAGCAACCCTAATCTTCCCCACCACCAACCACTCACCGTACTGTCTCGTACGCGTCGCAACGAGATACGAACCGAAGTCACGCGTCAAGACCGTCAGATCTGCCTTATATAACTAAATCACCGTGATACCGACTTTCTACTACTCGCATTTCCTTCCTCTACTCGGCCGTGAAGCAGTCCTAAGAGTACACCTCGACAGTCTTCGCCATGCCCTACAACAACACCCCAATCGCTCCGCCTCGGGAGACTCTGGGTACAGTGTCGTTACCACGTAAGTTTTTTACTTTCAACAGTCTAATTGCGTCTTGTCACATCATCGATATATTGTGAATGGGCAATCTGCTCACCGACTTCCTTAAGAATGTCACCAATCCCCTACAGTTGTTTCACACCCTTCTAAACCCCCCTCTCTTATCACTATAAAATCTCACTCGCTACGGATAATGGGTTCAATCTCCTCGTCTGGTTGTCTCTTTGCAGACTCATTCCACTATGTTCACTTCCTATAAAGCATTGTCTCCCCAGAAGGCTCCGAAGAGGAGTTGTTGACTGGCGCTGACAATCCCGAAATAGTCGCCCGCGTCAAGAAGATCATCAGTGCAGATGAAGAAGTCGGCTCATGCTCCAACAATGGCGCCTTCGTCATCGCGCTCGCGACAGAGATGTTCATCCAGTATCTCGCCGAGCAAACCCACACGGTCGTGAAGACAGAGCGGAAGCCTCGTCGAAACATCCAGTATCGAGACGTCGGTAAGTCTCTGTAAACCGCTACTAATAATCAGCGCTTTTGTACTGACCAACCTCCTTCAAACAGCAAGCGCGGTTGCACGAGTCGATAATCTGGACTTTCTCGCGGACGTTGTCCCCAAGACCATGCCGTACAAGAAATTCAAGGAGCAGAAGGCCGCCAAAGCCGCCGCAGAAGAGGCCGAAGCGTCCATGCTCAATGGCGAGAGCAGTGCCGCGGGCTCTAAGACCCCTGTGAACGGGACCAACGGCACTGCGGACAGTTCGTCGGATGCTCGCAACGGCCACGAAAAGGGAGACGACGATGAAGGCGATTCTGATGTCATGGAAGTAGATCGGCCTGAGCCATCCAATCCACGAGGAGACGATGAGGCTGCGGTTCAGTTGGAGATGGAGATGCGGGGCCCAAAAGTCAACGGAGCAGCGGAAATCGGACAGTCCCCTGCCGCGACCACGAACGGGACGCATGCGTAGATTTGTGAATGCAAAACTACCGAAATCGTACACGGGGGCAAGGGTGCTCGAACTTTCGGAGTTACAGAAATTAGGCTTAGAGCGAGGGCGAGATATGGAGTTTGGGTTGTGTTTGTCACATCGAAGGGCCCTCCTTTGATAGACCAGGAGCAGTGACAATATCATGTCACGCCCTGGAGGCTGAGGCCGAAGAGATGACAATGAAAGTAAAAATACACTCTGGCCGCGCGGTTTACCCTCAAGTCAGTGCAATAATGAGATGTTGAACTTTCAGAATTCCATATGGTCTAGAACACCTATCAACACAATCCCCCCTCCCACCAAAATCTTGTCTCGGGCACGCTAATATACAAGTGGCCAATTCTAACCGATGACAACCTTTCCTTCTTCGGGGAAATCGTACGCAGGAATCTCGAGGTTTAGTGGCGCGGGGCCCTTCCTTATACGGCCGGAGATATCGTAGTGAGAACCGTGGCAAGGACAGAACCAGCCGCCAAAGTCGCCGGCTTCGCCGATGGGGACACATCCAAGATGTGTGCAAACGCCTATTTCAAACAGAATCAGTAATGAACTTGGTATATCTCGGCGTGCACAAGCGTGATAGAGCTTGTAGAGCGTTCTATGGAGAAACCCATAACATACCAAGCATGATCAACCAATCCGGCTTCTGGACACGATCTGAGTCGGGCTGCGGGTCTCGTAGAGCTTCCCACTTGGTGTCCTCAGCTTCTTGGATCTCGGATTCGGTACGGTGGCGGATGAAGACGGGCTTGCCTCGCCACTTGATGATGACCTGAACAATGTGTGAGCTTCCTGAAAGACGAATGGCGATGTATAGGGTGTGTGGCTTACGTTCTTGCCCTCTGGAATGGCAGAGAGATCGACTTCGACCTTGGCTTGAGCAAGCACGTCGGCGGAGGCGGACATGTTGACGAGGAAGTCTGCGAGTGATGTCTTATTAGCCCTCCTCTCCCATGTATATCATAAACCCGTCCAGTCCATCAATTGTGCGCCCCCATTGTCCCCAGTCCCGTCCACACAGCCAATTCCAAGCCAATTGACTCCGTTTTTCCATCGATAAAAGCTCCACGAACCTTGCACGGTCGCCTTTGCTCCCATAGCCGTGATGGCGCCCATCGTGCCGACCATGAAGTATTGGAAGACCTTCGTCGAACTCTCGCCGCTCTTGTTCCTGTACTTTGCGAAGCTGGGGATCTTGGTCGTGCCTTGGGAGCTGCCCAGGCCCTTGAAGGGTGAGTCGAAGGACGATGTAGTCGAGACCTCGGACACAGAACGGGTCTGTGTCTGGATGGCCGAGCAGGAGGCGCGCACGGCGGGCAATTGGTGGGCGGTCCACGAACGCGCGAGCGTACGGGATGCGGTAGTGAGGGCGGGCATGGCGAGGGTCCGGAGAGGAGAGTGCGAGGGCGGTGGCGGCGATGGGAGGAGGTTGAAAGTCGGAGGTCGTCAATGCGAGGGAAAAGCCGGCTGCGCGGAGCTGGAGTGATGATTCCTTAACCTGCCCTGTGATTGGCCGGTGCGCCCTTACTGTCTCTCACCACCTCTAGACTTCCTTCCCTCCACCATCATCTAGGACGAGACCGCAGACAGTAAACTGACGTTCAGTGACTTCCATTACGATTTTACTAGGACTATCTGATTCTGGACATCTATGATCCTACTCACATCCTCACCCAACACTAACCGGCCAGTCACAGTAGCTGTCCAAGGCGTCTGCCTAATCTGTTCAGCTTTAATATCTTGAAGCACACCCAACAGCCGCGAGACGGTATACAAAAACTCTACCAGGCCTGGATCAGCACATCACTCAACATGTCTACTGATACGCAGGAGCCAACCTCAACCCCACCTGCATCAGAGATGAAGGAAGCCACAACCAACGCAGCGCCAGCCGAGCAGGCCTCGAATCCAGAAACGCCTGCAAAGCCGAAGAACCTCACCCTAACCGCACACATCGGCGACATCTTTGCAGCGCCTCCAAATGCTCTCCTCATACACGCCTGCAACACTCAAGGCAGCTGGGGCGCTGGCATTGCCGCCGCGTTCAAGGAGCGGTACCCCGAGGCCTACAAAGCCTATCGCGCCCACTGCCTCTCCAGAAACGTTCGTACTGGCACAGCGCTCCTTATACCACCCTGTGAAACAAACCCCAAGGCGCCCCAACACTGGATTGGCTGCCTGTTCACCAGTGCCCGGTTTGGACGCGCGAAAGATAGCCCGGCACAGATCCTTGCGAACACAGGCCCGGCGTTACGAGCACTACTTGACGAGGTCAAAGGCGAGGAAAAGGATGGGAATCAGGTTGCGGAGGTGCGCATGTGCAAAATAAACTCGGCGCGGTTTGGGGTGCCGTGGCCAAGGACGGTGAGCGTGTTGGAGGGCATTGGGATTCAAGACGGGTGGAAGGGCGATGTGGAGATTTGGTCCATCGACTGAAGGGCTTCGGGAAAAGTCACATGGTGATGCAGCTATTAAACCCTACTGGATATCATGATCTTGCTGCATACTTCAGTGCGACCATTTTTCAATAATGGAGCCTTAATTGGAGCAAAGCATAATGCACCTTCTAGACTTGATCGGAATATTCGTGACAACGCTTTGAATTTATGTCTGAGGAGCCAAGTACTCGCTGATTGCCTTAACGGCGGCCCCAAACTTCCCACCTTCTAGCAAGATCATGTGGCCTTGAGGCCTCACCCCCAGCTCCTGGAATGCGCGCTTTGCGTCCGCTGCCCCTTCGTCACCTTGCTTCGTGTAGTCAAAGTTCGCTTTGCCCATTGCATGCTTGTGTAAGACTTCGTCTTCGGGGTGGAAGTAGAACGTCTCAAGCTGAGGGTCCTTCTTCTTTTTCTTCTGAGGCCGGCTATGCTCCTGGTCCAGCTTAGACTCCACCTCCGTGTACGTTTTCGAGAGGACAAGATAGTGTGAGAATTCGTAAGGCTCCTTCTCTTCAAGAGCCCAGGATATCTCTTCTAGCAACATATTGTACATTGGCGGGACGATCTCGGCTGGCATGTTTATGAACCGCTCCGTGAGGATCAACCCCACTTGCGCACTAGACGTTGGTGCGAGGAGCTCCGGCAGTTGCGGGATAGAGGCGCATTTAGTGAGAAGGTATTCTGTGAGATCCTTGATGACTTGCTTGTCCTGTAGCACCTGTTAGATCATGCCCAACCCGCTATATCCTATGCGCCTCACCCGATGTGTATGCAGGTTCAGAACGGTCAAAAAGGCGTATGGGTCCGATTCGTTTCCATCTGTTTTCACGGTCGATCCAAGCAGTGGTTGTGATAGTATGAGGTCCGCAAGCGCGGAAAGGTCAAACAATTGCGCGTCGACATCGAATAGCTGTCGAAGGAGGGTCTTGAGGCCGTGGAAGTCAACGTCTGGTTGCGGGTCGAACCACTCGAAGTCTACATCGAGCATGTCCATATCCTAGATTTGACGTCAATCACCAGAATAAGGTCGCACTGAGATAAATGTACTGTACATCGTCGCTCTCGTCCTCCACGTCCTTGCCCCGGCCGTTTCCAGCTGGAGCATCCTCGAGTATCTCGTGATCTTTCGGCTGCTTTCGTTTCGCCATTGTGTAGTGCGGTGTTGATCTGTTTAAGCCTCCGCGACAGAATCGAGATCTATATCAAAAATATATCGAGCCACGCTAGGCGGGAAGAAAGTGGCACACTCAAAAAGTCATCTTATGTCCACACCTGTCTTGCCACTGCTTGGAGTGCTTCAACGACTTTTAAAATCGCCCAAGGTGAAGACCTTCCGTCCCGCCCAGGTTTTTGAGAAAGGATTGAAGCAACACCAGCAGTAGTATACAGGTGTACGCACTCACCGCGTGGTTTATTTAAACTAAGAGTGCCACTTTTTCTATGCCCCGCGTGCGCGCATCGACCCCTGTCTCAGCCCTATCAGATGCCCCACCTTGCGATTTCGCTCCACGAGAAAAAAAGATTCGCGGAGTCACTATACATCCTCGCGAGCACCACTCCTTTTAACTCGTCACTTTCCTCTCTTCTTCCGTTCCCAGCATTCGTCGCCATGGCCGCCTCTGAAGAACTACCCATTGAGCCTCACAAGACCTTCGACACCATCTTGGTGCTCGACTTCGGCTCTCAATATTCCCATCTCATCACGCGCCGACTTCGCGAGCTCAATGTCTACTCTGAGATGCTCCCGTGCACTCAGAAGCTCTCCGAACTCTCCTGGAAGCCAAAGGGAATAATCTTGTCTGGAGGACCTTACTCGGTCTACTGGGATGATGCCCCGCATGTCGATCCAGAGGCCTTCGAACTCGGTGTGCCCATCTTAGGGATATGCTATGGATTGCAGGAGATCGCGTGGCACTTTGCGAAGAACGTGCTAGCCGGAGAGAAGAGAGAATATGGCCATGCGTATCTGAAGGTCGAGCGGCACGCGGGCAAGGCATCCCACATCGACGCGCTGTTCGCGGGGCTTGAAGACGATATGGAAGTATGGATGTCACATGGGGACAAGCTGTCGAACCTCCCATCCGATTTCACCACGATCGCTACCACTACGAACGCGCCCTTCGCCGGCATGGCACACGAGACGAAGCCTCTATACGGCATCCAATTCCACCCCGAAGTCACCCACACCCCTAAAGGCGTGCACCTCCTCCAGAATTTCGCCGTCGACATCTGCAAGGCGCAAACAGACTGGACAATGGGCAAGTTTGTGGATCAGGAGATTGCAAGAATCCGAGCTTTGGTGGGGGAGAAGGGTCAGGTCATTGGAGCGGTCAGTGGAGGTGTCGACTCTACCGTAGCTGCCGCGTTGATGAAGCAGGCTATTGGCGACCGCTTCCATGCCGTCCTGGTGGATAACGGGGTCCTGCGTATGAACGAGGCCGAACAAGTCGAGGAGACCTTGACAAAGCATCTGGGAATCAAACTTACCGTCGTAGACGCAAGCGAGCGATTCCTAGGTCTATTGAAAGGAGTCAAGGATGACCCGGAGAAGAAGCGCAAGATCATCGGCAACACTTTTATCCATGTATTCCAAGAGGAAGCGAAGAAGATTCAAGCTGCAGCGGCCGGATCACCACAAGCAGGCGAGATCGAATGGCTTCTGCAAGGCACTCTATACCCGGATGTGATCGAGAGCATTTCGTTCAAGGGACCCAGCGCTACTATCAAAACGCATCATAATGTGGGCGGTCTTCTTGAAGGCATGCACCTCAAGGTCATCGAGCCTCTCCGTGAGCTGTTTAAGGATGAAGTCCGAGAACTAGGAACAAAACTAGGCCTCGCAGAGGAGCTAGTCTGGCGTCATCCATTCCCTGGCCCTGGCATCGCCATTCGCATTCTAGGCGAAGTCACTGCTGAACAGGTTCGCATTGCCCGACATGCGGATTATATATTCATCGAGGAGATTAGGGCTGCTGGGCTGTACCGAAAGATCAGTCAGGCCTTCGCCGCTCTACTCCCAGTCAAAGCTGTGGGTGTTATGGGCGACAAGAGAGTGCACAGTCAAGTCATTGCGCTCAGAGCAGTGGAGACAAGCGACTTCATGACGGCAGACTGGTACCCGTTCGATGGAGCATTCCTCAAGAAGGTGAGCAGGAGGATCGTAAACGAGGTCGACGGAGTCTGTCGTGTGGTCTACGACAGTAAGTTCATCCTCCACTTGGTGCTGGTTCTCATTCTAATAATCATTTAGTTACGAGTAAGCCTCCTGGTACCATTGAGATGGAATAGAAGGGCAGCTTGTGGACTGGCGGAATTTTGGATGAATGGACCTCCTTTTCAGGCGTTTAGTGGAAATAGAGAGGATAGACTCGTGCTGCTACATACCGATACCCTTGAACATGTTCGTAATTGTAAAATACTTGCCGTAACTAAATGCTGCTGGACGACATGATGTGCACGGTGGTAGCGTCAAAAACTATACAATCTAAGGCCTCGAAACCTTTGCAATCGTGCGTACTGACCCTGTTGAATGTGATGCAGTTTGGCAGTATATGAAGACGCTTTTAACCAAATATTTCATATCATTGTTTCAATGGGGGTGGTGCTTGGGCCTGAGGCAAACATATGCATCCCTAGGTCATCACGACGTCATCATACCAATAATGCCCGACGTACTCAGTTTTCCACATCGAAAGGTACAAGACTCTTAACAAGATCAATCTCCGTGGCAAGCTACCTCTACCTCAAAGATCCATTCAAACCTTAAGTTCCGAAATCCACCCCACATATCAATTCATTATGAGCGGAAACTCCAGTGTCGGCACCTCAGGTGTCTACGAGGCAGGCGATCAAGTAGGAATCCTCGAAATAGCTCAATTCAGCCAGGATCTGACGACGTTCTACTATAGCGCAACTACAAAGATGAGGAACTGAACGAGGCCGAGAGGTTCAAGGAGGGCAAGGAGAACAGCCATCTTGCCAACGACTCCAGTGCGTCAGACTTCATATTCAGATACAGCCCTCGCTCATAGCTGATCAACCATCCCAGAGGACGAGCGTTCAATTGCAAACAAGCTAGCACGTGAAGAGAAGGTACTCAATCAAACACATACCCGAATCAGTTGCCAAAAATCTGACCTCCTCTCCAGCGCCAGGGCGAAGATGATCCTCCAAAGAGCCTTCAGGCGGAGCAAATCGAGCAAGATGCAACACTACCGGTACGTAGTCATGTAAACATGCCTTCATGTACTATTCCAAAGACTAATCCGACTTTAGGCCCGATCACACGGCAACGAGCCAAGCAAAGGGGCAAAGATCGACCAACAGATACGAGAAGAAGAAGAGGGGGAGCTCCGGAAGAAGGGCATCAAATAGATGATGACACTTAGCGAAAGCTTTCGCAGTCTGATAGGTAGATTTTCGTTGCCTCAGTGGCTCCGAATCAAAATAGTACGGAAATTCAAGATTCATTTCTGACTGAATACAAAATCGTTTCTTACAGAATGAACACTTTCTGCTTACGAAGACCTACCGTTGGATCTGACATGTCAAAGTACTATTACAGATCCTCCTTTCTATTCGTATTACTTACTTTTCATCCTCGTTATTCTCGATATTCTCCTCGACATCGACCTCGATATCAACTTCGTTGATGAACTCGTTAATGGCCTCGTTAACGACCTCGATCTCGACCACTTCCGGGGGGCGGTGGTGGATTCTGATAGAAAGGATCAAGCTCACCATCAATCGCAATATCTCCGTCTAGTAGGCGAAAACGGTCTTCATCTGACTCAGGTCGGAGGACGCGTTCACCCCGTTCATCGACGACTTCACGATACCACCCACGCTGCGCAGGGACCCAAAAGTACGGCTCCCCAGGCGCATGAAGATGCTCAACATTGTCAATGAGATCAGACATCGGTGACCTGTCGTAGTACGCCTGGCCAAATCCATCTATAACGATCTGACGGAACTGCTGCATATCAGCAAACGTAGCCATCGCTGCTTCCTCGACCACAGCGGGGTCTGGATGGCGTCGCATGCGGGCAATGGGGAAGAGCTCGATTCTGCAAAAGGGACACCTCCTGGCGATGAATCCAAAGTCATTAAACACCGTGCTCAAGCATGGTCCACAGGCGATGTGGCCGCACCTTCTGAGCTGCATGCCAGGGTCGTCCGCGGTGTAATCGTCAAAGCAGATATTACACCGTCTGGTCTGGTCCATCTCATCTGGGTCTGGGGTGCCTGTGAAAGGATCTGCGATCCTCTCAAGCCTGATTAGTGGGCCTACATTTGCCATGCAGCGACGTTCGAAGTTAGAGTATCTCGGGACCCCTAAGATCCTGCTGCGCCCAATTCCCTCTCCAATAATGTATCGATGGTCGAAGTCTCTCAGAGCTTCACCGATAGCTCGCTCAAAGCTCAGGACATTGAGGTTGGCGCGCAAGTCTTGTTGGCGACGCGCGCGGTTCTCAGGAGTATCGAAGCGGACGGAGGTGCGCGCGAGGTTATACAAGTTGTCGAGGTACCACACTCGTCTCCGTATTTCCTCCACACCGTCAGCCGCCGCCGCCTCGACATAATCGTCCATTTCGGTTCAGACCCTGTTGGGGGCGGCTTGGTAAGTGCGGAGATCAGCGCTCCACCTGTTGCGAGTAGTCCTCCTCATCATGGCGTGGAGATCAGCGATGGTAAAGTCCTGGGTGTTGACCACCGAATCTGGGCGAAGAGGTGTCTGAACAATGCTGGGAAATTCGTTCCTGAAGGTGGTCCCGTGTTCTGACCACGTGCACGCTGTGCCCGCCTCGCAGTGCTGTATGGGTTATTAGTATGCCGTGTGCTGTGCCGTGAAGGAGGGGTGTCGGCGCCGCCATTCCTATTTCGTCGAGGTGGCATTTTTGCGTTTACCTAGTAGAGAGCCACGTAGATCTGGTATATCGACCTTACAAGTAGAAGGGGAATCAAAGTATATAGGCAAATACAACAAATGTGATATTCAAAGGAAGGGTTTGCCGTCATACATATACAAATGGAGGCAGAGCACCATCTTATATTTGCCATCTCATTCCATCTTGAAAGCGGAGGATATCACCAACAAGAGGAAGCGTACAATAAATTAATTTTTTTGGAAAGATCAAACAAAAGATGAAAGAAACTAACAAAGGGATCGGATTACAATAGAACTAGCTCACCTCGGCCAATGCTATCGATTTTGCCAGAACAATAGATATTACACAAGGAATTGTACTTACTGTTCGTAGCGGCATTTGAGAGCAGAGGTGAGCTATTAGCAGACACTATCCATTCTATAAAGAGCAACAATTAGAAGACGGAGAGGCTTACTAAGGGAATGGGTTTGGACAGTAATTTCGCAGATGAAACGATTATTATACTTCTAATTTTGTTTTAAGGAATTGAGATATGTAAAAATTTAGAGCAACGCTTCGATCCTAGACTTCATTACTTACCAGAGTAGGGATTATTTTTGCCGTGTACATTATGTTGCTACTGGACCTGGCGGCGGCGGCGGAGGAGGAGGTGGTGGTCCGCCTGACCTTGTGGTGGCGTCGGTCCTGTGACTACCCACCGGTGGAAGTGGACGCGGTCCTCGTAGGAACTGAACATATGCTGCGAGTTGAAATAGATCCGTGTCCCGGTAATACCGTTCCCCCGCTATGTCGATGATGAGCTGCGCGATCTCATCTAGTTGCCTCAAAGCAATTTGTGCCCGATCCCAAACTATGCTTCCATTAACAGCGAGCCTTCGCGGACTGAATATTTGAATGTTGCATAGTGGGCATCGATGGGCAGTATCTGATCCGTTGATCCAGTCTCGGAGACAGTGTTCCCCTATTAGGTGGACGCAGGTTGCGAACTGTACACTAGGATGATCGTCAGTGAAGGGGTCTCCGCAGATAATGCAGTCATCGCCGATACCGTCCTCTCTTACAAGCCCTGCGAGGTCTTCAAAAGCAGGAATGTTACGGGTAGTACGCTCCCACGCAGACAATTCCTCGTTCCTGCTGAGCCTACTTCCTGCAATGGTCCAGAATTCGCGGCTGAGCCCTTGGAGCACGTATCCCTCTCCCCATTCGGTCACGTCAGCGTTGTTGAAAACGTACTCGTCGTAATAAGCGTTACGATCGCCCGGGCTGAGTGGCTGGTTGATCCCGGGGTTATTGGCTATAGGCTGGTCTTCATCCTCGCTCTCCGAACTAGAACTATAAACAGTCTCTTCTCCAGAGTACTCGGACTCCGTGTCAGACCCTGGCAAGGAGGCTGGATAGTCTATATCCGTCCCAGTAGGAACGTAGCCCGCACCTGGAGAGCCGGGCAGGGAGTATTGATAATCCACATCGGCATCATTATCAATGAGTCCAACGAATTCTGTGAATAGAAGTCTGAAAGGCGACAGTTGTTGTCGTGCATGATTAGGCGGAATTAGCATAAGCCGAACTCGCAATGCATCAGGACGGGGATCGTGGGCAATCTCAACACGCGCAATACGAGCGTATATGCCAAGCATGTAGGTAATCGTCTCGAGGTGCAGCTGCTCGTCACCAGACGCTAGACTCTCGTCGTAAAGCCTGTGAAGTGCTGTGAATAGATTATCGTGGACCACGCTAAGGCGGACGAGGTCTTGAGGCCAACTATTGCGATCAGTGTTGTTGAGCATATGTTCGATTTGAGCAATGTTGTAGCCATGAGCCATCATCACGTAAAGGGGGGTCTGATACGCATCGATGAGGGCTTGGAAGAACTCTTCCCGCGTGGGGGGAACCTGGGCCTGGTTAGGATTCATGATTGCAGAGCTGTACCTATTGCTAGTTTGGCGGGCGGACCTACGTGGCGGGCCCTCATTCTGGAATCGTCGCCGGCGGGGAGGCATGTTGGCGGATTTAGTGTATTCTCCGTAGATTTCGTATATAGCCCTGGAGCAATGATGAAGACAAAGTATATGGCTATTCCAACACGTATCTATACCCACAATTTGCTGTCTTATCAGTGAGCAAAAAGGTAGGAAACGGCGCAGTATTACACTTGATCAGATCATAAAAGGCCAATGAACTTTGCATCTCGAGGACAAGAACGACAAAGGCACCAAAGAATTCTACAATAGAACAATAGATGAAAGAAAACATACCGAACAAAGAATCGCTTGAACAATAGAGTTTAGTCGTAAGATCACCAAATTCATTGACCCTTGTAAGACCGTTACTGTCGTGGTCAGGACAAAATTCTGTCATTGCCTTTCGTGACAAGATCTGAGAGCGTTCAACAGTTTCGGCCGGGTTTGCCCCCCATTATGTCCTTCCCTGAAAGACTAAAATATGAGGAAGGCTCTTGAACCAAGCAATAAAATCATTGCCTGAGCATACGACGGTATGAAACGACTGCGCTCAAGTGACTTGACGGAAGGCCGTGATGTCGACAACTCTAACTCATGTAATTGAGAGAAACTCTTTATTGTGCCAATGGCAATGTATCTATCAAGCGGGCTTTTTGTACATCGCATTTCCTGTGCCAGCCTAAGCAACGTCATCAGTCTATCGCTATCTATGTCGGTTTTTTATGCACAACGGTTGCCGCCGCCTTTCCGCGTATTAGTCGATATACTAAGTTGAGGAAACAAGCTACTTACCTGATGACTAGGGAAGATCAGAGTATCAGCAATGACCACGTTCTCTCTCCTCCCAACTGCGAATACAACGACCTCCGCAATATCTTCCGGTGTAAGTGGTTCGCATCCAGCGTAGACTGCATCTGCCTTGGCCTTGTCTCCATAGAATCTAACCACACTGAACTCAGTCTCAACTTGCCCAGGGTCAATTTCAATAATCCTTATCCGAGTAGCGATGAGCTCTCGCCTCAGCGCGTCTGTGAAGCTTCGCACAGCGGCTTTAGTTGCGCAGTAGATGCTCCCACCCTGATACGGCTCACGGCCAGCAATGCTTCCAATGTTGACAATATCCCCCCTCCCCCCGTCTGCACGTGCTTTGAAGATAGTAAGGATTGCTTGTGTCATGTTTATGAGGCCGGTGACGTTGGTTGCGAACATGACATTGATGTCTTCTTCGACGATAGCTGGTGCTTGAGCTACGCCCTTGACGAGACCGCTGAAACGCAATACCTATTAGCATCTGTTTTCTTGGAATAAGTACAGATCTTCGTAAATCTTGGTCTTACGCGTTGTTCACCAGGACGTCAATGTCCTTAAACTCCTCTGGCAATCCTCCAACAAAGTTGCGCACCTCTTCAGGGTTGCTGATGTCTAGCTTCACTGGTAGAACTTTGACGCCATCTCCCACCTCTTTTGTGATCTCTGTGGCAATCTCTTTCAGCGTGTCGATCCTCCTTGCTGTAAGGATCAGCTTAAGGTTCTTGGGCGCAGTCCGGGCGAATTCCAGGGCGGTGCTCCGTCCAATACCCGACGAAGCACCTGTGACGACGACGGTTTTGCCCTCGAGGCGCTTAGCCATTGCGGAAGCCATTGTGCGTCTAAAGGCTACTTGATTGAAGGCGGAGATTGGAATGCGGGGCGAAAGAGCTCTGGCCGCACGCGCGAGCTGGTAGGAGTTGAGGGCAAGATTTTTAGTTTGGAGAAAGAGATTCATAAGCCGGAGGAACGAGGAAGAGGGTCTTTATGCCGTGAATTACTGCGCTAAAGATATCAAAGCTGTAACTGAGTGGAGGTAGTGGAGATGGCTTACACGATGCCCGCCTTTGCTCCGATCTTCTACCGAGTCATGGGCCGATTCTCGGCTTCCACTTTTGAGTAAGTCGAAGCTTAGCATCGACCTCACGTCTTTACGTCCCGTCTTTGCGACATCAACAATACCCTTCTAATCGTTGTCTACAACATCATCGCCATAGATGTTCAGTTAGAGACAGACTGATCATGGATCTTCCAAAGCTCATTATGCGCCTTCCCGATGCACTAGGTTCATCAACGAATTTTGTATGATGATATCAGGAGAAATTCCGAGCTACTATCCATACCCACTTTCTGGTTTCGGAATATTCCCGTCTTATTTCTAGAGGCATCAATAAGTCGTTATACACCGAGCCTCCCTCCCTTCGTATTCCTTCCGATGTCCTGGCACGTAGTTGTATGGATGGTTAGACCAAGCCATTGACGCGCTCTGAGGTATGTAAGACCCCTGGCAGCCAATTCATATAGCAGGCTTCACAGCTCTTGGGAAAGGTATGGTGTTCAATGCGGATTCTCATGTATGGGGCGCACTAATCGGTTCATGGTTGCTTGATGTAAGAACAGTGGCAAGTAGGAGCCAAGGGACATCCCCCTACCGACAATTAGCTCGGATAACCATGCGCGTTTGACCTTGGAAGATACCGTAAAGTATAGCTCAAGATGTGCGAGACATTATCCATTCCCACCTCGAGACTACTCCTTGTATCATAAAAATAATCTCAATTGTCCCTCTTCCGATGTATTAACTTCGAGACAATAGCCTCCATTGTTTCCATTTTCATCTCCCTTCCACTTCATGTCGCCATCAAAGACTCACTTTCTTGCTCCTTCTGTGCCTTATTCATTATGTGCCTCGGAACACGAGGACACTTCGTTAGGCCGCCTGTAATTTAGATGCACGTCCTTTGCGTAGCATCGGCCATTGAGCATCAGCAAGGTGTTGGAGAGTCAGCGGCTGATCATACGCACTTGTGAACTCCAGCTGCATTGTATTGAAGGAGCGGTTGCCTCTAGCGACTGTGTTGTGTACACAGTAGATACTTACAGGATTCACCTCCTTGGCTCGCGTTCCAACGGCATCAAAAGCGGCGACGGGTTGCTAGAGGGTACCGACCCCATGCATACATTGTCTTCTACGTGTTGAAATCTGCAACATTCCAACACCAACGTCGTTTCTACGGCTCTGATACGTAATAAATTACCAAAAGGTGGACATCAAGCGAGCCCGCAGTCCTTGGAGTGGAAGAGGTCGGAATACACTTTTTCAAACAGTGAATGATGTTCAACCCAAGGACCACGTTATCGGCAGTAGACTCCCAGTTTTAGGCCCTCACGCGGTATAAAAACCACTGCCCTCAACACCTCCATCCACGCAACAACCTCCTCGCAACACCCACCACCATCACTCTCAAAATTTCTGCCCCTAGTGCAACCTGTCAACCTGCCCAACCATTCCATCACCGCTAGCAGCCTGCATTTCCACAGAAAGCTCGAAGCTCCATATGCTTCCTCATAGGATTCCCAGCTTCGAGCGCCGTGTACCGACCGGCATCGCCACTCTCTCGGATGCGGATTTCAGGTTATACCTGGGCGCCCTCGCACCCTCTCGCGACCTGCTTGCAATGCCTGCCGCAGACGTTACATCTCTCTCAAGTTCATCGACCCCAACCACATCTTTGAGCGACACTTCGACCACTCCACCATCCCTGATATCGTCGAGTTCAGATAGTTCCAACGACCTAAGCTTCGACATGGAGAGATATTCCACCGCTGATCTCTATGAGAAGGATGGGAACAACGACAATGAGAATTTGGAAACGACTTCCGCGACATCTTTTGACGTCGCGTCTCTCTTCGATGAGGTGGCCACTCCGACGGTTCGCATGCTATCCGCTCGCACATATCCATCGAAGATATACGGGAACCGGTGCTCATATGCCATAGATCCCCCGAAGGCCCCAGATGCTACCTCTAGAGGAGCATTCACCATCAATAACCTCCTATACTGGCCGACGGACATCATGACTTCTCGATCCACGATGAGGCCAGTCGTGCGTCTGCAAAGCATCGATCATACTTTCACTCGCAGTTCTGAACAGCTCGAGGTTGCGTCGAAGGAAGGTCCCCGGGACGATGAATTGGGTGCTCACATCCAACCAAGGGTGCGTCTGCCGAAGTATAGCCACACTGTTCACTAACCAACTATACAGCCGCACCCGACGTTTACACAGCGCACTGAACACAACGTAAACTCGAGGGTCCTGGAACATGCCTGCCCTCCGGAGACCACTTCGAAAGAGATGATTTCCATCTGCGACCTGATCGAACCCCCTGAAGCTGCTCCTGCACGAGACTCCCAAGATGATACCAGTAGTTCAGCTGAGTGTCCAGACCTAAGCATGGAATCTCCAACACCGTCTAGCCCATTTGCGGGTCAAGTTTTGGATTCGCTGGATGTCATTTATTCACCGGAACAGCTGCCTGATCAATTCCACGCCAAGGCCGTTTTGGAGGATGTCTCGACTGTTATCAAGGTCGTGCAGATTACTTTTGAGAGTGATCAGGACATCTCCAAGGCCTCTGACGAGCACGCTTCCGACACGACATCGGAAGACCAGGTCGGTACCGATCAGGACACATCCGTGACCTCTGACAAGGACACCGTCGAGACTTCATCAACCCGCGATACCAAAGCCAACCTCATCGCGACACGTGATGCCGAAAAGTCTTTGGCAGAATTTCAGGAATTCCTCTACAAGCGCCGTGAGCGGACAATGATTCGCCATGCCATGCTTGAACGGCCTAAGACTGGTTTCACGTACCCGGACACGGCCCAAGGCCTGGAGGACGCCTCGTTCTACTTGTGGGCTGCCAGAGGGCGGACCGTGAAGTTCTGTTATACCAAATGCTGTTATGTCGAATTTCCCGAAATTGATCCAGCCGTGGGGGCGCACAAAGCGTGGCTCACTCCCCATACGACTATCGCTCGGCCTTCATTTGAGTCAGAACTACCTGCGTACATTTTAAAGGCAGCTCATCGGCCAGTGCAAGTCGTGCCAGATGAAGATGATGAAGAGGGATCCGTGGATGAAGAGATTGGTGGATACACTGAGCTTGAGCAGGAAGAGGAAGAAGAAGAGTGGGACGAGGAGGAGTGGGACGAGGAGGAGTGGGACGGGGATGAGTGGAACGAGGAAGAGGATGAGGTGGCGGATGAGGAAAAAGTGGGTCAGACCGAGACCGTTGACGCCAAAAAGGAAAAAAAGTCACCGATTGTACGGTTTTGGGGTCGCGTAAATGCGAATACCCGAAGTAATCGTCGGGTGAAGGAGTGGTCGCATTCGGACTACCACTTGAGCCGGGTCGCTCAGAACAACTTTTCTGCCCGGTATAACTCACTGTTGCGAAATGTCTTGCTGTCACCAGTGGTCGCCATGCCGCCAGCTGAAGGAGCTACCTCTCAGGCACGACTTGCCTCGATTAACTTCTCATGTTCGAGCGAGTTTGACGAGGATGATGATGATGATGAAGAAGAAGAAGAAGAAGAAGAAGAAGAAGAAGAAGAAGAAGAAGAAGAAGAAGAAGAAGAAGAAGAAGAAGAAGAAGAAGAAGACAAAGTCAAAGAGTTGGTATCTGCTGAGAAGCCAACCCTCGTTACGATGCCAGCTGCCGATGATAATGTCCACAGCGAGGAGGAACTCGTATCTATCATTCAGGATGACGATGCCAGATTGATGGCTGGAAGGAACCGACAGCGTGTGACGACCCTTATTCGACACGCTAGGGCAGAGCCTCAAAGACTCTCTCCGCTATATCCAGGGACTCATCAGGAACTGTTCGACGCTTCCATCAACCTCTGGGAAGCCAGGGAAAATGCAGGGAATGTCAGATTCGACTTCCAGACAGGTTTATATGTCCAACTGCCTTCAATCGACCCGACTCTGGGCGAGTACAAGTCCCGGATGAAGCCTCCTGCCAAACCAGCAAGCCCTTCCTTTGAGGATGAGCTAGCCCCACGGATGCTGACTGCGGCGCGTAAATTGAAGGCAAAGGTCGAGAAGGTCTCTGTCGAGGAACGGATGATTGATACGCAGAAGATCGTTTGTCAAAATCCTGGCCAAGGGTTTTACGCCCAAGTCAAGCATTTTTGGCAGTCTCAGGAGGCTGGCAACCGGTCCAGCTGTCGGGTGGCCGAGTGGAAACACTCGGCTTACTACGAGACACGAGTGTCAAGCAAGGCGTATGGATCACGATTTGGCTCCAGGTTACGACTAAGTTTGGACCCGGGCAACGAAGAAGTTACACAAGTCGCCAACACGAGCATTCTCCATCTCAAAGAGCTCTCTCCTGGTCAGCTGTGGTCAGAGATCGACGACGACGAAGAGTGGGTATTCGATGCTCCTTCTGCCCTAACTGCGGCTGAGAAGACAGTCGAGGATGAGCCCGAAGAGCAGAGCTATCTTACGTCGAATGTTTTGTCCGAAGCTGAATATCAGCCACTGTCGCTGAAGAAAGTGGAGGCCTTCAAAATCCTCGGTGTCTCCCCAGATGCTACTCTTCAACACACTCGGAAAGCGTATCTGAAGCGCGCCATGAGTTTGCATCCGGACAAGAACATGGATAAAATAGGACTTTTCACGGCGCGATTTGTGCAGCTTAGAGAAGCACTCGAGATCCTGACAGAGAGTGCATCCCATTTGGCTGTTCCAAAACTGCTCGAGGGAGCCCCTGCCATACCATCGAAGACTCCGAACGTTGACAGTATGGCGCCTAAGTTGGACGGTCTTGCACTAAGACTCATTCAACTGGTCGGAAAGGAGCTTCATCTCACTACATTGAATATCGTATCTATGAACGGAACTCGATCTTCGTCCAGTTTGTCAAGCGGCTGCAGAGGCCGGGGACACTTCACTCCGATATGTGGCTCTTCAAAGACATCTGCGCAAGTGATGCGATATCGACAGCGCAGCCTGACGGCTTCCCCGGGTTACTGGATTCGCGCTGTCAGACCCACCGCCCTCGGCTTGAGGGCCTCGACTGGTATCACGGAAGGTGCCGAGTCGTTCACGAAAGGGCACCCACAAAGCCTAGGTCTCTACAATGTGTCCCTAACTCATATTCAGTCCAACCTTCAGCATCCACCCCAGTTGGACACTTGTAGGCCCCGTTTCCAACCGACGCGTGCGTCAATTGAAGTCTGGATCGACCACGCGGTGGAAGAGGCTAGTCCACACTCTAAGTCACCGCTCAAGGAGGCTACGGGGTCTTCTGAGAACGGATGTGATAGGTCCTCGGTAACAACAACGCTCTACAGGGCCTACCGCGACAACCCCGTTGGAACGATTATTGTTGGTATTGCTGGCTACTTGGTTGGGTCATTCTTGTGGAAGTTCTAGAGCATGAGGCCGAGTCAGAAGGTAGAAGAAGGCAAACTGTCAAAAATTCGACGACATGGTGAGTAGTGTTCTTTAGGGCGAGTGCAACACTCAAGACGGGGCGTTCTAGATTGGGTCATACAGGAACTTTCTCTTCTTCTCACTAATGGCGTTGTAACATCTCTTTGTTCTTGATTTATGCATAGCGAAGGGCATCTTGGGTGGGTAAACGGGCATCAAGGCGGCGCATTATACCCATTAGCTGTCTACTAGATATGTAGACTAAAACAATGAGAAATTTGTAAAACTTACTTATCCCACCATGACTTGTGTGTTCGTGACAATCGCTTGCTACTGTCTGAGGTGCCCTGGCGGATCATTCGAAATCTAGACGAGATGTACAACTCTAGACAGCAATGAATCAGAGCGGTTCCAAAAGCCTCCAATCGACCTATCTTGCCGCCGGTCGGGGTGGCTCACATATCAGCAGCAACCCAGCAGACACTACGATTCTAATAACCAAAAACAACACACCAACCAAATCTTATTCATATATATCCAAACTCCCGGGTATACCACCCCCCACCCCCACCCCCTCCCCTAAAACGGCATCCTCCCCATCTCCTCCCGCGACCAGTACCGCCTCATATTCTCCGCCCCCAACTCCCGCACCTCCTCCTCCAAATGCGCCCACAGCACCACCCCAAACCCATCCAGCACGCCCCTCACCTCGCCCAGCCTCAGCTCCCGCTCGCCGCGCCGACACCCCTCCAAATACGCCTTCAGCCGCTCCAGCCCCGCGTGGATCTCGGCGTGCTGGCCCAGCAGCTCCGTCGAGTCGCGGAACCGCGGCATCTTGCGCGCCAGCACGGGGAAGATGTGCGCCTCCTCGATCCCGTGGTGCATCTCCAGCACGGCGCAGAAGTCCAGGCCCGTGGCGATGAATTGCCGCATCGACATGCCCGCCGGCCGCGCGTTGGCTACGCACGCGCCGTGCAGCGTGTTCCAGGTCGCGCGGAAGTGGTTGTGGTAGTAGTCCATTTTCACCGCCATGCGGTTGTAGACGCCGAAGTCGGCGGCGGAGAGGGCCGGCTGCGGGGCTGCCGCTGGGGTGTCGTGTGCGGGCTGCGCAGCGGCGGAGGAGGAGGAGGAGGACATGGTGGTGGTGGTCGGGGGTTTGCCGTTGTGAGTGTAGATTGTGGTTGAGGGCGTAGCTTGGTGATAAGGGCTTGAGGCGCTGGTGGGGCGATTGAGGCGCTGCAGGAGGGTCGTGAAGACGCGGGGGGCCTTCATATGGAGGGATTGAGGTGCATGTTCACGACGAGGGGCGCCGGGTCGGGCTTGCGATCCAGCGTGGCTTCAATGGCTTTCAAATTGGAGGGTTTGCGATGACAAAAAAAATATGGTGGTTGGAGTGGCGTCGGCGGAGAGCTTTCCCGAGCCGAGAATGCTGACTCAAATGCCGACGCATCGGGCTGGATTCAAAGGGCGAGGGAGTGTACGAATTGTAAGATTTCTTATGGAGAGATGAGGGTGTTGGAGCTGAGAGGTGGGGTTTCGGATCAGAATGCGTCCGTATCTTATAACGAACATCCGACAAAATGGGAGGATTTGGTAATCATAAGTGCCTGATGACTAGAGACGGTCATCACTTTACCCAACCACAGTGTATCAATGTGCACTCGTATTGAGCCCCTTTGTCAGGGAGGAGGAGCGAAGGTTTCGAGGTTACAGAATCTACCAATCCTTACGCACACATCCATCCAACGAGTTCTCTGCTGTACAGTCTCCTCTTCTTCTCTATATCCATCCCAGAGTGGTCGATACAAACCGGCAAGTGCTATACATCAAATAGCATAGAGCTCGCGTACCGAGTACAACCAGAAAAAGCACAAACTCCCAAGGATATACCATGCTAAAAGAACCACCCTTTTGGTCCAAAGAGCAACAGCATGCGCGCCAGCCCGCCAAACGGGAAAACCCAGACCCAGAAATCCGCCGTAGAAGATGCGTTTGCGTATGCATGTGCGTATGGTCTGCGTCACCGTCCTGTCTCGTCCGCTACCAGCCTGGAAGCTCCTAGGAAAACGTGTGCCAACCCTAGCTCTTTAAGAGAAGAAAGAACGCTCGAAAATGCAACGAGGTCAGAGAAACGAAAAACCCTACGCCTGACAAGGATATGCCAGAGACTTGAAGAAGAAAGCCAGAGCGATTGGCAAGCAACGTCTGGGGGTGCGATACTGATCGAAACCAAACTTCAAGCGCCTGAACACCATAACACGCCTTTTGAACACCAAGAATATACAGACACCCAGAAATTTGGGCCAGAAACTTCAAGTATGGTCGTGTGAGTTGTACAGTCGCGTTTCGTCTAACCTTTGCCAACACAGCGAAAGACACCCTTCTGTCGTGATTCGAGCGGGAAACCATGTTTGGCCGATCCATGAGTGTTACCAATATCAGTAACAGCGCGACTGCTTGACTTGCAAGTCCGTTCTAACTGATCCAAGCCTTTCGGTTTGGCCCCAGAAATAACGGCGATGCACCTGGAAGAGGAGATATCTAGATTGCTCATAAGAGTTTCAGTGTATATCGCTGGAAGCATCGTTGGGATTGCTGGTCGGTGGAGTAGTGAGTGTCAAGGAGCTATCGGGAGCGCTACCGTACTGCCTGCCTTTGTCACTTGGAACCCTCGTTTTCCGTCTAAATATTCGACTCCATTTAGGAACTTTGTCTCGATCTTGGATGGGACTTGTCGACGATGCTGAGTAGCCTGAATTTGTGTTCGATGTGGATGTTGCGAGGTACATCTCCTTATTCGGGCTCAGGGGTTCTTCGTTGGAGAGCTTCAGGTCCCGAGTACGTCGCCGGGTGCTCATTTGTCTCCACCAACTCAAGTCGCGCTCGCCGTCGGGCCGGGACGTCGAGCTGTCGTCGGTGAGCTTGCTTGAATCCCAGTCATGCACCCGAGAGCCATCTAGATTCCCGTTGTGCCCGTGAGTCAAGTCGAGTTCCGAGTGTCGCTGGGATGGCGACTTGCTGATTGGGAAGACATTCGTTGCTGAATCAAAGTCAGGGCCTATGGCTAGAGGTCTCGATGAGGTATAGGGCGGGTATGAGCTCAGGTTCTTTTTCTTACCCTGGCTGCGGCGCGACGACGATGGTGCTGTCACTGGTCGCGCGCTATCCTTCTCACCATCGTTGCTCGACTTCTTTGTTGGCTTTTGAGGCAATTTCTTCGCTTTGGTATTGTTGCGCTTAGAGGGGGACGCAGGGAGAGCAGGGGACCCAGATGGAGCATCTTTTGGCCTCTCAATTCCCGGTGGTGTTGGCGTTTGGGTGACGAGTATCGCGGTAACACTCGCATCGCCACTTCCACGCCTAGAATGGCTTTGGTTTTCCACAGAGTTGAGATGGAGCGGGCTTGGAAGTCCGGCCACCGAAGAACGTCGAGAGCCTCTTTCTGGCCCAGACGCAGGAGTTGCATATTGTGTGTGTGAGCCGCTCGACGAGCTTCTATTGGAACCATCAGACAGAGGACTCCTCTGTGTGGCGTCTGTTCTTGGTGCTGGAACATTTGAGGCCAGCTTGGTCGTTGGTGCAGGTAACGATTCCGAGTGTAGATAGGACTTCACTGGTCCTCCAGAAAATGGGCTCGGTGTCGGATCCGTGTCATATCCAGGCGCCAGAAGTCCCAAATTTATAGTGGGCATTTTTTTCAAGCTCTCCTTCTCTTGCTCAATCTTGACCTCCCATATGGCTTTGTTGGTGAGAATTTCATCAACACTGAATTGCATTGCTGGTAGGATGTCAGCAACAGCTTCGAATAGCGGCCGAGCGAATATGTTCATGAAGCCAATCTGAGACTCGGCCATTTTGGTAAGGTTATTCAGGACGGGTGGTCCACCAAAAAGGCAGGATGGCATGTCGAGTTCCTGCTCCATTGTGCCTTGGTTGCTGAACTCATCCGTGAGGACACTTGCCCAGCGAGCCGCAACGTCGAATTTGCGTGCCTTGCATACTATTAGTCATTTGCACCACCAACTCTGAAGAGGGAGCACTCACAACATTGCTGATATCCGCACACTTGATAAGCAGTCCACAGGTCAGGTCCTTGTACTCCTCCTGCACTTTAGGGCTCCACCCATCCATGCCTCCAGCGTTATGAGCCAGCTTCTCTTGTACATGTCCGAGTTCGGTCATGTACTTGAAATGGAGCCCCATGTCAGTGGCCAGGATACTGTTGATCATCAACTTTCGCATGGTGGTGTCGGAGAATGCAACAGGCCAGTATCGTCGTAATATTTGCGAGTAAGCCGCGCAATGGAAGGACTCCAGAACAGATCGATCGTTGTAGAGTTGAGCTAAGGGTGCATTGAGGGCCACCAAAAATGCATTGTTGACGCCAGGATGGCCTACATCGTGTCCTATGGCCGAAATAAGAAGGGTCAAAGCATCGAATGGCTTGAGAAGATTTGCGATTGCTGGCTTCTCGAACTTCCCGGGATGAGGACTTCCCATGGCGTATTCTGGTAGCGTGCCGATACGAACAAGAAAGTAAAATAAGGCTTGGAGGACATCCGTGACGTGCCGGAAATTGTGATACAGGACGAACTCGTTGTATGCGATGCGACTAGCCATAAGGAAAACGAGCAAGTCATCTATATATGTGATTAGCGGCTGTGGGAAATTGAGGACTTCACATATTCTCACCTTCAGACATTCTCCAACTTTCTAGATCGGGCATTTGAAGAGCATGCTGAAGCATGAGGAGTGCACCGTACAGTAACTCGTCATCCGTGAACTCATGCGCAGAGAAAGTCCATGACCCGATGGCTTCGGCTACATACGCTTTCCGTTCGGGGTCCATGTAAAAGTCCCTACGAACTGTCAGCGGTCACGCTCATGGATAACCACAAGAAACACCTACTTTGGATCAATCGAGTCTCTGGTAGCTTCAGGGTTGCAGATGCGACTCATCAAATTCGAGACCATAGCCTCACGCAAATATGCGTACGGTTTTTCGTCGTCGACACCCACCCATGATAGCTTTCGGTTCTTTCTGGAGATCAAAAATCCGGATTCTTCTTTCGACACCTCTTTGTGCACTCGATAGGCGTGCACAGCCAACCCTTGAACGTGGTCTTTTGACAATGGACTCGACAAAACGTCAACGGCTCCAGCATCTAGATATCGCACGAGTCGTACAGTATCTGTCAGAACTTGTGATCCATGCACGCTTGGTGAGGGTAGATTTGTGGAAGCCCAGTCGCGATCTAAGCCACTCAAGACAACCACTGGAATAACGAGCTTCGACACATTTCGGGACTGAATTTCGGAAGATATGTGGACAAGGAGGTGCATGCCATAAAGATCGTCGAGGTTGTTCACGTCTAGGTTTACGGTGCGGGTTGAAGTGGGAGAAGCAGTACGTGGATCTCTCGACAGCCGCCTCTGCCGTTGCTCTTCATCATAGGGAACGTCAATCAGAACAAGGGTGGGAATGTCGGCGGAGGTGTTCTGTAGGTCTGAGATCTTGGTAAGACAGCTGGCGCCGGACCCGCAAATATGTACTGCAAACGTGGTTAGCGGGGATCTGACATACATGGCGTACATGACAGATTATGTAGGTACCCGCGATACGGGATCGAGCAGCTTACCTTGGTTGAAAGTGGACATGATGGTTTCGACATTGGCACTTATTTCGGGAGGAGGCGATTTGCCCATGCTGAAGTAGCCGGGCGAGTAACTGCCTGTGCTTGTCCGAGTCGCAAGCGAATTGGAGAGGGAGTCTCTTCGCACATGTTCGTCATTTGCCCGCCTATCAATGTAGATGACATTGCATGCGCCATGTTCCATGTTTTGTGGCCTTGCAACCAGTAGCGCTGGCGCTCGGCTTTCCGTCTCCCGCGCTGAGGGGAGGATCGCGGGGTCCAAGCGAAATGCGGGAGGTTCCTAGGCCTGAGGGCGGATTTATAGGTGGAAGGATGGGTGGGATAGGTCGCGCGGCGTAGCGATAGGTGCTCGAGAGAGTGCAGGTCGCGTTGGAGAGGCGCACGGGGATTAGGCCAATGGAGGAGAAACACCAAGTGGCAGCGGTGGTTTGTTCGACCAACGGCGGGTCCAGCAATGGCGACGTAGAACAGCAAACAACGGGATCGTTCGCAGGCGCGAAGGAGCACGAGAGCGCGTGGCGGTCCGCGAGGCAGTCTGAAGCAACGACGGGCAAGACCACAGACAAGAGCCACTCAACGGCACAGCGAGCAATTGGGAAGGGCAGAGCGATGCTGCTAGCACTCTGCGGAGGCGGGCGCGGGCGACAGCAGGCGATTAAAGACAAGACGGTAGGGCGGCGGAGAGGGCGATGCGCTGCGACAAAGACGCAGGCGGCGGACGGGCGACGGGCGGTGGACGGTCCAAGCTGCTCGCAGCGCGCAGGACACAGCAGAGGCTCGCTGGTGTCGGATTCGGGAGGAGAGTAGGCGGCTGTTCAGACCTTCTGAGGTGAGGTAGCTGGCCCTTTGCGGTGCAGGGCTCGACGCAGGGGTTGGAGGGCAAAGGCGTCAGAGTCGCAACTCGCGCACGCGCAGGATTCGATGCTTCGCGAGCAGCATCGGGACGCACCCAGTCACGGCGGGAGGCAGGCTTGGGCGGGAGAGGGGGGGAGGGAGGGTTGGAGAGGGCGGAGGAGGTGGAGAGTGCAAAGGCGTGAGAGGCGATCGAGGTGCAGTGGTCTTGGGCCGGCCTCTCTGGGATGCGCACACTGCGCTCGACTAGCGCGTGCGATGGGCGAGGAAGGGAGTGGGGATTGCTTCGAGAAGGCCGGCCGAAGCGCTGGTTGGCCGCAGGGATGGTCGATATGCGCAGCGCGGCAGGGAAGCCCGAATCTCACTCTCCGCCGACGCCGGCCGCGAGCATCCAGCGCGCGGGCGGCGCGGCAGCTGAGACTCGGGATGCCGGCCGCGACCGCTGCTCCGTCCAGCACGGCGGTGGACGCGACTGCAGCAAGACGGCGCGCGACCAGCAGCCAGCAGCCAGCAGCGTGCTTCTCCCGCGCTCCACCCGCGCTTGGCGGGCCCGAGGCGCACGGCGTAGATTGCTCGCCCTGGGACGGCTTGTGGCATTGCACCAGTCCCCGCCGATCGAAGCCTCTGAAACGCAAGCCGAGGCCAATCAGCGGCGCCCCGGGACGCCCTGCTATCTCCACCGGCCACCTCCCGACTCAGTCCCAACGGCGGAAACCGTTGTGCTTCCCAGCGTGCCAGCCTCTCATCGTCACCCCTCCCGGAGCTGCATAGTCGCCGCCAGGCTCCAGAGCTTCACGATGCGCGCTGCCCGATGATCGCTGCAGCCGCATCACCGCAATCACGGGCGGACCAGCCTCACGCAAGCAGCCGCCGCGCGCCGTCGCACCTTGCCAGCGTCCAGCCGTCTTGGCGAAGGCCCTCCAGGCTGGAGTCGCCGCAGAGCGTGCAGGAACGCCTCAGAGCGCTCTCGCAGAGCTGGCACGCTGGCACGCTGGCAATTCCAATCGAACAGCCCCCAGCGACCCCTACATACAGATCCGCTCGAGGCCGCCTGCCATCTGCGTGCGACCCCGCGAGTCACGCCTGGGGAGGCTTGTCCCCAGATCCCCGCCGTCCATCGCCACTCCTCCAGGCGTCGCCCAACACGGCAGCCTTCTAGAAAGCTGCACAGGCCCGGCAGCCTCGTCAGCCCGCCGCTCGTCTCGAACATCCGCGCCCTTCTTGGCCGCGCCCGACGCCCCGCTGCCTCCTCCCTGGCCGCCTCGTCATCACGGCCTCACGGCCATGCCTCTCTAGCGATCGGCAGCAACGCGCGCCGCCATATCTCAACGTCCTCGACACCGCGTCTGCGCTGCACGGCCGATCGCCCTGCTGCTTCGTGCAACCACCAGGCGCCCGTTGCTGAAGGCCCGTCTCGCGCTGGCATTGCCGTCACGACCTTCTAACTCCGACGTCGCTGCCCGGCCTCAGGTGCGCGTCGTGATAGTCACCGAAAACGGCAGGTCGCAGCTCATCCAAGCTCCGTACAACTGCCGAACAGGCAGGTCGCATTTGGTGTCAGCGAACCCTCTGCTACAAAGCACCGCCGCCAGCTTCATTCCTGCCCGTCGGCGCGCTCCCTCTCCTGCTCCTCATTCGATGCCGCGGGTCCTTCTAATCTTAGCCTTCCGCGTCTTGAGCGCTTTCGGCATGTCGGAGGACTGTCGTAAAGAGGCAAGTAGTAGCCCTATCTTCGTCCTGCTTCTCTCGGCACTTTATATTACGAGCACCTAGGTAGTCTACTGAGATGTGGCGAGTCTCGTTCGCCAACTGGACCTACAGTAAATGCCATTGACAAGCTCGTGATGCGCTCCGGATCTTCGGGACGTTTTGCAGCCCGGGGCGCAACACACACAAAAAGCCCCAGCTGGATTTGTAAGAGTATACTGTAGCTCCGCGTGCGCGCCCTGCCCTTGCGCAATATCAACCTTGTCTCTGACAGGATTGTTCTCCTCCAAGTCACTGCCTCTGAGTTTCGCACTGATTAGCCTGCCTAGCCAATGCTGCTCCTCATCGATCCACACCATCTCAGGAGCCACTCAGAAACTGGTCCTCAGCAACTGATCAAGGTCACCTGTCAATCCTGGTACTCGCAGACTACATATGCTCGCCCTAGGCAATATCCAGTGTGCCCCGTGATCCTTCCACCAATACGTCTATAGGACGCGCGACAATGCCTGCAGAACTTCAATACTGGCCTAGTTCGGCCGAGCTGACCCCCAATATTGCAATTGCCGACAGGAATTCTGTGCCTTTTGGGACTTGGGGGACGAAGGAGCCACATATTTTCTCTGTATAGAGTCATGATGCTCCGACCATCATTAATCCGCCAGGAGACAGGCCGCTAGTAAAGCGCCACGCAGGCATTTTGATCAAACATCAACTCTAGGCAACGGGCTAGAACATAAACCTTGCTTATCTTCTTGTTCTTAATACAGTAATCTGTACTGCTTTAACGGCCCCTGCACACCTGTATACAGCAACTGGCAGACAAAATATCACACTCCTCAACTAGGAACACACGGTCACCGAAATTTGTTTTTCGTGAAGAATCCAACATTGCGCCCGTGCAGAAGCTGGGATAACATGACGCTATAGTTGATTAGTCTTCAAACGATGAATACGAACTTGGAGCGAGTCGGGCCACGCCCATGATCCCCGCCATCTGCCAGCAAAAGCCAACTCATTTAACCTTTTCAAGATTGGGTTAAATCTGACAGAGATCCTCCACGTGTCCCTTAGCTTGGGCCCCCACCACCCCGGTCCAACAGTTAAGCCGCACAGATGCGACTCCGTAGATTGGCATAAGCTTTTGTCGTCTTCTGTAGTTCTTGAACTCTTTTTGATAAAGCTTCCGCTGATCTCGTCTCTGGTATTTCGCTCCCCAAAATCCTTAAAAGGCTCCAGTTGGGGAGCAACTCGTACTGGTTAGTGTGTACTATCAATTTGTCCTCTCCACCGGAAACTGCATCAATTACCCCTTATACTCGATAAGCGCGTACCAAAAGAGATGGCAATTATTGGCAATCCTATGACGCAAGGGTCATGCAAGAGGTCGTGCGATCTCGTCACTCCAGGGTAAAAGAGCGGCACAGGCATCCCCTGGCCATAGACCTAACACTTCCTGGTATCTGCAACTATAAGTTTTACTAGGGGCTCCGGCAGGTGTATCAGGCACAGGCGAGCCTTCTGCGACTCCTTTATTGTTTTTCTTGTAGCCTCGCAACTTCCTTCGGGATCGTTATCGGCAAGTGATATCAACGAGCCTACATCTCTTCACTCAGGACAGCCCTCGACGATATGTTTGTATTGATAGCATCTCTTTTCTTAGCAATGCGCCTCAACCAGCTTCATAGATCCCGATCTTTGGCACATGTGTCTTTCCATTTTAGTACGAAGGGCTAATCATGGGGATATAAACTCACGCAGAGCACACTTTGCCGTAGTGCATCCGAATTTGCTACGACTGGGGAGTGCATCCCACGTTTGCATGTGCTTTATAGGGATACTGAGCTAGAGAAACTATGTAAAACCCACCCGTGTCATCCCGATCCCCGTATTGCTACCAGCGCAAAAACGGCCGAATTCCATGCTTTGATCGCCCTACTCCCTCATCACAGTCGAACCAACAACCGACCCCTCGCCTACCCCTCGAACCCGAATTTCCCAACCCAAAACAGCACCACAGTCCTAAAGTCTCAGGGAACAACCCCCCCCCTATAATTTCCAAACTCCCTCCAACCCCAAAACACGGTTTTCAACCCTTCCCGCTCATCAACCTCCCCCACCACCCCCATCCCCTCCTCCCCCACCTCCTCCTCCTCCATCGCCTCCCCCGCCTCCATCACCCCCGCCCCCGCCGCCATCGCCGCCATAGTAGCCCCCGCCGCCGCCCGAAACCGCGCCATCGCCCCCGCGCCGGCGAGAACGTCCACCGCCGTGGCTGGGCTTGGAGGTGAAGCAGCCCATGTAGAGGGAGGGAGGTTGTGAAAAAAGGAGTCGTCGATTACGGCGTGAGATTCGGGCGTTTTGTGGTGGAGAGATGGAGAGATGGATGGAAGAGGCCTTGTTTTTTGTGGTAGACTTGATGTGTGTTATATACGTATTCTACTTCCGGGGTTTTGGGGGGGGGGAAGGATATGCGCGGTAGCGTACAGAACTCGAGAGAGTGGTTTGTTAGATTCGGTTGTTTGACGGTCTGCGCATAGGGCGATGAGCTGGGTTTTATGGTATGGAGTGGAAGCGGCCCACCAGTGCTGGCATGGCCTGATGTGGGGTGGCGCGGGTGGGTCAGGTGGTGGGTTATCAAGATGGATCGGCGTCAGCGCGAGCGTGAGTAAGGCGGACCGAGTTGTTGGCATCGACATATTGACGCTTGTGAATGGACTGAAGATGTTATAAGGGGAGGTTATGGCTAGTAGGCTCTAGCCTTGTAGAGAACTGTTCGCTTATTATTAGTAATATCGTGCTAGAGGATCTAAAGCGATGTTAGGTAAGTGTACGCAGGTCTAGTTAGAGCGAGTGTATTTCTAAAATAAATGGAATCTTAGAATAGAATCGCAGGTTCGTAGGTGGAGTGATGGTATATAGTAGAACCGTGGTCTAGCGATTAGCTTGGTTCGGCCGTGTATAGCATACAAGGTATGGCCGATTTAATTTGCCTGTTTCTAATATCGATACCTAGTTATTCTTAAGAATCTATCGAAGCTTTGCCAAGTAGTGATAAAGAAATGCACGGCGACCGCCCATCCCCGTGGGCGCGTGAGAGTTCGCCTCTCAGTGTACACTTCGCATGATCCCGCGCGAAGAGTCGAAAACTGGAAGAAGGCCGTTGATGTAAATAATGCTACAGAGCCTCCAAAGCCACCTAAACCCTCCGACTTTACCCAAGGCCTACCTATGACCTACCTCTGACCTCTTACCCAGCCCCTCCTCCATCTATGCTCTTCTGCCAGCACCAACACTCACCTTAGTACTCCACCATTTTCTCCTTCGCCATCTCCCTCACCCCCTCGGGCAGCTCCTCCACCCTCACCAACCCAAGCTTGACAACATCTCCCCAGAAGAACCACGCCCGATCCTGCGCATACGCCAGATAATCAAACTCCTCTTCCTCCTCCTCCTTGTCCCCCTCCTCAGCCTCCTTCTTCGCTGCCTCCTTGACCTCCAGCAATGCACTCTCCAGCAACTTCCCCTCAGGACTCGCATCTGCCTCCTCCCCACCCTTCGCCTTGCCCTCATCATCCCAATCGGGTAGTCCGGGAACCTTGGCCTGCACAATCCCCCACGCGACCCACTGCGCCGAGTTGGCAAGCCGCCAGAGCCGCGTCTCGGCCATCAGCCGCTGAATCTCCGCTTCGGTGTCTTTCTCTGACTTCTCTTCGCTCTCGGCGTAGGAGGTTGGTGGGGCGCGGGAGTCGAGCATGAAGGCAGAGATCGAAGACGAGGGAGCGGCGGTGGCAAGGGATGCGGTGGGAGTGCCACCGGGGTTAGAAGGGCGGACAGAGGGCGTGCCTGGGTCTAGGCTGGGGGTGGGAGGCTGGGAAGAAGCGGCCGAGGGGCCTTTGAAGGTAGGATTGTGCAGGAGGTAAGATCGGATGAAGCGGTGTTGTTCTTCGATGGTTGGGTAGTGTTTTGTGTTGCAGAGGTGGGGAGCGGTGGCGTCGTGATAGTTGTAGCACCATTCGGTCTATGGAGTGTTTGTGTTAGTGGTCACACATGGCGATGAAGTGGAACTTTTGAAGGAACTTACGAAGTGGTTGGCGAACTCTAGACCGGGCAAGTTGGCGCTAGCGTATTCGAAGTCGATGACGACGAGTTGTTTGTGCTCGTTCTTAGGGAGCAGGAGAGGTGATTCTCCGGCCGGAATGAGTCGAAGGATGTTGCCATATTGCGTCTGATGACCGTTAGGATTGTTTGTAGGGGAGGTTATAGATATACCTCACGTCGTTATGCGCAAACACCAGCCTATCGTTGACCTTCCCAGGCCCTCCATATTGCTCATCCAACCACTTTCGATACTTCTCAACAGTCTGCCTGAAAACAGGCCATTCAACACCGCAGATGAACCCTCGCTTCTTGATTGCTTCGGCTGCTGGGTCGTCTGCCTTTGACTCGCCATCTTTGACCTGCTTGTCCAGCCATGCAATGACCTGCTCACATCTCTCGACCCATTTGTCCCAGTTTCGCCACACAAATGGGCCTTCCTCGCGTTCTGTAGGTAACAACTCAATACCTTCGTGGAGCTCGCGCATTCGCTTAGCAATCTGCTTGGATGTATCTGGCACGCGAAGGTCTTTGGGAGTGAGTGTCTGCGCATGAAAGAATTCCTCAAAGCGACCATTGGTGAAGGTACCGAGAAGTCGAGGGCCGATACGTTTGCGGGCTAATCGTCGGAGAATCTGAAGCTCGGCTTCACGATCTATCAAATGTTCTACTTGTGGACCGTAGATACGAAGGAGAAGTTTCCTATGTTTGCATTAGCTTAGTTGTTTCAAGAATTCTGATAGTTGCTCACGGGGGAGGATTCCTGGGATGTGGGATTGACTCCGCGCTCTGGTCCTTTCGAGAAGGCAAATTCTTTGGTGGAACAACGACGTAGACTGCATTCGTCAACGCGCCACTCAGTCGTTCAACTTCGACCTCATTGCTTCGCTCCAAAGGGACCTTGCGCCAACCCTTCAAGCGTAGAGTATGGGCAAGTCTGACAATCTCAAACTTGAAGGTTGCCCACGCTTCCTTCTCTTTGACGGCATTCTTCATGCTGCTGCCAGCCTCCTCGTCTGATTCTGCTCCTCCGCCTGAGTATGCCATAGTCTTAGAATTATCAAGCACTGCTTCACAGCTGGGCACAACAGGATCTCCGTCGGCGTAATCCGTATCTGACGAAGCGCCAGTGTTCTTGGAGATCTTCATAACAGATGGAATTCGACGGACTGACGACGCTTTCCTACCGTAACCCGGGCGCTGCTCTTGGACAGCAAGATTCAAGCTCTTCTCGAGTATAGCTTGCAGATTCTCTAGTGCATCTGAGCCGTCGGAGGAGTCTGAGTCTCGTCTATCTTCCTGAGCACCTGGCGTGCCCACTTGTTCTTCTAGTGAACCTTCACCAGCTGCGGCCTCTTGCGGCGTACTTCGGTGACCAGCCACACGTTTCGCTTTCCGTGCCGCACGTCTTGCTTTCTCGAGTTTGAGCCAATCGCCAATCTGGGTGATCAGACTATCATGTCCATGATGGCTTTGCGGGCGGCTGCTCGACGAGTCCATCTCTTCATTCCCAAGCGTGGCTACGGAAGATTTCCTCCTTGGGTCCACACTGGGTCGACCTGACAAACGCTTTCCGCTGACGCTAGCACGAAATTGCTTTGCAGTCTTGTCCAGATCGGAATACTCGCTGCCTGGTTCGAATTCTGTCGTTTTGCCCTTCATCATCGGAGAAATGCTCTCTGGGTCAGCAATGGAGACGACTGCGAAGATCGTAAGTTGATGTCGAGAGGAGTACGTGTTTTGAGATGTGGTAAGAAACGGAGAGACAAGGCTTCAAGAGATGATTGGCCTGAAATTGTGATATGTTTGCGCCTGGTCGTGTTTGTTGTGTCATATGACGTAAGATACAAATCTTGATCCCACTTAGGGTACGGGGATGTAGTGTTTAGCGAAAGTAAATGAGGCTGATGAGGCAAATGTACGAGGGAGATAATAGTTTCAATTTGGAGCATAGCATTCCAGTGGCTATAAACAAGATCGAAAAGAAACCATATGACAGGCATAAAAAAAGCCACGGACCTTTGGTTGCGGAGGATCGTGGTGACGCGCTTTCATCTACAATGGAGCTGCGGGGGTCGTCTTGGGATAAGCTTTGCGCGGCATCCTGATCATGCGCAGGCGATCCATCATTGGTAGATGCCATGGCTACAAGTAAGTGAAGTGCAACTGAAGAGGCTTCGTTCTTTCAAGCACTTCACGTGTGGTGTAATAGCGACGGGATGAATATGGGCGAAGAGAGAAAATAAGGGAATTAAGGCGCGTTTGGTGGGCAGCGGGCTCCACGTGCCCAAACAACTGGGCTGGATAGGCGTCACTTCCTGCCCCGTCGCATTCGAGGTAGGGACTCGGGCAGATATCAGTATTCAATTGCAGCAGTGGAGAAGCAGAGACAGAGGCAGAGGCAGACGTGTGAGTTGTAGCAGCTAAGGTGGAGAGGCTCCGAGGTTGTGGGATGGTGGCCGGTGCGTAGATAGACGCGAGACAGTGGAGAGATATCTGCTCGGGCAGCGTTATCTATCCGTCTACCTCATCCCTGGGACAAATCCACTTGGCCGGCGGGACGTCAATCATCTGCAGGGCCAGCCGTCAAATTCCTGCATGAATCCAAATCGAGGCCCCAGGCCTCCCGCCACTAGCGTCCGACGTTGGGCAATCCAACTTGCAGGAAAAAGCAGGGTTGCGTCTGAGGTGCGTGAACGTCCACTTTAGGTTGAGCGTTGCCAAGGTAAGAATGACAGCAAAGTGAGGTTTTGAAGAGCAGAACATAGTTAGATATCCTTGTGGAGTAAGCGTAGCCATGTCGCACTCAGAGCCAAGTCACTACAATCCATGCATCAAGAAACGCGCTTGAAGCGAAGAATATGTCCCCCATAAGGGTTTCTAACATGTATACAAACGCCACACATGACCAAAGTGTCCGGATATCTCTGCTCATGTACAAAGTACAACTATACAACCGACTAATTTCCACAAAACACCAGGAGACCACCCAACCCCGTCCATTTTGGCCTCTTGCTACTAACGCCGCGCTGCCAATCCAATGTTGATCCCAGGAAAGAGTCATAAAAAGGTATACCTATGTACATACAGACGATTAAGCAAGGTCGTTCTCGTGCTATGTTGAGCCAGTCTACCGCTGGGCCCACTCCACCGTCTCGAGAGCAAGCATTACGAGGATAAGAGTCGATGGGAGGATCCAGATCACGTAGCTCTGGAAGAGAAGCTTTGACATTGCTCCTAGGTAGACGTTGTTGAGCTGGCAGATTTGAGACAGCTGAAGTGCGCTAGGGGCTCCAGTGAGGAGGAAGCAGACGATGACGAAGATGGGATCGTCTAGAATGCTGACAGGGATGTACTTGGCTGTAACGGCAAGTATCGGCGCCATGATGATGGTGGGAATGAGCATGCGGCTGACGAGGGCCGCAATCAGAAGCTTCTTCTCTTCCTTGGGGTCCTCGGAACTGAAGGCGTCCTCTTTGGGGAGGGTGTTACGGGCAAGGTTTGATCCGAGCACTACCAGAATGAGAGGAACGGCAACACCGGCTGACTGGCTGACCGCGCGTGTCACTGAATTGCTGATAAATGTGCCCGGGTCGAAAAACACGTGCTGGAGTTTCGGGATGGATGCAACGATAATTGCTGCCAACATGGCCCAAAGCGGTGGGTTCATTCCCTCCCAGATTAGCCAGAGGAAGCCGAAAAGAACAGAAAACGTTTTCGCCAGCACTTTCTGAAAGGGAGCGGGAAGGGTTGAGAACGCTTTCTGCGAAGTGGAGGCGATCCCGTCTTTGACCGAAAGGAATGCCTGCGTGATTGCCTGCTTGAACCTGATCCACCACCCTTTTGGACCTTTGGGTATGTGTTGCAGATCGGTAGTTGAGTTCGGACTTGGGAAGGTCGTCATGTGGCCGCTGGACTCGTTCAGGATAGCGTTTCTCTTTATGTAGTCCACAGGACGCTTAGGAAGGACATTGCCGTTCGTGGGAGTAGGGTCTAGCTCAGGTATAACATTTTGACGTTCGTCGACTGAGCCCGAGGATGAAGAGGAGTATGAGGAGGCATAACCGTGCCTGTTGTGTGGCGTGATGTTACCAGACTCATAATCCGAGTGAGATTCGGTAGGAGATCCCAGAAGAGCCTGGGCCTCCGGGTCGTTCCCATCGCTGCCCTCCAAGTGGTCCACGTGCTTGGTGCCTCCCTCCTCGACGGTGTAGTCGGACGCTGGGCGGAGTAGGATATTGTAGCCCCAAGTCCAGCGGACGAGTTGGCCGAGTTGCTGGAAGATCAGCAAATACAGGATGCCTCGAGCAGCAACCTCGTCGTCATTGTCGCCGGGTATCTTGTCCCAATGCAGGCCTGAGAGTGTTTTGGACAAGGAGACAACTAGAGATATAGGAAGAGAGTTTGAGTTGCCAAAGACCTGTTTTTGTCAGACGTGATCGTAATATGGGTATAGAGGATCCTTACGGCCATGGCAGTGACAAAGTTCCGGCCTCGTAGCTTAAAGCCGAAGAGGCGGGATATAGCGAAGGAGCTTAGGTATGAGACAAGGCATTGGACGACGAAGATGAAAGGAATGACACCGAGCTCGACGAGCTTCTCGGCGGTAAGCTGGGATGCCAATTTGGTGAAGACTGCAGACAATCAGCGTGATCAGCAGAATGATTGGCATAAAAGGTGACGTACTGAGGCATGGCGTGAAGAGCATGGTGTTGAGGTTTGCTAGGAACTTTTGCGATTCCAAATCCATCATGCCCATCCTGGCAACGATGTATCCGGGCAAAGCAACGCACACGACTTCGAGCACAGCTTCGAAGACGAGCAGACACAAATGGGGGAAGTCCGGATGCGAGCTGTGAGGCGGTAGCTTCTTGAAGGCCTCCATCACGTCACCCCCAGAGAAGGGGAGGTTGTTCATGGCGACAAAGGGAGAGTCCGGGCCTGAGTTGCGCAGGCGCAACGACGAGAGACGCTCCAAATATGACATGCTGAGGGCCTGGGCACGGTGGGAGTCTTTATGGAGTGGTTCGGAAAGGGCTGGAAGCTAGTGGTACCTGACGCACGACGTGTTTGGTCTTGGCTATTCTGCGGCAGACCAGGGTCGCAGGGCGTCAATGGGCGCTGGAAGCGGAGCACACGGCCGCGATCAGGGCGAGGGGCAGGAATAAGAGAGCGTGGAGGAGCGTGGAGTGCCGCAGAAGAAGGTCGGAAGACATGGAGGAGTCGCAGGCTAGGGGGCGCTGGCTACAAAAGGCTCGACCCAGCCAGGGTGCTTCTTCTCGAGATAGGCTGGCGTGGAGCTGGCCGAACTGGCGAAAAGCAGCGAAGCAGAGGCAAAAGCAAGGCCACGGGCGCTTTGTCCGTCACCAAAGGCCGCGAGCACGTCAGAAGCAGACGCGGCGTGGCGCTCAACACCACACGGGTCCAGGAGTCGAGGCGGAGCGCTCGGCTGCACGCTGCAGCGACGACGAGAGGCACACCTGGGCAGACATGAGGCCTCGCGGCGCGCCTGCGCCACACTTGGCCGCCACTGCCAATCCGCAGGCAGCATGCGATGTTCTCTAGCCAGTGTTGCGCCGGTCCACGCTGCCTGAGGTCTCGGATCGCGATCGATAGCCATCGCGATCTGTCGGGCTGGAGTCGCAGCGTGCCTCTCCGCTGCCCTCTCCCCCGCTTCCCCCTCTGCCCTCCCACCTCTGCCCTCCCACCGCTGCCCTCCCGCATCTGCTGCCCGTCTTCACGCATCTGGCGAGCCTGTTTGACCCTCTGCGACGTGTTTCGCCTGCATTGAGCCTGTCAAAGCCGTCGACCCCGGTCCGCTCCCGCCACTGAGGCCTCTGCACCGCTCCACTGGCCTGCATGTCCCAAAGCACGGCAGCCGTCGCTCTGGTTGCGCCCGGACATCGTCATACCTGATATTGCTCTCTGCGTTCTCTCCGTGCTTCACGGCTTCACCTCTCCCATCTCCTGGCCCATTGATTTTCTGATATCGATCTGCCAATGCACCGTGCCGATCGCAGGCCCCTCCGCTGAACCGCTATTTGCTCGCGGCCCGACCTCAACGTCAGTTCGCTCCTCCAGCTGCACGGCCACTGCAGTGCTCCACCACCCCAGCGATCGCCTCTCTATGACATCTCCAACGCGATAGCCCAAACATTCACCTCTTTGTCGCTGTCGTGCCCACGCCCGCTACCGAGTCGTCCGACCCCTCGACCTCGCCTTTCTCCCACCTCGCCGAGCCTGATACCTCACGCCCCGCGAGCCGCTGCTCTCCCATCCGCCCACCATGGCATCCTCTCCACGCGAAGACTCGGATTCCAGCCTCCCGCTCGAGTCACCCTCTTCTCCTCCTTTCTCTCCCGACTCCCTACCAGACTCGCCGGCCGGCACGTCCAACGGCTTCCTCGAATCCCCGCCGCCCCCCACCATACGCTCAGTATCCGCTTCCGCAACCACGGCGGGCATGACTGCCTCTTCAACTCCGCTGGGCACCCTCAATGCCGCAAGAAATCCGAGACCACAACCAGCACCTACCATATCGAGCAGAGGGAACGGCCTCAATGTCTCACAGGACATTCTGGCGAGGATACAGGCCGTGCATCTTGGTCGGCAAGGTGCCCCTCCAACAAATAGCTTCCGCCAACAGGCAGGGCCGGGTGGACAGAATGGACTGAGTGGTCGGCCACTTCCATCCTCCCAGGGTGGCCCTCTTGTCATGCCCGGCGGCACTCCCAACTTTCGGATGCCGCCTAGTGCGAAACCACAGATGTCCACTTTCCAGTCTGCACCCGCCGTACCCGGTCTACGGATAGGTGGGGGTAACAAACCGTCGTTGGCGGAGAAGCGTGGCCTGAAACTACCCGGTGGGCTTCCTGGTGCAGTTCCCTCGCCCGCACCGGCAGGGCGGAAGAAGCCCGGTCTCAGCCTCTCTCAGATGAACGGAGACCAACCCACCGAGCAATCAGCGCCTCCGAAGAAGCAAGAGACCATGATGGACAAATATGCTGAGTACATAGACACAAAGACGGGCAGTCTGAGGTTCAAGGGCAAAGCTCTGATAAACGCCGATGGAGTCGAGTTCTCAAGCGGGAGTAGCTTTAACATTTCACTGGATGAGGTAGACACCTTGGATGAGCTTGGCAAAGGAAACTACGGAACCGTCTACAAAGTCCGGCACAGCAGACCGAGAATGCGAAAACCAGGCCAAGGCCTTGCTGGGAACAAAGCGGCACCTGGTTCGCCTACTCAGAAGTCAGCTACTGATTCCACGGACGATGCAAGCACTACGCCGACGAAACCTGCTGTTGGTACCGGCATCATAATGGCTATGAAGGAGATAAGGTTGGAGCTTGACGATGCCAAGTTTGCTGCTATCATCATGGAACTCGACATTCTGCACAGATGTATATCGCCCTTCATAATCGACTTTTACGGAGCCTTCTTCCAAGAGGGCGCTGTCTATATTTGCATTGAGTTCATGGACGGAGGATCAATAGACAAGCTGTATGGCGACGGCATTCCTGAGCCAATACTGCGGAAGATCACACTGGCGACGACAGTAGGCCTAAAAAGCTTGAAAGAGGAGCATAACATCATCCACAGAGATGTGAAGCCTACGAATATTTTGATGAATACCAGAGGTCAGATCAAGATCTGCGATTTTGGCGTGAGCGGTAATCTTGTTGCTAGCATTGCAAAAACGAACATTGGATGCCAGAGTTACATGGCACCAGAGAGAATATCGTCAGGCGGGATGGCACAGGCAGGCGCAAATCCGGGAGGCGGAACATACAGCGTACAGAGCGACATCTGGAGTTTGGGGTTGACTATCATCGAATGTGCAATGGGGCAGTATCCTTATCCCCCAGAGACGTATAACAATATCTTCAGTCAACTTAGCGTGAGTATTTCGGTTAACGTCTTTCGTAAACCCTTCTGACATTTCTCAGGCCATTGTAGATGGTGAACCTCCAGATCTTCCGGCAGAAGGGTTCTCTGCTGAGGCTCGCAACTTCGTACACGGTTGTCTGAACAAGATCCCCAAACTCCGACCTAGCTACGCCATGCTACTCCAGCACGCCTGGCTTGCACCTCTCGTAAAACCTCCCACCATCATGGAAGCCGATGAAGAGGGGGAGGAGCTAGCGGCAGACGACGCTGCCTCGCTTGAGTCTGCGAACTCAGACGAGCGAGGCGTCGTAATAGACAAAGAGGTCGCCGACTGGGTCAAGGCCGCGATAGAGCGAAGGAAGAACGGCACCATGGGCAAGGGCGCCCAGAAACCAGCCCTACACGCCGCACCGCTGGATGCCATGGCGAGCCCTTCGCACGATAGCCCCAACGGTGCCGTGGCCGCGCCCGAGGCTGTCGCTACCTGATTTCAATAGTCCTCTCTTCCCTGCCCCAGTGGCATCTCCAGAACGCAGCTCTCCTGTCTTTTACCCGAGCACTGTACGCATCCGAGCGAGTCTTGGACGCCAGGTTCTCGCTTCTCCCCTTGGCTTGCTCTGTTCTATACTTCCCTTAAGAAACATGTGTCTGACACACACGGCGCCCTGGGTCCCTAAATGTCAGCTTTTTGGCGCGGGCGTAGACTTCGTGTAAGCCTCGCGGATATATTGTAGGCAATGAAAGGGTGGGGTCGATAGTGGGGTTGGGGTTGATTGCAGCGTTGCATGAGATATGCGGAATGAAAAATCGTAAGAGCTGCGTTTGAGAAAGTGAGTGAGTGCGTGAGATGTGGGTATGATGTGATGACAACTTATGTATAGCAAGTCTGAGGGGTTCAAGGGTTTCGGAGAATATGACGGGGCGCCTCGGACGGCGGTAAGACTCTAGAAAAGAGTTGTCAGAGGGAACTGATACTTAGCTAGGAGGTCAAATGCTCAGCCAGGTACTGCCCTAGACGGCTACCATTTCCCAGTGTGAGATTTACACTCCATTGATCTTTGCTTTACATCCAGATTTATGAGGGCACCATGAAGGACTTCAGATGGTAGTTCGAGCTTCCAGATACGAGACATGTCTCAAGATCTGATTTCCACTGTCGAAATCATTACGTCATGTCCGAAGCATTTACAACATCATGAGTTACCTCCGACGGTACTCCAAGCGTCCCGGTAAGCGAAGCTTTCCAGTGTCTGATTTCATCGTCGAGGAGTACTACATCTCATTCAGATTGACTGAGGTATCACGAGGGACCTCAGACAGTGGTTCTAGCTTCCAGATAGCTCAACGTCTGTTTCTCACTGTCGATATTGCTTCATAATTCCAGGGAGTTTCACGCCATTACGAGGGACTTTCGACGGTAGTTGACTTTCCAGATAGGTGCCATTTCTAAAAGTGTGGTCTACAAATACTGACAAATTGTACCTGTTGGGAGGTTCAAGGTACCGTGAGGCATCGCTACCCAGATCCTCTGCATATACCTTCGTGCACTGCATGTGGAGCTTCGACTTATTTCAAGAATTTGCACCAGATGGAACGTCAATATTTTGGTGGATCTTCAAATTTACTAGGCTACCTCAGACGGTGCCATTCCCCACCAGCCACTCCAGGTCAGCACTGAGATGAATCTAATGTCGCGCTTTCTCCTCTCTCACCGTAAAGTTCAGAGCTCGAAATTCCAGGATTTACGTCTTAATATCGCTTAAATTCCTCTAGATTGCTACGAAAATTTCAGGTGTGATGAAGCAATCGGCTCACTCGAACAACTGTTACATCATATCTAGAATTCTTCCAACACGATGAGGGAACTTCAAGCAGTGCCAAGTAGGTCTTTACAGAGGAGGTCTCCGGGGAGCAAATGCCGCACACGGCCTCATTCTGCCTTCCATTCTCTCTCCTAGCCCAGCGACTTCCTAAATCTACCCCGTACCGTTTCTAATCCCTATCATAGGATGCAGCTGCTGCACTTCTCCCATTCCATAACACTCATGTCAACACGTTATTCGATTATCTCAAAACCGTATCGTTCACTAGTCGAATATATCCTTCAATCATTAGAAAAAAACGTTTCGCTCGGGCTCTACCTCGCCGGCAGCCATGTCGAGCCACCCCCCGCCCGCATCGCCAGGTACTGCTACGATTCTCCTTCCCATGTCCCTTGAACCTCAAACCTAACTTCGTCACAGTCGGAACCGGAGCAGTTTCCAATACCTCTGCGTCCCCACCATCTGATGCTGAAGACTTCCCACACCCTCCCAAAAATCTAGACGTACTGGCCGATACCACCGTCTCGCAAATCAAAAACGATGGCACAAGCGCTCTGCCATCGGAGACAGCGGGCCCAGGAGAGGAATCGAGCTCGAAGGACACGACGGCCGGCTTGGATCCTGTTCCAGAAGGGCAGCAGTCACCTGAAGAGGCTTGCACGGATTTAGAGGAACCCGGCAATACCTCAGATACGATAGAGACACTAGAAGCTAAACTACAAGACGTCGTGCGCGCAATTTACGAGATCAAGCAGGAGGGCGGGAGAGCGAAGAATGAAGGGGAACGCGAAAAGCTGAGACCTAAGTTTGGCGGGCTATTCGCCCGACACGATTTTCTAAAGGAACGAATAAAGAAGATGATTGATGCCAAGGAGAAATCGGACGCCGCACCTGACGACAAGTTTGTTCTGCACGATGAGGGGCTTAAGCAGTCGAGCTCAGAGGGCAAGGTGGTTGGGCCAGAGACAACCAGCAGTATTCTAGTAACGACGGATATAGTAGAGGCTAAACAAGTTAACCTGCGCGAGATCCATTCGGCCGAATGGTTGAAGAAGAATGCGAGGAATGATGGGGAGCGCAAAAAACTGGAGCTTAAAATCAAGTCTCTAACAGAAGCAATGGAGAGACTTAACAATTTATCCGAACTCATACGAAGTGCCGCTAGCGACGAGAGGGGTGTTTATGTCCAGTTCAAGTATAATCTTTTCTTCTGGGAACGTCAAGCGGAGAAAACTTCCTGGGAGAATCATTGCAAATTTCGTAAAGAAATGTTGCATGCCGATAATGACAAATTACGATCTGAAGCATCAGAATGCGGTGACCCGGAACCGGTTCACCAGATCGAGGAGATCTTCCAGCGAATATGCGCGGAGTGGTTCCCTCAATCAGATCCAGCCGGCAGTGTCTCAAGATCCATTCGAGACAAAATTCCATTGTACCAACCGGGAGATTCCCAGCCTCCGTACAAGGGGAGGGCTGCCTACCTACGATATCAAGAGGACCTTGATCATTGGAACCAGAACGCGGCGAAAATGGGCATGGACGAGCATCACGAATATCGTAGATACTTTCACAAGTACCTAAGCGATCCGGACGTACGATCTGAAGCGTTAGAACGCGGCAAGCCAGATCCGACCAAGCAGATCGATGAGCTCTATCGTCAAGTAACGGCGGCGACGAAGAAGAGACTTAAAGAAGACCAGTTAAGGAAGAAGAACGCCGACAAGACTGCTGAAGAGTTGGCAGCCGAAATCATGGGTGGCGATGCGGAAACACTCCAGAAGCAGCCTAAGAAAAAGAAAAACCCGAAGTCGAAAAAGCACGTTCCCACTCCTGGTCTAGAACGTACTGATGGAGACTCTGAATCGGCGGCTGGAAATGCAGCACAGGACGAAGCAGACGGCAAATTTAGAGAACCTCCAGCAACCGAAGAACATTCTGAAGGAAAAACCAAACCGGTTGCCGCAAAGATAGCACAGGACGTACCGGACGACGATTTCAGAGCGCCTCCAACGACGGGAAATGATGAAAAGCATTCGAACTCTAAGGACGAGGATGAGACTCCCCATAAGACTCCCCATCAGACTTCTGAAGAGACGAAGTACGAACCGACACCAATTGATCGGGATTCTGAAGACTGGAAAATCGCTATAGGGTCGCATCGCAAGAAGAAGCTCATGAAGAGTTTGACTCAGAAGACGACTCCTCATCGGCCTGCCAAAGAGGCGGGATTACAATCATCACCGCATGGTCAGCGTCCTAATAGCTCTAAGAATGATTCGAAGATCGTATCGCACAAAGCGCGGACCGAAAAGTTGAACTTGGAGAACGAGGGTCGGACTCCCCATCATACTGCCGAAGACGCGGAGCTGCAATTCTCACCAATTGATCAGCAACCTGACGAGTCTAGGAAGGATTCAAAGGTCGCCTCGCCAGAAGCGCCACCCAAAGTGGACTTGGAGGACGATGATCTGACTCCCTATCACCTTATCGAAGAGGCGGAGCTGCAATCCTTGTCAAATAGTCAACACCATGACAGGTCTGAGAATGATTCGGAGGTCGCCTCGCCAGAAGCGCCACCCAAAGAGGTGAACTTGGAGGACGAAGATCAAACTGCCCATCATCCCGCCAAAGAGGCAGAGCGACAATTCTCACCAAAAGATCAGCATCCTAACAGCTCTGAAGATGATGGGAACATCGCCTCAGAAGAAGAGCTGATGGGCCTACAGTCGCGCGCGGAATTGCAGCCCTCTCCACCACCGTCTGGTATTCGCGTGCAACTACCTCCAACAAAACCCCGTATTCGCGTGTGCTTGCCGCCAACACAACAGGACCGCGCGTGCCCAGGCCCATCGGCTCCTCTGGTCTATCCTGGTGTAACGCCATCCGAAGAGTTAAACTTGGAGGGCAAGAATCAGACTCCTCATCACCCTGCTGAAGATGTGGACCTACAATCATTACCAAATGATCAACATCCTGAAAGATCTGAAAATAGTGCAAACATCGCCTTGGAGGACGAGAATCAGACTCCCCATCAGCCTGCCGAAGAGGCGGAGCTACAGTCATCACCAAATGATCATCAATTTGACAGCTCTGAAGACGATGCGAACATCGCCTCACAGGAAACGCCATGCGAAAAGTTGGACTTGGAGAACGAGAGCCAGACTCCCCATCAGCCTGCTGAAGATGTGGACCTACAATCATCATCAAATGAGCAGCATCTTCCCGTCATTTCCGGAGCTGTCATGGGTGCTGGGCCGGAAGCGCCACCCGAAAACCCGCTGGGTGGGGGAAAAATGCCTGAAGTTCCAGAATTTCCCAACAGACAGGATCCTCGAAAGGCCCTAAGCGAATGTGATGTGCCTCTTCATCTACGCGCCTCCTGGGATTCTCCTGAATCCGATCAGCCAGATAAGTCAGCAGTGGATATCTATCTCCGGTGGCGCAATATGGCGAGGATTCTTCAGAATCGAATCGTTCAGGGGAGGCATTCTTTCGGCCAGAAGAGGAGTGCTTCTTGCTTGTTTTGATAGAGCACTATGACCAGAGAAAACAAGTTCTGGGCTCTATTCTTGGTCTGCGTGAATTGTCTGCCACTGCTATGGGTGTCTCACCCTATTTTCAGATATCAGAAGAAGGTGAAGTGAGAGCTTTCAAACACTCAGGAAACTCGTTGGGGCACCTCGGGCAGTGGCATTTGTGGGTCTTGCCCTTGGTTGTCCTTTACAGCGCTTAATCATGCGTATACATAACGTAATCCACAAGTTAGTGGCCCGCACAAGCTAGTGGCCC